GAATGAAAAAAGAGCTGTTATTCTTTTTTATGCCTCCGCCACCGAAGGTGGTGCCGGAGGCATCATGTTTTCAGGTTGTCCGTCCGTATGTCCGTACGTCCGTCCCGTTTGACCGTTATCACAATATCTCAAGAACCATTTAAGATTTAAACTTAAGACTCGGGAATAGTATTTATCGCCATAGGAAGACGATCTGATTAGATTTTGGAGTACGTAGGTCAAAGGTCACAGGTCACAGAGGTCAACTTATGAAATTCCTTGTATTGAGTTTGTTAGCGCGATATCTCAAGAACCATTTGAGATTTAAACTTCAAACTTAAGGATAGTATGTATCACCATAGGAAGACGATCTGATTAGATTTTGGAGCACGTATGTCAAAGGTCAAGGGTCACAGAGGTCAACTTATGAAATTCCATACATTGAGATTGTTATCATGATATCTCAAGAACCACTGGAGATTTAAACTTCAAACTTAGTGATAGTGTGTATCACTATAGGAAAACAATCTGATTACATTTTGGAGCACGTAGGTCAAAGGTCAAGGGTCATAGAGGTCAACTTATGAAATTCCATACATTGAGATTGTTATCATGATATCTCAAGAACCACTGGAGATGTAAAAACTTCAAACTTAAGGATAGTATGTATCACCATAGGAAGACGATCTGATTAGATTTTGGAGCACGTAGGTCAAAGGTCAAGGGTCACAGAGGTCAACTTATGAAATTCCATACATTGAGATCGTTATCGCAATATCTCAAGAACCACTGGAGAATTTTCACTTCAAACTTAATGATAGTATGTATCACCATATCATAATATCTCAAGAACCACTGGAGATTTAAACTTCAAACTTAATGATAGTGTGTATCACCATAGGAAGACAATCTGATTAGATTTTGGAGCACGTAGGTCAAAGGTCAAGGGTCACAGAGGTCAACTTATGAAATTCCATAGATTGAGATTGTTATCATGATATCTCAAGAACCACTGGAGATTTAAACTCCAAACTTGTTTAAATTGCTCTATGGCGGAGGCATCATTTTCGACTGCGCGCAGTCAAAATTCCATCTAGTTTCTTCCAAAATGATCCCAATTTTTTTGTTCATGAACAGATCTATAGGCATGTCCCTGTTCCTAAAAAGTGCTCTCCCATGTAGATGACTGTACATGTACAATGTACATGTACATGTACATGTAGGTTACATAATTTGTAGATACTGTACATGTACATGTACATGGCTTGATATTCAGTGCATTTCATGTGTATGCACTGTAGGTACATGTACATTACAAACTGTACAGGTAGGATTGATTCATCTCATTTACAACTCTTTAACCCTTGACCCCATAAACTCAGTTAGGATTAGGGATGTTGGGTCCTGAGGCCATCAGAATGTAAATATTTATGGCACTTAGCAGGTCGCCATAAGATAAAACAACCTTGTAAAGCATGCCACAGTGGTTAGAGAGGGTCATAACAGGAATGTTGTGCTGATAAGGTGTAGACTTGATGTTTAGTATTATTGATGACTCCAAGCTAAGATTTGTAGAGCTTTCAGAGGCTTTACATGTCCATGTTGTAGGTCTACAGTATGTGCATTGAGCTACAAAAACTCACTGTAAACACAGTCAATTTCATAACCAAAGGGCCTTTAAAAAAAGGGGGCTTGGAGGGGGTAGGGGGGGGGGGGGTTGTTAGGGCAGGGATTTGTGATATAAATTTTCCATACACTGTATATTGTATATTAAAGTACATGTAGTCTTGCTGTACGTTGTACACATTGACCTCCTGTGGCTGTGTACTTATTGTTATTGGCATGTTCTTCAAAGTTCAAGCTTCAACGTAATGTTTGGACACTGGTAGTATTCAAAAAGAAGTTTTATTGTGAATATTATTGTTATTTTTTATTAATTGTGTTGTTGTTTTGACTTTTGAGATTGTTCTTCTTAATATTGTTATCACCATTATCATCATCACCATCACCATCACCATCACCATCACCATCACCATCACCATCACCATCACCATCACCATCACAAAAAACACATGTGAAGAAACTCAAGAAAGACTCAACTGATCTTATACCTGTGTGCTCCAAAACAAGACTCACAGCTACATCTATTCTACAGTGTACATGTATGACAGTTGATGAAACAAGATCTCCCTCGTCAAAGTTCTTGCACAATACGCACCGATTGAACTCTGGCACCGAGGGTCCAAATGTCAACATTTTCTGCCTTGACAGAAACGAGAAACAAAGCCAGGGCTCCTGGTGGGAGAGTGGGTTGTTTCTGCTAGCGATATGCCCTTTCACTCAGAAATGCAAATCCAACCATAACAAATCACTGGGCTGGGAGTTGCTGATAATGTCTCATGTTCGCCTGGATAATGAGGCTGATATTTTATTGCCCAAATCTGTAGATGGTCGGTAATTTACATTCTCTGAGGATAACTTTTAACTGCTTTCACTTTCAATTTGCCACTGAAAAAAAAAGTGCAAGCCTATTTAGGCTAGCTACAGTACATCAATTACTAGTACTACTAATTTGACATACTGTACATGTAAAATATGATAAGCAGAATGAAATGCATATTATACAGCAGTCTCTGTCCGTTAAAAAATCATCATTATTGCTTTGTAAATCAAATTAAGAAATATAAATATGCAAAACCTGTCACTTAAATTTTAGGTTTTCTTTTACAATCATTTGGCAGCATAACAAAGTAGTAATATATTTGTATACATTTAGGGTTCTCTGTATGAAGTTTTTTCTTAGCTTTGACATTTCTTGTTAACTTGTTATTTAAGTTAAAATATGTAAATATGATATTAAAAAATGTAAAATTAGTCAATCTAGGTCCATATATGCAGTTACATGTACATGTACAGTGTACATGTAGTTATTGCACTATGAACCTTAAATTATGAATACTGATGCACATACATTAGTTCATTACTTCATTTTGCTTGATCAAAATACTATAAATGGCTTACCAGTAATCAGGTTCATGCAGAGTACATTTACACTACATTGTACAGTACAGTACAGTGTTCGAAATACCAAGTGCTGTTGAATAATTGAAGTATCGTTATTACTAATCGTTTTATGTTGGCTCCCCATCCATTTATGATCTCTGATGCAAATAGTTGGTGCTTTCATATTAAGAGTTCATTAATAGTTCATGCAGACAAACGAAATATATACGGTACTGTAATTAGCCTACATGTATGTACATGTACATGTACATCATGGTAGACCTACAAAAGTACATGTACCGGTTCTGTACATTTTTGTTCATGTACACTGCACACACAGTACATGTACCGGTATATGTACAGTGTACATGTACTTTGTGATGCATAAATGTAGGCCTACAATCCTTCCTAATGTAGTTTACATACTACATGTTTGTACATGTACAAGTTTACATACACCAGGTGGAAAAGCAATTTATTCTCACAACTTCCCTCATTCCTGCCAACTTTTCACTTCAAGATGATATTCAAGTTCGGTCTGTGTTTAGTGTACATGCATACCTGTACATGCGTATCACTAACCATTCTGATACAGTACATGTACGGTATACTTATTGTACATGTATGTGACTCCTGATAGGAATGGGTGCAGTTGTGAAACTGTGAGTTACAGTGATGAGTAACATGTTTATTTTCCAGGTGAGGTGTAGTATGTAAAATTTCAGGCCTAACTGTATCATGAGCCATGATTTTCCTGTGCAAGTACTGTGTGATATACATGTACATGTACATGTACATATTGTACATACATGCAACAACAACAACAACAACTTGTTGTGCATTTCATTTTGAAGCATATGGAGTTCATCATGAACCACTTCACCTCCACAATCACATTTCAAAACACTTGGCACTATAAAAAACAAACACCCACACAACGTGTTGGTAAATGATTGTACACACAAAGCCTGATGATGGATGGCAGTGTTTTAGTCTGACAAGCCAGTCAGCCAGTCTGGTACAGGGGGCGGGCTCTCGGAAAAGGAAAAACAGCATTCCCTGCATTCCATTGTGTTACAAAATACATTCTCCCATGACAAATATTTGGTTGTACTCATTGTATTGTGTGCGGTCAGGTAGAAGTGTGTGTATTTCTGTTATTGTTGAGAAGTGTTGTAGAAAGAGTGCATTGTTCTGCATTGTAAGCAGACTAATGATGACTATAATGTGTACCGGTATGCAGATCTAGTTTTCTTTTTTTCTTTATTGGTTTATTCTGTGGATAATAAGGTTTCTCAAGATGCATTGGAAATTGAATTATAGTAACAAATAAAACACTTCATGCCCATGTATACAATGTATGCAGGTGAATAGTGTTAGACTGAATATGAAAACATATTTTATAATTTATTACATGCAATTTCACTGTTATCTGATTTTAAAATCATATTCCTTAGTAGTACATGTAGTTCTAACTTCTAGTATGCATGAACCTGTAGGGTTGTAGGCCCAATATTTGCATTTCTGCACGATTTGCAGAACAATGTAGAATCACATACATAATGTTCAAATACAAGTACCCATGTGCCTAATAAGTGATTTCAAGATAACTGTTATTGAACATATCTCTTAATACATTTGTACACTGAACACCTTACATCTGTGTAGTATTATACATATCTACATGTATGTACTCTGGACTCTTTTATTTACATCTAAAAGCCAGGGGCACTATACACATACATGTACATGTACATGTATACAATACATGTACATGTAGGCCTACACAATGTACTTGTACATCTATTCAGTTAACTGTTGTTGTTGTTTCATGCTTTCTCATTCATTCTTATATTACGGTAGATCATTTTATACACCTTTAACTTTTTATTTATTTTTGTATGGTATTAAAACCATGATTCTTGCTCTTCACAATTTAAAATACAGTTATTGGTACATATAAAAGAGGATTATTGCTTATTTTTACTGATCACTTGCTTCTCCTTATATCCCCAAAGCTTGATGCCGAGTTCAGGAGATTCACCATCAACCCCAACAAAGTAGGCACGTATGAAGACTTCTATGCATTCCTGGAGCGCATGCACCATCTTGGAGACGTTCCTTTCCTGGTAGGATACACCGACCCTCAAGGTGACCTTCTCCCCATCAACAACGATGACAACTATCTCAAGGCCCTCACCTCCTCCAAGCCACCCCTCAAGATAGTACTACAGAAGAGAGGTTCGTGCCGAAGATTAATGTTTTGTATTTGTAGAGCAGAGGTGCCAAAAAGTACATACCGTATTTGCCGGCGTATAGGCCGCAGCGCCGTATAGGCCGCACCACCGATTTTGACATTAAAAAAAAAAAAAAAAAAAAAAAAAAAAAAAAAAAATCATTTTTGTTGTTTTTGTTGTTGTTTTGCTGCCGAAAACCCACGCGTGGAAGGACCTTCAATTAACATCGAGGTGCAGTTAAAGGCGCTGATTTGTGCTTGTAAACTTGTCACAAATAATAGTAACAATGTCGTTTTTAGAAGAATGTGTAAGATCATTAATGTGAATTAAAAACAATAAAGTACCTATGGTACCAGTGGTGTACCTTGTGGTACACCATTTGTTATAGAAAAAAAATTTGAGGAACTATTATTATAAACTACATATTGAGATCTATTAGAAAGATTACTTTCAAACCAAGATGACAGTCAAATTTTAGTGTTGTTGTAGTTTCCGAGTGGTGAGTCAACACACTGATTACTAAGCTGGGAGACATTGCCAGGCATAGCGCCATAAATCGAAACTAAAAAAAAAAAAAAAAAAAAAAAAAAAAAAAAAAAAAACTTTTTTTTACTCTTTCGCCGCATAGGCCGCACCCCGACTTTTTGATATTTTCTCTTCCAAAAATACTGCGGCCTATACGCCGGCAAATACGGTATACTTTTTTTCAGTATTTCAAATTGAAAGTCAGAAGTATACAAAGTATACAAAATGTTGTAGGTTACATGTACATGTGTATAATAGAATTTTGAAATTCAGCATGTTTTCTGGGAAATGGTATATACATGTAATAGGGAAATGGCATATAATACTAGGGAATGGGCAGTTTCTATCTACGCGTATTATCCGGATAAATACACATAAATACACTGCTCCGATTGAGCAGGTTAAAAGGCCGTGAATAGAAGTTCATCAAACTTTGGTTAAGGTCACCACAAAGTATTGTGGGACTGCCGGGTCAACCTGGGATGTTAGTGTCGGGATCCGATTTACGGTCTCTCTCCGTCATGTGCACTCATTTGGAATAATAATTTTGCCTGTGAATGCATCACAGCTCTCACAGCCATTAATGATAGCGTAAAAGGTCAGTTTCTATTAGGCAAAATTTATCCCTTAGTACACTGTACCTTATCAGCCATTAACCAGATAATTGCTTCTGATAGAAACATGCTGATTGTCTTGCCCTCTAACTGAGAAACATTGATCCCCTCAACAAAATACTGATTTTTCAGTCACAAGTGTTCTAGAAAAAGATAGCAGCTTGGATAGACATGTTGAGGTTGAGTTGATTTTTGTTCCATTCCATTATGGATCATCTGGTACAGGTTCATTACTTGCAATAAGTCTATGATACAAACATCCTGTGGTAAACTCTGTATAGGATTCAGATTAAAATCAAGAGGAACACAATAACATACAGATTTGAGACTTTGGGGGAAAAAAGTGTTAGAGTATTCACTTTCTTCAAATCATTCCCTAAGCTCATGAAGATTGGTTTTCTGCTGTACATTTTCTCCCTATACGCTAAATGTATTCTCTTCTCTAACAAGGAATTGAAACTAATTTTGTTGAGTTCTCTGGACTCTGTAAGAATGATCCTGATTTCTAATGGATTGCTCTAATCTTTTGTTTTTATATTTTTCCTTGTGTATTTCCCTTTGTCATGTAGATGAAGTCAGTGAAGGAGACATTCAGTATGGTAGCACGATACCCAGGAGAAAGAACAAGATTTCTCAGTACTTGCAAGCTTCTCAATCACCAAAGCCTCTCAAGCCCTTCAAAAATATCGGCCTTCCTCAAGACTTCAGGAGAGTCTCTGCCATCATAGATGTAGACATTGTACCAGAGACTCACCGCAGAGTCAAACTTCACAAACATGGCTCGGACAAACCTCTTGGATTCTACATCCGGGATGGAACAAGCATGCGCGTGACGCCTCATGGACTCGAAAAAGTGCCAGGAATTTTCATCTCGCGCCTGGTACCCGGTGGTCTTGCCGAAAGCACAGGCCTCTTGGGAGTCAACGATGAAGTGTTAGAAGTAAATGGTATTGAGGTTTCTGGGAAGACGTTAGATCAGGTTACGGACATGATGGTTGCCAACAGTGCCAACTTGATCATAACGGTCAAACCCGCCAACCAGCGGAACACGCTGTCCAAGAAGAAGCAGCAGCATCTTGGGGTGTCGTCATCGCTCTCGCAATCCATGGCTAGTCTGGGAAGTCTGGATGAACTCAGCGATGAAGACGAGGTGCAGGACCACTCTGAGAAGCCCGCGGAGACCGGTGGAGATGGCGAGGAGAAGGGGAAGAAAACGGAGGAGACAAAGAGCGAGAAGATGGAAATGAGGGAGCATCACGGAGAGGGGGATGTGGAGATTACAAGGGAGAAGAAGGTACCCTCTGAAAAGATTTTATCACAATCCTCAGAGAAGATCAAGCAACCGCCAGACGATTCAGAGACTAATGCCATTAGCGATAACGAGGAGTGCACGCTATGAGAAAAATCTCTTTCTAGACTGAATAGTCAAGACTCGTAATATACAAATGCACATTGAATGGGTGTTGATGATTATGGTGATGATGTACTATGCAGCAAGTGGACATTTCAGAAGTAAGATGTGACATTGTTCTTCTTTAGTTCATTGACAATCCAGGCTATCGAAGGAAGCTTGTGCACCATATTTGGGATACCAGAATGATGCTTGCAATGAGATTAAAAAGAAGGAAGTTTTAGTTCCAGACAGAGGACAGGTGTGGTGGTAGGTATCAAGGATAACATTCCGCTCCCAAGAGACCTTTGAACCGAGATGTCCCATTGTAGGTCTGGTGGATCGGTCTCCCAGCTACATATTATCAGGCAGGATGCGAGAAAGACCAAGGGTCAGATGGGGTCAATGTCCCAGAAAGGTATAAACAATGCAAGAGAAGTACACAAGCCCATGGGAGCTATTTTATACGATAGCATGGTAATGAATTTTGCTCATTAGAATAAATACCCAGATGATGAAAGATTGCAAATGTATATTTGGTACATATTTGAATGATATGAACAATTTCTAGTTTATACATGTACATGTAGTTCACCCTGGGAATATTCCTCTGTGTACAATATGTACAATGTAATATTGCTCATAAAAAATGGGATTAAGCTATTTTTTTGTTAATGTGGTACTACAAAGACATCTGTATATTTTATATATTTTCCTTTTGCTCACTACATGTACTTGCTATATATTTTGATAAAGTACATACTTTTTTACCCTGGTATTATGGAAGTATTAACGTAGTTTGAGGTTTGATTTACTTTTTTATGTTGAAATAATCAGTCCATTCCACCGTTTTCCTAAATGGTTCTATGAATGTATTTAGACTTCATGTTAGGTACATGTGCATTTTGATTTAGTTTGCAAACATTTATTTACAACAGTAACATATAATGGAATGTGACCCTATCTGATTTACCTACAAATTAGCTTTTGGATTCTTTTGGAACAATAAGACTTTAACCATTGTGATGCCATCACAGTTTCTAAAGGTGGTACAGATATGGTCATTACTAAGAAAATATTCTTCTAACCATAACAAACAGACATGTGTTATTTCTGATTTTCTGCCACTTAAAAGTCACAGAACAAGATTTAAAAGATTCTTGACAGTTTGTGAAAAAATAAACTAAAAATGAAGATCAATGAAACTATGAAAAACAATAAGTAACATTTTAAATTTATCATCAAGGAGGAGATACTATAATCTGGCTTGATGCTAACTAGGGTCAGATGAAAATATGGGTCCCAAAATTCACTCCAAAAAAAAAAAAAATCCAAAATGCAAGAACGTATTTAAAGCTGGCTTTTAATAGATTGACCCCCATAGTTTTATTTGGTTCCCAAAGAAAAGAGTTGTTGACTTTAATACAGAATGTTGAAAATGTAGAAAAAGTGGTAAAAAACGAACAAGTTTTCATGTATTACGTTACAAAATTTATCTTATCTTTAGCATTTATTCTGGTCAGTACATGTACATGTTATGAAAAGTACTACATAATGCTATGTCTATAGTTTGAACATTTCTGTCCATTTTGATGAAATAATTACAAATGCTTTTTATGTGTATGTTGTACTGATATTAATGTACAGTTAGCATTCCAGTAATATGAATTGCACTTTTGATACAATTGAATGAGGGATGATTATAACCCTGTACTAATATTTATGTCTGATACATAGTGTGTTGCATTTGTACAGTATCATAATCTGATATTTGGACACGTAGATAAAGGCAGTACTCTCTGTATTGAAAATAGTGATATATTCAGGTTGATCGGATTAAATTGAATTGAATTGAATTGAATTGAATTGTATTCATTCAATTGAATTAAATTAAATTAGAAGAAGAAATGGATTGATAATTATGCCTATAACTAACTTCATGGAATTTCTCAAGAAAATCAATCGTGATTCTAAAATATTCGTACAGTGTACGTGCGTGAGAAAAAAAGTAAACTAGCCGTTGGATTGATATAAAAATTAAGATAACAAATACTATGGATAAAAATCATCAGCCTTTTTTATGATAAAGAAACACAACTTAAACTTGCATATTATAGTCTGGTCACAAAGGTTTTCAGGAATTTAAATGTTTTAGCATATTTTAATGAATTATGCATGAATTATTAAACATGTATATATATAAAATCTGAAAATACTGATTGATTTAGTAGAATTTTTTTTTTCCTTCTTACCGGTAATCCCATATTCGTTTTTGTCATTTGTTAGACATGCTTAAAACCAGCTCGCCTATATTCCTATAATATGACTGTGTGTGAAATACAATTCCTTACCTTTACTTCAGATTGTTCAGAATTGCGAAATATTCGCAGGTTGGGAGATAACCAAAAAAAGATAAACTGTGTCTTCAGGAAACACCTTGAGTTTTTTTCAGCCACGGAGATGTATTCAATGAAGTTTGCCGATAAATTGCATGATAATATTCATCAGTATCCTGCCCACAGATTCATTATGGTCACATGTTTTGACACCCTTTTGTTCCTACACTTTATGGTAGCCCCAGAATGATAGGTGAACAGTTTTTAAAATGCCATTATAAAGCTGTGCTTCATACCTTATACTACCAAACTTTCTCCAAGCGGACCGATAACTTGGCCATTTTGTGTGTAATGCCAAATATTTGTTTGTAGTGTCAGTCATAGACGTAAACTGGGGCATCCCTTATGACTCTAAATGATGCGGTAAATTGCTGCGTTAAAAAAAATAAAAATGGTGACACTACAATGTATGTAGTAACACAGAGCTCAGTGAGGAGCTTTGTCATGCGCAGTTTGGGGGGTGGATTTACTGTGGCATATCAGAATACACTGTAATAGTAGGAACAAAAGGGTGTCGGAATGGCTAAGATAAAAAATGTATAGTTAGCTTTATGTATATGTTACTAAGCACACACATTAATCATCATAAGCACTTTTTCCTCTAAATTTTTTATTCTATTCTAGCAAAATGTTTTAAATGATGTGTGACAATTTCCTCATGCTCTGAGGTATATTCTTTGCATGCTTCGGTAATCGAAATGTCTGAATCACTTTTTGTTTGTGAATCAGTAACCAGGAAGATAAAAGCACATGACGTAGACTGCAGACATGACTTGCCTAAAACAGCTCATAGGCATTGGCATGCCATAAACTTTCCACTAGCAAAAAAAAGAAAGAAAAAAAGAAGAAGTTTTTGAACGGTAAAAAGTATTATACGATGATCTGGATAGGTTGACCTATGTTAACCAATATAGGAAGTCGTAAGGAAATATAGAAAATGTGCTCATTTGAAATCAAACAAACTCAAAGAAGCATGTCAAATGTCATTTGCAATTATTGCATCATTTACAAAATGTATTATTTGATAAAGATCATTACATGAACAATTGAACATGTATCTAGTCTTGTTGTCTCAATGTCATTTGCATTTTCTATAATTTTCTTCTTTTTTATTTGCCTCCCCAAACCCATGTTTAAATGTCAGATGGTGGGAGTTTTTTTATTAAGTAAAGCAGTGCCTTATGTTTCTATTTCTCTCATCCAAAAGTGCTAAATAGATCTGACTTTGTGTCACTGTTATTAATTGCTGCAAAATCATTTTAAAAATGTGGTAACTTAGAAATTATACTATCCCCCATGCTATATGCCCAAGCACTATTTAGTCATACTGGATTGCACCATAATACGTATATGTAATTGTTTTTTTCATTTTTAGATTGGCAGACAAATGCTTAATGTCACTTGTCACATTGTCTGTAAAATGAATGCTAAGAATATTTGCCATTTATTTGGCACAATACTTAATTCACAATTTAGGTTAAATTGCACAATACTTCTGAAGTCACTTTGTAGATTCACTTTACCGATGGTTTGTTGCCAGCATTACGAACAATGTCAGATAATGTTATATCTACTTCCTTTGAGCAGCTCATTTACATGTAGTCACACATGTTCAGAGGTTCTAGTGATTTGTAATGCTTTTTATTTGTCTATCTTTGTTGAATTGTGCACAATCCATGTTTATTTCTCATGTAAATTAATGTATTCTCTGTCTCTAAGGTAAATGTAAATCATCGGGTTTGATTTTAATAAAATGATTTTTTTAAATGGTGAAGAGGCCAACTTTTAGGTATCTTGAAACAGGTAGAAAATCCTAATGTAACTGCATTTTTCATTGCCACACATACAGGTAAACATTCATACTGTATGTATCTGATTTCACAATTAATGTATTCAGTCAATCCCCCAATATTCATTCATATTTCAGAGTCCATAATAGAACTCATGCAAGATTTCAACATCAGAGGGTATCATCAAAAAGTATCTTTAAAAAAAAGTATATATAGATATATATTGTCATACCTCTGTATGCTTCTGTATTATTTACCGGTACAATTGCAAATGTATAATGATCGTAATCTCCTAGTGTTTACTACCGTGATGGTCATGATCGTACTGTGTACTATGTTATTGTTAACCATGCAGAAAAAAAAAAATAAATAGATAGGCATTAATGAAAACAATGGCTAAAATATGTATAACTTTTAAGAAATTATCAAATCTGTAAATTCATTTGTTACCTCCTACCTAAGGCTAAAGATGTTTAACATGTACAAATACATTGTAATTAATTGCATGTTACATAGTAAAATATTTTTGGAACTCAATGTGCTTCCATGTTGTATCAATTGAATTGCAGATTCAAGACAAGACAAACAGAAATGATATGCTTACATCTTTGTACTCTATAATTGTATTCATTTCACCTAAGGTCACATGCTAAATTGACGAAAATTCATTATTGGTGTTATTTATGTCAAGCATTTGTTTGTGCAGTGGAGAATTTGAAGAAGAAGAAGAAGGAAGAAAAAAATGTAAATATTGCGATATCATATTTTTTTCAGAGGCATTTTCTAAAATAGTAAGAGAAATGGAATCTAACAGATGATTCTTGAACCACATTTTTCAGATAATACTGGTAATACGCAGTGATATATTCGAGGCTAGAAGGTCAGAGAGTCAGGCGTCCGATGAAAAACATCACCTTCCTTAGGTTTTTTTCTGTACAATTGACCCGGTCCAAAGTCAAGCCAAGTCCATTACAATATGGCCTTGAGGCCAGACTCGACTATATTGCTGGTAAATAATATGGCATTATGTTTTATAGTATTCCTACGAGAGATCAAATTCAATTAGTTTAATTGCTTGTCGGGTGTGTAATGATTAGACTCATACCATGATACATGTACTTCAATATCATTTTGTTTAATTATAATGTACTTAGCAGGTTCTTTGTTGTGTGATCCTGTGCAATGTGTCTGTGACTTCTGTCCATTTATTTCATCCCAAACTGCAAACCTCCTGATATGACCACTACTAAAGGTATTTATAAATAACAAAACTATTTTTGGATGAAACAAATAGAAAAGAAAACAGATTCTATCGCACAGTACACGTTGCTCGAAATCACCATTTAATTTGGAAGCTTGTGGATGTAGGATGTACTGTCTGCACTGAAAACTGTTACATGATATTCTGGCAAGAAATCAACTCACACTTGTGTAGATACCTTGCAAAATGAACATCACCTATCTTGGCAGTCTGTAGCTGAAAACGTGATACATGGAATAGAAGACCAATGTTCACAAAATATTTAACACAAATGCATTACTCATCCCCAAGACATCAATTTTGACAACGTTGTGTTTTTAGAAATGATGGACATAACAGAGATAAATGTATGTGTATGATGTACATTTTTGTATCACATTCATGAATACATGTCACTACAGTGTAGATCTAATGGGATAAATATTCCTGTTGGGTTTATACGTGTATGTATTAATACTTGAGTGGAAGTTTCATTATTCTGCACTTGCAAACACAGTCAGACTCATGCATGCAATGTAATATGTTTCTATACAACATGCTCTAACCCCGGTGGGGTCACTCAATGTGACTTCCGGACCGCATGATCGTTACCAAAATCGCGGAAAAAGGGGTCAATTTCAAGCAATGTCCGCAGACAAAATATTCCTCGAAATAAAGAAAATAGGGGTGCACAGGTGTCCCCGAAATTGATAAATAGGGGTCAGGAAAAGGGAAAAGAGAAAACCGGGAAGGGAAAAGAGGAAACCGGGAAGAAAAATTCTCGGAGCCGAGTCTTGTCCTTGAAATATGGTAAAATAGGGGTAAATTTGCGAAAGTGTCCTTACAATCTTATAAGTAGGGGTATTCCAAAGTACGATTTTGTCCTTGTTTTGACGTAAAAAAGGGGGTTAAATTTCACAAAATGTCCTTGAAATTGACCGCAAAAGGGGGTTATATGCATTGGTGGTAACGGTCATACGTGTCACTCTTTGCAGGGGAGTGACCCCACCGGGGCTCTAACAAAGTATTTTTTTCTGAATTAATGTGTGTCTCATAAATGACACATCTCTAGAATATCCGTCTACGCCGGAATACTGCTCATACCAAGGGACTGTAAACGTGTATCATGCAAATTCATTTTCTCCCTGATAATTCACCACTAGTGGTGTGTACCGGAGAACATGTCCACACGTAGTATACCCAGATAAATGCAACAGAAGTGTAACACGAGAATGACTATAAAGTTACACCAGGGATGTGTTCCTTAGTTACCGCAGCTCGCAGACTGCACGGTTTTGGCAAATTCCATGGGAGTGGGAAGAAACTATGTCCCCTCGGTCAAAGGGGGGCGCCGCTACCTGTTGAGATGTTCATGACCTTCTCCCTCGTCTAACCACACTAACGACCTTTGACCTTACCGAAACGAGGGGATTAGGGCATACAGGTGTGGTGATATATTTAGTGCCTTTATGGGGGAAAAGTTGTCAAAGAATCTGTAGGCCTTTTTTGTAGATATTTATGGAGATATTATCACTATGGCATGTGGTACAAGAGTTCAATGTTTTGTATGTAATTGGTTTATGTTCCACTGTGTATTTTTTTATATTGTGTGTTTGGCATATTAATTTCAAGCTATACCCTTTTTGAGTGTTTTTCCTCGCAACATGTGTAAATTTACATGTAGATGTTGCAAAAACTGTGTGAGACTATTATGTATTCCTTTGTATGATATTCTATTTTATTCCATTTAATGTATTATTGAATTGGAGATATTAAGTATGACAGAGCAGAAAATGAAAAGATTAATTCAATTTGGGTCCAAGTTTTTTTGCACGACACCAAGTAATATATGTTCCCTCACAACTGTTTAAAAATTTGCTGCATTGTGGCAAACAATTGTATAATAATATCATTGCTATGAATATACAAGTAGTACATGATCTTGATTAACAATGAGCTATCTGTAATAAAAACAAATGTACTAAAAAACTGTCATTTTACTACATGTAATTGTATGTTCTCTTGTTCCAATTGTACCCTGCGAGATGGAGAGAGGAGAGAGAGAGAGAGAGAGAGAGAGAGAGAGAGAGAGAGTGGAGAAAGAGAGACAGATGGGGAGAGAGAGACAGAGAGGGAGAAAGAGAGAGAGATAGAGAGGAGAGAGAGAGAGAGAGAGAGAGAGAGAGAGAGAAAGAGAGAAAGAGATTTAAAAAAGGAAATCCTGTAAAAGTCATGGTACAAGTTTAACAAAAAATGATTTAATTTCAAAATGTTTATCTTGTATATCAAGAGTGGAGATGAGGATACTTTCAGAAATATACAACTGTCATGAATCTTAGCCACTCAAAGAAAATATAAAGTGCACAAAATTTGTCTAGTTTTGAAGTTCCTCCCGGGTTTAAGGTCGATTTTATTGTTCACGAGCCAATATTACGGTAATAATAATAATATTGGGTTCTCATATAGCGATCATGTCTGTTACACTTGTCACCTCAAAATTCTTACACTTGCTTTAGCATAGCTGCCATTATGGCATTCTAGCATTTCAAGGAATTAATTCCTGCCAGGTACCCCATTTACCTTGCCTGGGTCGAGTGTGGCAATTGTATACGGCTGGACTCAAAACTGCGAACCATGTGATCCACAGTCAAGAGACTCGTCCCCTACTAGATCACAACACCCCAATGAACAAATTAGGCATTTTATCTCTAATTTAATACATGGTCCTTTGGATAGGAATGGAAGTGGTGTAGTTCCTGTAGAATTTTCAAGCATTAATAATTTAATATATACAATTGAACCTGTCGCAACACCCATCTCTCTACCAGGGACGCCAATTAGAATTGATCAGAGGGCCTGAAAATTGCCTAGAATGAGCCATTTTGTACACAAAAAACCTAAACTATATGGCCTGAATTCAGACTTTTGCCTGAAAACTGGCATCCCTGCTCTACAAACACCAACAATAAAATGTTTATGTTTCCTTTGGATGGCTTTTATTGACAAATTAGATCTTGATCATCTTGTATATGCTTTCTTTGTTATAGCACTCTAAGAAAGAATAAGCATTACAATACAATCAATGATAGATACAACGGTTTTCCAAAGATATGGAGATAACCCAACCAAAGATGACAGAAGACATGTGGGACTGCAAATATTGATTTCATATAAGAATTTATTCTGTGGTAAGGAATTAAAGATACAAATATGTATAGAGCTATACATGCACGTTGGGACGGAAGGTCGTGAAAGACAGAAATAACATCAGAGTTGTACATATCATAATCATTTTTAAAATCACATTCATATTGTACAGGATTATATAATATCATGCACTGCAAAAGAACAATCAAATGTACATTCATCTTATATAAAAGCAAATATCTGCTAAATTACATAAAAATACAATAATTGTAATCCAAGAAATAAAATGAAATAAAAATATATATCTTTAAATGAATAAAAAATAGAAATAAAAAACATTGGCTCCAATTTTCCTGAATTGTCCTTTTCATTAATTCACGTACGGTATATAAGATGAGAAAAAATAGCCCTCGTAATAAAAATATTGTTCAGTTGCTTTACATAGTTCATGAATGTAACATCCACCCAGACTATTCAGATTGTCAGTCATTCAGTGATACTAATTTAGGGCCAAACTAATAAATTGTAAAGAATGTATTCTCTCTGAAATCAGCTCCTATCATACATATTATATACTTAATATGTCAACCTGTTCAACTTTGTTCCAATTCACAAGTTGATTCACATGCATATTAAAAATTGAAGATATCATGTGTTATCATTTCTCAATCATACAAAGTGAAAATACATGGGAGGGGAGATGACCAGTTCCATACAGCCCCAAAATATTATAATAATGGATCCCAAATTCCAAAAATTGCAATTTTCATTGATTGGACACTTTCCATGAGACATAGTTTGTGATTCTCAACACTATATTACGATTTGTTTATAAATACCTCCTCCTTAGACATGCGTAACAAGAAATAATTCTTCATTAAATTTTCTCTCACTTGTCAAGTTATGAAGTATAAGAACTGTAGAATACAAGCAGAATACATGCAATAAATATTTTTCAGGAATCAAATTGTTCTAATAAAGATGTACAATGCAAGATGTATAAAACATATAGCAGCATTTTGGAAAACATGTATATTAAAAAGATCATGCTAAGTGAGAGTCACTTCCAATTCTGTTATTTTAATCGAATCAGTTTTTGATACATCACAAGATTTGACTGGTTGGGGCTATTCGGGCTAACTTCCAAAACTTAGTCCAAAGAGCTCTTTGGGGTTCTTGCATGTTTGCTACCCTCTACAGTTAAAGCCTATAAGCACTAGTTTGGCCAGGAGGGATTATACCTCCTGCATGGTCACTGACAGGTGGTTATCTCATCAAATTAGCGCTCAATTAATATAAGAAAAAGTGGACCATGGGGGACCAACGGTCACCACTTAGGCATTGTTTGCAATATAGAGGGCGCAAATAGCTATTAAATGCAGTGGGCCGGCTTTAAAATTTATCAAATTTTTTAGTGGAAATGTGCACAACTGCTGATCCTCCTTGTGCTTGTACAAATGTACATGACAACATATCTAGACCAGTTTTGGAAACTAGTACACTGGCTACAAATATTTTCAGCCAAGAGCCCTGCATAACATGAGCACAAGCGTTATATACAAAGAACTCTTCTCATACATAAAATAGTCCTGGGCCGAGAGATACACTGTCCACATTTTTGCCGCATTCATTGAAATCAAAAACGATTTAGAATTTGCAATGTAACAATCATACTGATTGAAAAGAAGAATCAGGGGATCATTGCATAAAACTGTCATAAGTGCAAGTTGGCTGACATCCCATTAAAATTAGGCCTGTTAAGTTTAACGGGTTGTTGACAAACTAGTAGAGATACACGTATGAGGCCTTTGCAAAACACTGCACAGATCTCCACTTATATGAAGAAAAAAAGAAATATATGCCAAAGTATTTCAGATTACCATAATAATATATCTATAAACATATTTGTGCCAGAATTTGGTATCTCTATGAAAATCTAATATCTCTATCAAATACAAAAAAGCCAAGGCAAGACAAAGCTTGGAATAACCTGTATCTAAAAATGTTGCTACATAATGAAAACACTACGCAGTAGGTCTATAAACGATCATAGTGATTTAAAAATACCAACATGATTAAAAAGAGCACTGAAAAGGAATCAAGGTGGGTTGAAATCAAATTGGTGGAATATACATAAATTTGCAATACACACATCACAATAAAATGTACAATTTCAATATGTAATTCACATAATTATACGCATACATTTACATTTATTTACATGAATTGTATTGCAGTAAAATTGATTGACAATCAAGGTGTTGGTACTAGAAATATAATGCTTCAATAACTGATTTTTAATAAACCAGAAGATGAACAAAACGGAAAAGAAATAGCAAAACACATGCATTTAGTGTTGAAATTTCAATGTCTTTGCCATCATAATGACTGATATTTGACTATTATTGTGACCAAAAGTTGCAGCGTTGGTCAGGAATTTGAATTTTGACCCTTTGTTTTGGATAAAATCAGGGATGCCAACCTTTCAGAGCACAAATCCGTAATCATAAGGCTAAAAATCCGTAATTTGGAGACAAAATCCGTAATTTTCTGCGCGACGCAAATTTTTCTGCACGCTGGCAAGCGCAGCTCCCGCAGGCAAGCGCGATAGCACAACAAGTTAAATAAAAGTAACATAGTCTACCTGTTCATTAGTTGGTGTTACACGATGCATTTCCATTTCTTACTGTATTCTTCTTTAAAAGTCTGTAACTTCTTGCCACGCTTCTTAGTTGTGGAAGACATGATGATTGATATCTAAATCCAACCAACATGAGTTCAGATTGTCGACGAAAATCGACGAACGCTGTGACAGCCTGTGAGAAATCCGACAGTGTACACGGCGCTAGCGTAGCGAGGCCTGGCGCTGGGCTTTGGCGGGCGGTAGCGGCGCGGCCAAGAGAGGTATTTCACCCGGCCCCCGCTCGCGAAGCACATGTTGTATGCACATGTATGCACTGAAAGGGGTGTGCTAGATAACAAATTGTCCAATCGGAAGCCCTGTGGGATTTCTATGCATGGATTCAAGGATGGCTGCGCTGCAATAGTCAAAAGTACGTGCTAAACCTTAAACGTGCTAAACCTTAAAGTGCTAATTTTGAAAATCGGCAAAATTGGCAAAATCCGGAATTTATGGTATGAAAATCGTACCGCCCGTAATCGGCCGATTTCCCGTAGAAATTACGGGAAATCCGTACTAGTTGGCATCTCTGTAAAATGCGTCCATAACCTTGACTATCACCATGGTTTAACTTTAAAAAGAATCTTTCTACAGTGACCTCGTGTAAAGAAATACCACTTGTCTACAAGGACCACATCCTTTGTCTCCCTTGTAAAGAGTTTCTCAATGAAACATGGATCACATATACATAAATATAACTTCCCTATAAAGACCACTTTTCTTGTCCCTCCTCAGAGAGATTTTTATATATACCGGTATACAGGTTTCACTGTACTACTCAAGGTGGTAAAATGCTGGCATCCCAGGGTCTGCCTTTAAAGCTGCGATTGATATTCACCTAAATACATTGACCCGTATCCTAAATTTTACACTAAGCTAGTGTCCAAATCAGGGCACCATCTTACAAAGAGATGCGATTAATCCAAATCAATCGCAAGTTTGCAATCTTCTATCTCTTATCTACAGTACATATGCGATTGATATCAAGCGCAAATAAGTTGCGATTACTATCAACTCTTTGTAAGACAGGGCATAGATATAACAAAGGAAGTTAGTTAGAGATCTTTTCTTTTGTTAAAAGTGATCCTAGACCTTTGTTTTAACTTAATCAGTAGAATAAGGACTGTTGTGTCCGATTTGGATCAATTGCAACACTTCATGAGACAGGAACCTGAAATCTATGTTCATTGAGTGCCTATTATTTCTCCTACAATATTTGATATGTTATTACTGGTAATTGATACATGTGAACATGTAGTACGTACAAGTAAATGATTACAATGATCATTCCCATACATCGTAATTTGGTCAATTCATCACAAGATATTTGGGCAAGACCAAGGTATGGCCCATATGTCACCAATGATTACTGACTTATATTACTTGCATTATAAAAATATAATTTACTCAACATTTTGTTTCTTTCAAGCTCTAGAATTAGGGCTATCCGCTTGATACAGTATCTTGGACTTGCCATAGATACAATCTGCGCATGGGTAGCTGTAGGTCATTGTAAATTGTAAACCCGTCAAGCCGCATACTGGAGTCATGCTCATGAAAGTTATATAATCATTATTCATTCATTCACCAAGGACCACTTCTGATACACATTTGAAAGTATTCTTCTCAAGAGGGCAAATAAAAGGTTTTCATGAAGCATTTCCATTACTCCGGCAGTAATTATTCTAAAATGCACAAAGTGGAACGTCTCCATGTGCAAAAGTCTTGTGGATATTTGGGGGTCATTTTGACCAAAGCTGGTCTATTGCATGCTTTGTATTCATGCAGTTCTCTCCCCTTGACTTATCCATTCATTATTTCAAACCTTTCTCCCTTCTTCCTAGGATGGTCAGTGTTGGACATCGATGGGGTTGAAAATGTTCATCTCCTTTCTCAGCTTCATCATATCAAAGGAGCCGTCGTCGGGCGTCGCCCTTTCCGGTGATTTAGGATTCAGGCCATAGCTTCGCTTTGTCGGTTCTTTCCCTGCCTTACTTCTCTTCTTGTCCTCCTGCAACAGCTTTGAACGGGCGTCGGCTTTCTTCTTGCCCTTCGTCTGATCTCGTTCATTGTTCTGTTTCCTTGACAACCAATCGTCGAAGGTCGAGTTGCGATCTTTCACTCCACCTTTTCCTTTATCCGCCTTTGAACCCCTGTAAAGGTAGAAATAAAGCCATCATATATGAGATGAGTGTCTTATGTTTTGGAAGAAATATTGATTGTTCTAGTGTAATTGAAAGCAGAGCTGTGGTTAGCACTGGTACGAAGAGTACACCATTCTTTAGGTTACTTAACGATTGCGCCATTCCAAGATTGCCATCGGTCATTTGTTAAATTGTCTATGAACAAATCATGTAGAAATATCCATAATTTGCTGCATATAATACTTTCCAACTGGTTTATAATAAGAAGTAGGGACACTTCTGGACAAGCAGTACTCTCAATTGACTTGTAGTCACAAGGTTGAGAGTTTGAGTCCTGGCTCAGTGGAAGAACTTTCACGATTGAAAGTCGATTTAATGAAACACTGAGTAAACCCAGACAATGTAAAGACTATTCTTGAAAGATGGTGCTAATTATTAATGCATCATATGTTTCATCTACTCTAAAAGGGAATTTTTCATTCCATCTTTCAATATCAAAGGGCAAACTCAAACTTGGGAAGATCTACTTCTGCACCTTGCACAAATGCACTTCTCAACACAAAATATTTCACTAGATTTGTTTTGTTATTTTCACTCAAAATTAATTCAGCCATGCTCACTTTTAATCACTTCACTTATATCTTATTTAACATTGAATACAATGCAGTTGCATGGGTTATTCTTTTATTGTGTTAACTCGGCAGAGGCCACGGTCATGTTCAAGCATTTACGCTTACGACATGTGGTCTCCTGCTTTTTCCTTTTGTAACAAAATGAAACTTTTATTTTAACTAGAAACAAACTTTGTCAAACATACATGTTATTCATTATATTTATTTGTATGTTTCTTTGTACATGTATTGATATGAAAAAGTGGAAATAAAACAAACAAACAAACAAACAAACAAACATGTTACTACACTGAAAGAAATGACAGCATGCTTACTTCTTTCCACCTGCCCTTGCTTCTGCTTCTTGCACATTCTTCAACGTTTCCATCCCAAGTCGCACCTGAGTCCCTACCTCCTCCTGATCAACCAGCCAATCATCATCGACCTCCCCGTCGCTCGACCACCCACTCGAAGCAGACTCTGGTCGATGCTTCCTTCTCGGTGCACTGAGCCTCGTCCCTGAGAATTCTCCAGGTGGCAGTATCTGTGTGGTGTACATCTGTGCGTAGGCGCCGTTGAACCACGTCTTCAGCTTTGAGTCGTACATCTGGTGAGCCATGCGTCCGCTTGAGCGCGCGATCGGCTTTTGCTTTGCTGCCCTCTGTTGCCATTGGAAGAGGAAGATCTGCCTCTCGCAGGATTTGTGGCCCCACAATCCAGCAAGGACCAATGGCGACTTGTTCTCTGTGTCTGGATCATCAATTGTGGCACCGTTGTGCAGCAGGACCTCAACAGCACTGTTCATACCTTGGGCTGCTGCTATGTGCAAAGCAGTGCGGCCATTGGCAGTCTTTGCATGTACATCAGCACCTATATGGGACATTGACATTTTGAAGGAACATTTTACTTAATGGCCAATTATACATTTCTATTTTTCACATACATCAAGTTTCAAAAACTTGCACAAAACTGATATGCTTCTACAATGTAGTTCACTTAAAGGCACACTGCCATACTTGTAGCTACCTGCTCCCTCTATATAGAAAACTTCCCCAATCGGTGCCTGTTGGTCCCCCATGATCCTCTTTTTCCTATGTTAAATGAGAGCTGAGTTAATGACATAGCCACCTGTCACAGTGACCTCGATGGCTCGCTGTGTGGTCTAATCCCTTCTTGCCCAGTAGTGGTGACGGTCTTTAAAAATAGATCAACAAAATGAAGTACATGTATATGCTTCCAGTGCATTCCTACCCTGTATAAATCTACCAAAACTAATTTTATTTTACTATAGTCCAATTTTATTTTACTATAGACAGCTAACAGACCACACTATGCTTGGTAAATCAAGCAATTCTTTGATTGTAATAGTGAATTGGCACATTGAAAAGTTCACATATAGTTGTCTGACACCTACCGGTACATGTAATACAATTATTACACTTTGGTTTTTCAAGACACTTCTAGAAAAAGGTCATTATATCATAATCTGCAAAGAATTAAAAGGCAAGGATAAACACATTAGTTTTCTGCACAGCAGATAAATGGAATGGGGGCATCCACAGATTTATGTACCGAAGGGCCACATTATTACATACATCTACATATGATTCCTGAATTTGGACCTGTCACATCATTACTGGTACAAAATTCCAACATCTCTGGGAAAATTATATAAATGCGTCCTGGATAAACCTACCTCCCTCGATGAGTTTCTGTACCATGTTGACATGACCTCTGTGAGCAGCTATACAGAGAGCAACAAAAGCTCTGTCTGCTATCCATGCCTGCCTCGACTTCTCTCTCATTGTCTTCGAAGATGGAGTCTCGTATGTTGTGTCCTTCGTAACTCCCAGCTTCATCACCTGATCGTCAGATAGATAAGAGAAAGTGTTCTCATTAAACAGCTGATTACTGAATTCTCTCATTACCATCTAGGATTAATAAAAGGGTCATCTGGGGAGTGTTTCACAAAGACTAAGATCGACTTTAAGTTGGACTTAACTATAGCAGGCCATTCATGCCACTGGTTGCTCTCACCATTTGTCTCTCAATTATAATCTTTAGATAATATTTTTTCCTGCAATTTTGAACTATCAAAAAATGTAAATTCTGTAGATTAGTGACCATGATTTGTACGTCCTTTGAGAGACCACTGCCAGTAAATGGTGATAGCAAACAGTGGCATGAATGGCCTGCCATACTTAAGTTAAACTTAAAGTTGATCTTAGTCTTAATTGTGAAACACCCCCCCCCCCCCCCCCTGGTCCCAGTAGACAATGAGTCAACAAGGCATGGTTTATTTGAATTCTTACAAACACCAATGGTGATATGTTTCGGTGTTGTTTTTAATCAGGATCAGTAAATTAGAATCTGAATTTTCAGCTACTGACTCATAAACGACAGCCCCAAAATCATCTTCTAATACTCTAAACTTTACAAAAACTGATGAGCTATTCAGAGTAAGGCTGTGCACAACAGTGTAATGAGGTACCCGAGTACACTCCCAGGCTTACAAGCGAATACTCAAATATTCGGACGCCATAATTTTTTTGATTTTTAAAAAAAAAAATTGATTTTTTTAAAAAATTTTGATTTTTTTTATTTATTTTTTTTTTTTTGCCACTATCATACCACTCGGCAGTTTCCCAGGTCCCTCGCCGAAAACGAATGCAATTTTACTTTGAGTTGCAGTTGAAGGCGCTGATTTAATAAGAATAATAACAGTAAACAATGCTGTTTTAAAAACCAAAGATGGCAGAATAATCCATTTTCCTCCAAGTCCAAACAGAAATCTGGACATTTGGTCCCAGTTTCTGAAAGGTGAGTTTGACAGTGCTTGAGTTCGGAAACATTTTTACCGACGGTACCATGCCAGCGGACGCCGCTCTCCCTGGCACGGGTAAGCGTGGGCCTGGATATTTTTTTTTTGCGGCCGAATATTCGGGTACGAGAAATCGTACCCGAGTAGTTGTCAACCGTGCGGGTACTCGAGCATTCGACTACCCGTCGCAGCCTTAATTCAGAGTATTTAAAAGCCATGCGTTTGTGATCAATATGCTACAGCGATGTGAAGATGTTACTGCATAAAAGAGCTAGAGTAAGTGAAACAATTTAACTTCCTTACATACAAGATATAAAGAGTGCTGGAAACATTAGCGTTATTGAAATCAGATTGTTTTTTTTCATAACCTATGTCTCGATCTACTTGTTCAAAATTTGATATGTGATTATTTTGCAAGCGAGTATTCGTTTGTGCCACGTCTATTATTGCTGTGTTATATCTTTCTAAATGTACTATGGAATCTTATTTTAACAGTTCTGTATAAATGTTATGCTTTTTGATGTAACTTTGTTCATGTATAGGGCCCCATGGAAGACCACTACTTATTGTGAATAGGCTACCCTGACAAAAGATTAGAAATAAATAAAGAAAAAAATAAAGAAATAAATTATACCTGATTCACGTCTCCTTTTGCTGCTGCTGAGATGAGAGTTTTCCATGTATTCCAGACATCTAGATTAATGATTGCACCTGGTACTATATCATGGTGTTTGACATCACTATCATCCATCATGTCGGCTGAAGAATGGAACACAAGACAAGAGTTTTAATTCATATGGTTCATAATTTTTAATTTACCAAATTTTGACTGATGGCAGCTACATGTATATTTTCAATATCTTTTATACATAAAAAGGGATGAATTGATTTTCTCACAAATGAATTATCCTATACATGGATGTCAAATTTAGATATTACTTAAGGAGGGGGGGGGGGGAATAGGGGAGGTTGCAAAGTGATCATGCTGATTACCATTTGCAAAGCCCTTAATGATAATAACTTCTTAGTAGTTAATGAGCTATTATATGTTTTGTTCTATTGAATACTTGTTTTAAAGACCGTCAATACTACTGGGCCAGAAGGGATTAGACCACACAGTGAGGTCAGCTCTCAACTAACATAAGAAAAAGAGGATCATGGGGGACCAACAGGCACCGATTGGGGAAGTTTGTCTATATAGAGGGAGCAAGTAGCTACAAGTAGGACAGTGGGACTCTAACAAGGTGAAATAAATAAACATTTATAGGTTGAAGCGACGTTAATGTACACAGAATGTTAATACAGGGGGAGGGGGGGGGGGGGTCAATGGATGCCATTAGTTTCCAGTAAAACTGAAACAATCGGATCAAAACCTCACCTTCATCAAGGTAAGTTAATCTTTGCAGATGGCTGGGTATCCCGGTAACAAACTCCATCCTGGATTTCAAAGCTCTTATCTTCATCTCCTGGTACACCTCCTTCATGACAAAGATTTCATCAGTGAAGAGCTTCACCCGTAGCTCAAAGAACCGGCCCTTGGCCTTGGCACTCCCAGGTTTGTCCCCCATGATCGGGGCTTGCCTCTACTCTCTTTGCAATGTTCCCGCAATGTTCCAGTAATCGGTTGCACTCTGCTAAACTCCAACGTCTTCCAGATTTGTAGGCAGGTCTGCTGTGTACCTATTGATAGTACTTGTAAGTCAGTCACTTCTATATATCAAGCTGCATTTGTAACATCTTTGGCATTGAGGTGATAGGTCTAAAAACGTGGAGAAAAAAAAAATCATATGTATAAATAAGAGTTGAAAGTGAACTCAGAAACATTGTTGAAGGTTAATGAAAAACTGCGTAATTTTTGAATGAAATGTTACTTATTATATTCCTTCTACTGTACTAACCCTCTAACATGCAAAAAATCCTGAACAAATTCTCAAACCACAAAGATTATGAAAGATTTTTATGGTTTTCTTTGAAGGCATCACTGTGCAACACCCTCTAACTGTAAATTCTTCCATCCATTTTTGAATTTTTCCAAACGTTTTTTCCATGAAAATAAGACATAGGTCTAGTCTAAGACTAGACCGAAAGCTTCAGTCTCTATACCGTCGGTTGTTCCACTGAGACTACGTCTGGCTCCACTAGACCTACGGTTATAGAGACAGAATGATCGCCTATGCCAGCCTATGTTGAAGATATCACGGCTAGATTTTAGCCGTTAGGCCCCTCCCACAAACATGAACAAACTTGCCACGGCCGTATTGTTATGCCCCCAAAATCCCCCAAAATGTCATTTTACCTCGTGCATATACAATTTTACATTAGGCCTAGGCTATAATACATCGGTTCCACTTACTAACTTGATTGAAATAATCCGTTTAATGGTCCCTTTTAAGGAAATTATGGGTCAAAATCGACATCCATGTTGAAAATCTTGCAAGCCGTGTTAAACTCTCGCTGCCGTCAATCTCATCCCTTCTAGTCTACGCCGAAGGCAAAATGATTATGAAGGAAAAACTGTGCGCCATCTACACGTTCGTAATGGCGTTATCACAGTTTTTCCTTCATAATCATTTTTGCCTTCGGCGTAGACTAGAAGGGATGAGATTGACGGCAGCGAGAGTTTAACACGGCTTGCAAGATTTTCAACATGGATGTCGATTTTGACCCATAATTTCCTTAAAAGGGACCATTAAACGGATTATTTCAATCAAGTTAGTAAGTGGAACCGATGTATTATAGCCTAGGCCTAATGTAAAATTGGATATGCACGAGGTAAAATGACATTTTGGGGGATTTTGGGGGCATAACAATATGGCCGTGGCAAGTTTGTTCATGTTTGTGGGAGGGGCCTAACGGCTAAAATCTAGCCGTGATATCTTCAACATAGGCTGGCATAGGCGATCGTTCAGTCTCTATAACCGGAGGTCTAGTGGAGCCAGACGTAGTCTCAGTGGAACAACCGACGGTATAGAGACTGAAGCTTTCGGTCTAGTCTAAGACAGACTTTTAAATTTGTTAACACTTAAATGTTTGGAATGGTATATAGACTAGAGCCAATTCATTGCTTTCACCAAAAATGTAATTAAATTGTAATAATATAGTTGGGAGAATTAAGGACTCGATCAGTTAATTTTTCCCAATTTTTATCATCAATGATGGTCTTTTTCACTCAAACTTTCAGATTATCTTTAATTGTAGATCTAGCATTGAAGTCGCTACCTTAACACTTTTTTCTTTTATCTGAACAATGATACCAAGGCCCTTTAATACTTGGACTTTATTTCCAAGACACTCAGCTCAACTAGAAGTAGACCTAGGATGAATACACCAAATGAATGATGATACATGCAAAACAACAGCAACAACATCTAATTTCTTTTAGAATGTTTGTGTCTCTTTTTTTTCTCAGGAAAATGCTCATAAAAATTTCCTCTCATAATTCTTTATTCAAAGACAAATTCTTGGTATTTGATGACACTCACACTGGCAGACACTTAACTTTTAAGTTTTAAAAGCCATCTACGTACTTAGATCTACCTACCAACAGTGACCAACTACCAATTGAATTACCAATCACTCCCTGACGCCCGCGCCCGACTACTCCCGATGCCGTGGGCCGTGTGAATTTGTGATCAGACAATTGATCAATTTTCCTAGATCTTAAGACTTAGGTCTTAGTTAGAATGGTAATCAGACTCGACTCGCCTTTCTTCTCTAACAAGGAACATGCTGAGTAACCAAACACTGGTGAATGCTTTATCAGTTAAGGCCTAGGGGTTTGGTTCGGCAGGTACACATTTTACAGCAGCAGGAGCTCGACTTATGTACGGTACGAGAGAGAGCGTCTCTGGCAACACAACAACTCCATTATATAATTAATTTACGCATGCGTAGTTATCATCCTGCACTGCATTGCCGTCTTAAAAATATTATGATTAATTGACCTTTTTTTATCCATTTTTATGAAAAATTGCAATTAAAAAAACGTTTTGATTAAAACAACTTAATATAATTTTTTTAATAAATTCAATCAAAATTTTATTTTTAAGAACAAATTATAAGAAATGTGACTAAAAGTAAAGTGAGAACGAGGACATGTGAATATTCGGCCGCTAGCAGTGACTAACGCCGTATTTAGTTTAAAATCCTTCTTTTGAGCTATTTGTCACTCTCTGCAATCAAGTAACCATCTCTCAAGATGATGAGATTACCCTTTCAAATGTTGGTTCGGTCAACGGTTAGTATAAGTTCATACAATACCTGTGATTTTTAAGGAAATGTGTGCAATTATATAATTTATTACAACAGTCCCACATGTTCGAATTTGTGAATTGTTTATATTTCAGGGTCTGAGTTTGACTGTGGAATGTGAGTGACAGCGACCTTTTACTGCCTTATCTACCAAATTATTTGATACACCTATACACTGTGCAAACACAACAGAATCCACTTTATTTTTTTAGTGTAGAATCTTGCATGAGTTGAATTTTAATGTTAAATCTGAAAGTTTCAGTGCCTAAAAGAAAGTGAGATGTGTGAATTGCGATTGGCATCATCAGATCAATGCTCGTGAATGATTGTGATTTAGATCTATTACTTGTAAGTGAAATGCGGCATAAAGTAACCTTAAGGGCTAGGCCTTCATTGTCACCTATATCCCTGTGTGAAGAGGTAGGTAAACGGTCCGAAATAAGGATCGTCTGCATAAAACACGGACAGACGCGTCCTGAAAAATAGGGATCTTCCGCATTTTCGGGAAAATCCTTATTTCCGATCCGCCATTGGCGATGCAAAAAACAGATTCTGCGAACGATAAATGCTTGGGAAGATGAACAACCCATGAAAGTAGACGGTGAATGGGGCGTATTTTATCATGCGGTATCCATTTTTTGCATTGCCAGCACACGGATTGGGCACCCTATTTTTTAGGACGCGATTTGTCCGCTCTTACGAGGAATTCCTGCCTCCAGGTTTATGCGGACGATTCCTCATTCTCTGACCAGCGCCCCTAATGTGTTCGTAATCACCCGTTCCTGGAAGTTCCATCACCTGAAAAACTTTTGCACACTGGCTACTTGGCTAGTGGACTCTTCTTTCTTCTCATAAATAGGACTTTGACGTCGGTCAAGCAGTTTAAAAAAAAAAAAAAAAGGTCATACCGAAGTGAAGGCAAGCTGCTCATCTTTCACATGTTCCTGATAGTAAGAAGTTAAGGTGCGCTTTAAATTACATAAATGCTGACCTCTTACAAAATTTTCAACAGTTTGCGATGTTGGTTCCGGCTGAAATGCAAAGACGCGCAGCGTACAAAAAAATAAAAAATTTGCACTGCCAACTTACATTGGCAATTTTGATAAAAGTGATTAGTTTAGTATACGAAGGCAAACGAACAGGGTTTGCTGAATATAGTGAACTTGATCTCATTTACTTGCATGCTGTACATGCAAATCTTTTACCAGAATAAATGGTACTATGATGATTATGCTCTCTCTTATCACTTTAGGCCCAGCAGCTGAGGACCTTACACACCAGTAGAGCTGCTGCATCAGGACAACTATTTGTGGTATGTTACAATACATTTAACAACTAAATTATACATACCCCCTTTAAATTTAATGTGCTTTGTGTTTTTCATAACTCAAGAATGAAAGATGGACCAGTTGAATTAGGGCCTTTGTTGGAAACTTTTAGATATTAGCTTTGATATGTCATATTTTCAAGAAAAATGAATTGAAAAAAAAAAAAAAAAGCTTTTCACATTCTTAAAAAATTTCAAAACTTGTTTAGGGTATGAATAACTTAGTTGTTAACTGTAGCTAACTTCAAATAAGTTAGTAGGGCTAAATGAAGATGTAAAACCAATGAATTATTACCGGTACATGATGAGTCTTTACTATTAAAACCAGTGAACTCTCATTTTAGATATCTTGGATTGTATGATAAGAAATAGCTTTCCCCAAATATTTGGTAACCAAGGGAGTATTGTGATTTTCAGTGACCCTCTTTCTTTAATTTTCAAAGATTTCACATTGCTCTTTATGTTTGGTCCTTTGTTACTGAACTGCTGTTATTTTCCTCTTTTTCTTACAGCACAGAGATTCGGATGCTAACAACCCAAATACTCCGTTTGAATTCACAGAAGAGAATATGAAGGTAAGTCACTGATGTCGGTGACACAGAGGAAAATTCACTTTACTGTAGACATACTTGCTGCCTGTAAAACTAGAAACTTTCATGAATGTGCCAAGTGGATGATACTTTGGGCAGTTAGATGCTCTGACAAATCAAGATTAGATTGAATCAAGGAGTATGAAGAAAGGCAATAATGACATGAAGTAGAGCACAGGGAACGAAACAGGTGCATCAAGTAGTCAACTTTAGAGTCACTTGTATGTTGATTTTGAGTGTATATAAACTATTTTTAAAATCTTGTTATAGAAGTAATGTTTGAATTTCATATTTTTAATATACAGTCAAACCTGTCTACAGCGACCATCCAAGGGGAACAAAAAAAAAGTGGTCTTTGCAGATAGGTTCCTTTAGTACATGTTTCAATGAGAAACCATTTTCAAGGGAAACAAAAAATTTGGTCTTTGTAGACAGGTGGTCACCAAAGCAAATTCAACTGTAGTATGATGGCTTGGAACTCCACTCTAGTACTGTGAATGCTGTTATTTTTGCGTGATTTATTTTTTGTGCTGAGCGACCCCAAAACATATTTGCTGGTTCTTAAATTCGCGGCCTGCTGATCTAAGCGCGAAATCCGCAAACATTAATGTACCGCAAATATTTCTATTTTTACAGTAATACACTGTATACAGATTACAGAATAAGATATTTTTTGTTAATCAGTACACCGATACACTTTAATAATACTAGCTTTTATCTTTGGTTTTACATGAACTCATCTTGATCTTCCCAGAGAGTAAATGACATCATAGCCAACTACCCTGAGGGTCACCAAGCAGCAGCATGCCTGCCAATCCTTGACCTCGCCCAGAGGCAGCATGGATGGACACCCATCTCAGCCATGAACAAGGTAGCAGATATCCTCAAGATGCCCAAGATGAGAGTCTACGAGGTCGCCACCTTCTACACCATGTTTAACAGGTAATTGAAAAGGTCTACTAACAAAATCATGTAATTTTGATACTAAGATATAGTGCACTTACACATTTAAAACGGTTGCACAGCGCTTCAGAGTTCAAACAAAATAACATACAAGAAAGTTAACGGTAATCAATGAATTGGAGAGTTTTGAGAGCCTTAGTTTTTAATTCTTAGTTTTAATTCTGGAAATCGAAAAAGAGATCAATCATCACACTTCTTTTTTGTGGTCAGACATCCGCATTATTTATGTTCTTATTTCAAATGCTGATAGAAATGTGAAACATTGTTAGGTGATCAGACATTAATAACTGATCAACAGAAAGATTGATTAAGCAGTTTGATACTGCATTGTATTAACTTGAATCAATGAACTATGATTTTTTTTCTTCTTTTCTCCAGGAATCCAGTGGGCAAATACCACATTCAAATCTGCACAACAACACCATGTATGCTGAGAGATTCAGACTCTATTCTTGAAGTCCTCACAAGGAAATTAGGTGGGTAGAGCAAATGTACAGCTACATATCAGTGAGCAGTTACCAGCAGATTTGTTTGTTCGAGTGTTCAAACAATAGATCCAGTGACAATTTTTGCAGACTTTATTTCATCAAAAGTATAGGTTTAGGGTTGCAATTGTCTCATAGGTTAAAATTAGGGTTAGGTAAAGTATTTGGACCAGGGTTAAATTTAGGAATTACCGGTATGAATATAATTTGAAATTACCATGAAGAAATTACCCCAGGAGCATATCATACACTTAAAACCGTTTGTTTAAAAAAGAATGCATCTATATTTTTATGCCTCCGCCACCGAAGGTGGTGCCGGAGGCATCATGTTTTCGGGTTGTCCGTCCGTACGTCCGTACGTCCGTCCCGTTTGACCGTTATCACAATATCTCAAGAACCATTTAAGATTTAAACTTAAGACTCGGGAATAGTATTTATCACCATAGGAAGATGATCTGATTAGATTTTGGAGTACGTAGGTCAAAGGTCACAGGTCACAGAGGTCAACTTATGAAATTCCTTGTATTGAGTTTGTTAGCGCGATATCTCAAGAACCATTTGAGATTTAAACTTCAAACTTAAGGATAGTATGTATCACCATAGGAAGACGACCTGATTAGATTTTGGAGCACGTATGTCAAAGGTCAAGGGTCACAGAGGTCAACTTATGAAATTCCATACATTGAGATTGTTATCATGATATCTCAAGAACCACTGGAGATTTAAACTTCAAACTTAGTGATAGTGTGTATCACTATAGGAAAACAATCTGATTACATTTTGGAGCACGTAGGTCAAAGGTCAAGGGTCATAGAGGTCAACTTATGAAATTCCATACATTGAGATTGTTATCATGATATCTCAAGAACCACTGGAGATGTAAAAACTTCAAACTTAAGGATAGTATGTATCACCATAGGAAGACGATCTGATTAGATTTTGGAGCACGTAGGTCAAAGGTCAAGGGTCACAGAGGTCAACTTATGAAATTCCATACATTGAGATTGTTATCATAATATCTCAAGAACCACTGGAGATTTAAACTTCAAACTTAATGATAGTGTGTATCACCATAGGAAGACAATCTGATTAGATTTTGGAGCACGTAGGTCAAAGGTCAAGGGTCACAGAGGTCAACTTATGAAATTCCATACATTGAGATCGTTATCGCGATATCTCAAGAACCACTGGAGAATTTTCACTTCAAACTTAATGATAGTATGTATCACCATATAATATCTCAAGAACCACTGGAGATTTAAACTTCAAACTTAATGATAGTGTGTATCACCATAGGAAGACAATCTGATTAGATTTTGGAGCACGTAGGTCAAAGGTCAAGGGTCACAGAGGTCAACTTATGAAATTCCATACATTGAGATTGTTATCATGATATCTCAAGAACCACTGGAGATTTAAACTCCAAACTTGTTTAAATTGCTCTATGGCGGAGGCATCATTTTAGACTGCGCGCAGTCAAAATTCCATCTAGTTTATTTCCTACCATGTGAACTTTGTTTTTATCTGGTGAGGCAAATATTAAAACTGATGATCTAGATTGTAACTTCCTTTGACTTTCTTTACTTTTAAACATATAAGTCCCAGCAGGTTTTATTGTAAACAAAACAAAATGTCATAGTGTTTACTTGTAATGAAGTGGTTAGATGCCATGTGAATTTATCAATGGGTAGTTAAAGAAAGTAAGCATTCAATATTTAGTTTGAAGCTCATGTTTGCTAGCTGCAAGTTTTGTTTCCTTTTTAAAGGCCCACTGTACTACTTGTAGCTACTTGCTCCCTCTAAATAGAAAACAATGCCATTGGTCCCCCATGATCCTCTTTTTCTTATGTTAATTGAGAGCTGAGTTGATGAGATAGCCACCTGTCAGTGACCTTCCTGGGTGGTTTATTCCCTCCTAGCCAAACTAGTACAGACGGCCTTTGAAAGATCATTACCTCATTGTGAGAGGACTTTCCATACAACAGAACCACATGAGTGTCTGTGATTGTTTAGTAAAAGTCAATAGGTACCGTGAGGTAATATTTCATCTTTTCTTCATAGGCATCAAAGTTGGAGAGACAACCAAGGACAACATGTTCACACTGGCTGAGGTGGAATGCCTAGGAGCTTGTGTGAACGCACCCATGGTGCAGATCAACGACAACTACTATGAAGACCTGGCGGTCAAGGACATGGAGGAGATCATCGATGACCTGAAGGCCGGCAGGACTCCCAAGCCTGGACCAAGGTAAGCGTGATCAGGACGAGTGTAGTGATCTGGGCCCCGTCTTACAAAGAGTTGATATCAATCGCAACTATGTACATAAGAGATAGGAGACTGCAAACTTGCGATTGATTGGAGGACTTGCGATTGATTTGGATCAATCGTAACTCTTTGTAAGACTGGGCTCTGTTCTCACTTTCCCCTCGCCATGAGCACGTGAGTCATGTGGAGTTGGCACATTTTAAATACTTTTAAACACAACATGACAAAATCAAAGACTATATAACAATAATAGAATGATAAAACGGTTGGATAGTCCATTATCATACCGGTAATGGCTCTGTTCTTCCATGGAGTCCAATATATAAATAATGATAATATAATAAGTAATGATATAACAAAATAGTAAGGCTTAATTAAAATACATTGTACTTGTACTAAACTAAACTAAATTAAATTAAACAAAAAACAAAAATCATTAAAGTTGGAGGGACATGTTATAGTAGAGAGTAGTAAGTAAGGATACTCAATGGATAACCATCCCTGGACTACAGCCTACATGGGAAAAATACCTTTTGGACAAATACCATTCAAACATTACATGGAAACAAGTCTGAATTGTGCATCTACAATGAAAACAAGAATTATTTAGATATACAGTGGAAATTAGTTATTCGGAAGAGATGGGGTAGGGAAGTTGGCAGAAGGTGTGGGGGGGGGGGGGGGGGGGTAAGATTGAAATTTAATTGGAGGAACTAAGCCTCACAAATATGCGTCATTTATTAATTATGATTGTGAATAATTTATGATAAAACATCAATAATTTGGGGTTTCGTTTTTTTCTGGGACGCACTGTACCGGGGTGATCAGTCAGTTGCTCCGATACAGATCATCAGTAATTTAAGGTTTTGTCTTTGAGAGTGATCCCTGAGAGTGATCCCTGAGAGATGCTTTTACTTTATTATAAACCAACTCTCATGAGGTCAGAAGGGTTTGTAACCAGATAATAAGATAATCCCTTTTTCATCCATGCTTATTTCTTACAGGAATGCAAGGTTTGCATCAGAACCAGAGGGCGGTCTAACTAGTCTCATTGACCCACCCACAGGGCCTGGATTCGGTGTACGGGACGACTTGTGAAAAGAACTACTGCTTACTAGAAATAAATAGATTTTTATCAAATGGTTTTGTCATTTTGCTTATGAATGTGTATCAGTATTCCTCTTGGAGTGTGGCATGTAGGTAACACCACTGAAAAACAGGAAATTTTGTTTTGTTGTCGATGTTCGTCACAAGAACCCTCTGGAAGCCTGTAGGGTAATGTCCTGGAATGGCTTATACAGGATGAAAGATCTTGTGAGTTTCACTTGATGGGTTGTAAATAGATATCTTCAGATTTGTCTTGAGACAGAGCCAACATTTTGTATGGAGTGACTGTAGAAAATGTGGCATAAAAGATGCAATATTTTTTGTCTTGAACTCTGGAAAGGCAGTTGTAACCTCCATACGCTCATTTATAGGCACCGGTTTTTGTGTTGGACTTCAAAAAGTGTGATCTCCACTCCATAAAGAGCATGAAAAGCCACATCAAAGTAAAACAAAGGAATGTTTTCTGTGTCCAAACATTTCTAAAAATACTTCAAAAATTAAAAGATTTGAAAAAACAGGAGGGACTACTTTGTGGATACATGTAATAGATTTTTCTGTTTGTTGACAACACTGGCAGAATCATCAGTTTTTTAAAGTTTAAACAAAAACAACTACTCTGAATATATGTGTGACAAATATGTTGGTGTATGAATGATATAATAAATATGAAGTTCTTCAAATCATACAGTGTACTCAATATTATTATTTTCTGTTTAGTGACTTAAAGTATTTGACCTCTTTTCCGATTTTCTTTGTCTGTAGTTAAATACATGTTTATATAATGGGGATTATGCCATCACTTTTTGTTTCTTAATAATCATACCCTGAATGAGATCAGTTTAGTAGGCATCATTGGTCAAAACTGTTGGAAGGAATCGGCCTAGATTTATATGTACATGAACCAGCATGAATGGTCATAGGGAGATGAGCTGTTCACATAAGAGGAAGGGGGTTATTTGTTTCGAGAGTCACACAGGGAATCAACACACACATCAGGGCCCTGCTGCATCAAACTCAACATTGATGGTAACTTCCATGGAAACCTTGATTTGATTGGCTATCGAGTGATGTTGCCATGGTAGTTAATAATGATGGCAAAGTTACCAACAGTGTAATGTTTCATGAAACAGGGCCCATGCTGGTCATTTTTATGATGATATTAACTGCAGAGAGAATAGTGAGGAGATCCCATCAGATAACATTAATTTTGTGTAGATTTAACTGTGCTATTCTCTCTCTTCCCCACCCCCTCTCTCTTTCTCTCCCTCTCTTTTCTCCTCTCTTGTGTAATTCATGTTTACAGTCGTGCTATCATTCTGCCATTGTTCTCCCTCTGTCCTGCAAGATCACACACTTAATAAGGAAACTCGATTCTGTTTTATTACATGATTCTCACATTTTATTTCACAACGGTGTGCATCATTTCAAAATTAGAGAAACTCCACAACAATAATAATTCATTAGAATATTGAGCATATTGATAATTCATGGAAGATCAGTTACCTTATTCATGAAAACATTGATTAACAATAGCAGGAATCTGATTTGCTATATTTAAATATATTATACTGAATTAAGGCTTAAAATGAACCTCTTCCACTTCCTCCTTCACCCTCTCTCAATTTTCTTGTATTTATCCGTATTTATCCTATTCAACACAGGATAAAAGGATAGTCAAATTATAGCAATTAAAGTATGAATAGCGAACTTGAAAAAAAGTGTTGCAGATTTATGCCACCAAGCCTGCATCATCGCTTTTCTTCTTGTATACCTTCTATAACTGATTTCAAATGATGATACATCACTAGCCCTTGAAGCTCTATTACTACATAATTTTATAGTTATGTCAAATTTCGGCCTGTTCAACAGTATCAATACATGTATGAAGAATGAGCACTAAAAGCTCTCGTCTTTTATTGCAACAAGTCCAAAATATAAATATGCGTTCGATGGGACACAATCATTCGTTCGAATACAGCACTAACCAAGAATATTTTAAAGACATTAAAGATAAACTTTAGTACTGGTAATGCGATTGCATTGTGAAAGAAAAGGTGTGGAAAGGATCAGAAACAGTTGATCATGTAGCATGTAAGTATTGGTGTGCACTGCAAGGTTCTGGAGTCATCAAAATCATAATAAATTTGACCGAGTCTTGGTAAAGTAACAAGCACTCACATAGAAAGCTATATATGGGACAACACACATGGTGTCGGGGCTAGTACTACCTTGATTTCCTTGTCTTTCTATGCTCATTACTCAGCCAGTATACATTTTCTTCCAAAATTGTTTGGCACAAGTCATTTATTTGTAATCTTGAACATTCAGTGTAAGTTTCGTTTGATTCTGTGAGAATTAATTTTTATTTTTTTACCAGTACTGGAGTTTATCTTTAAACACTGCCAGAGTGTATTTAATTTCTACACCCCTCACACACAGATGAAATATGCATATAAATACATTTTCTACAATATGTGTTCGATGAGACACAATCATTTGTTTAAATACAGCACTAACCGAGAATATTTTAAGACATTAAATAATGCCAGGGTGTATTCACTTTCTACACCCCTCACACACACATGACATATGCATATAAATACATTTTCTACAATTTTTTCAGTACCTTGCCCCCCCCCCTCCTCTATCCCCAGGTTATTTAGCTCAAATCAGAATAAGATGCTTTGTTTCTAATCCATATATATTCTATATTTTTAGTAAAAGCCGTTTCTCTTAAAGGTATTACAAAGTTTTGGTATGGGGTCATGAATTCGGTTCAAATGAACATATTGGAAACATATGGGGTCCTACAAAATATTCAGTGATCGTTGTCGCAGTTGAAATCGAGTCTAAAGTGATGACATCGTAAATAATAAACTCTTTTCGTTGTATAGCTCCCTCTCAAGGTCAAGATATCAATTTAGCTATAAAACAATGTTTCTTGACTAAAATCGACCGATTGGCTATTCCCGTTTGGAAATTATATATCACAATTACATATTCAATTTTTCACGAAAGCAGAAGTGTTTTAGGGGCTAAATTTTCTAGTGCTTACAATTCATCCACAGGGGCATCCAAATATTTCAAAATTGTAAAGAATCACTATCGAGCCAATTTTCAAAATTTCCTAAAACTTTGTAATACCTTTAAGTAATAATAGCATTCCGTTCTGGTAGGCATATCACATTGTAATATAGCGCCCCTATGCACTTCAAAAGAGCTATGGAAATGATTACCCTGGCTATAGCTCCAGCAGCCGTTATCAGCGCACAGTGCATTTCAAAGTATAATCTTGATGACATAAACTAAACCCTTACGTTAATTTTCACAAGGTGACAATAAATTCTGGTATTCTACTAGGATGAAAAATAATACTGGAAAAAAAATGAACTTAAAATACTGTATGCTTTTTTAAAACAAAATCCAACACAAGGTGATACAAGAAAGATATGAAAGGATAACTATCATACAATGGTTCAAGGTATACTATTTGGAATACTGACCAAAACTCAATTGTGAATACAATACAGCCAAGTTAGAATAATGTACATGTAATGCTTAGGTGACACCAATGCTGCTCCATTTTGATGTGATAACTGGAGAAATGAGCCGACCTCGATCTGGGAATGCATGATTTGATTGGATCCGAAGTGACATTTATATAGCTACGCCATTTTCCATGCATTTTACGGGAAACAGATCGTCAATGCAAAGGCCAGAGAAAATTTTGGACGTGTTCAAACTTCCCACTGCATATCCACTTTGTTTCTCCACATCGAACCGGCATAGAGATGGTACCTAAGTGACGTTGAAATTAAAACGCATACTTTGAACTGAGAATGCATATTAGGGTTGAAACGCATGAGATACACATGCATTTCAAGAAATGAACCGACATCGAAATGAAAAAGTCTTGGTGTGACCTAGTCATAAGCTTTAATAGAGCCAGAAGGGTGATAGCTCTTTGTAACAGAATAGGAGTTAATGCCTTTCTGACTCTCAACAAATGACAGTAATCTGAGACAGTACCAGCTCAAAAATTTGAGAAGATTTTGATTATTTTCGTTTCACACTGTGGATTCTTTTGAGTTTCCAAACATACATATCCATATGCTATGGGATTATTAAAAGCAAAAAACATACTAAAGAGTTAATAGAAGAAGTTGGAAAGTCCAGCATCCTGGCATTTCTTTTATATTAAGCCCTACACCAGTCCAGCAACTCCTACATGACCAACAAAATCTGGGTGATTCAGGATAATCTAATTTGGGCTACTCTATGAAGTACTGTGCAATTACAATTTCGAGCTAGGAGGTGTTTGATGGAAAGTAACACCAGTATTGTACATATTGTGTAATTAAGTACTTAACCATGCGAAGTTTACATAAATCAAAACCCATTTAAAGTGGACCACTGTTTGCCATTAAAATGATTAACAGATATTTGCCAGGTGGTTTTAAACACAAGTAGATAAGCCACTGCTGAGAGCTAGACTGAAGGGTGTTTTTAAAGCCCCACTGTACTACTTGTACATTGTAGCTACTTGCTCCCTCTATTATAGAAAACTTCCCCAATCGGTGTCTGTTGGTCCCCCATGATCCTCTTTTTCTTATGTTAGTTGAGAGCTGAGTTAATGCGATAGCCACCTGTCAGTGACCACGCTGTGTGGTCTAATCCCTTCTGGCCCAGTAGTATTGACGGTCTTTAAAGCACCTGGCTGCAGGTTTATTATTTGAAGTGGTGACTATCCAATCAGCCGACAAGCATGACAGCCCAAATTATATGAACCATAACAACCATTTAAACCAAACAAATTTGAAGGCAAAGTTATCTCAAAGTCAATGACTAACTTTCCAACATCATAAATATACTGTTTTGCTCTTGAAATTGTCATTTTCTTTCTTATTTGTAGAATACTATGACTTTCAAGGAAATGTATGTAAATGTTGTACCCTGTGAAATTACCCAGGATATCCATCAGTGTATATGTACACGTACATATACATGTACATGTAGATACATGCACATCGTGATTTGTTTTTAAAACCCTGTTGCATAATCTTCCTTATGTCCTTTGGGATTCTAACCAAGTGCAAGCTGCTACATACAGTGTACATTGATGTGACATTACAAAGTCATTAAGTACAGTAGAACCTCGTTATAGCAAATTACATTGTTTGTCAGGGTTAAAAAAAAAACACAATAGAAAATAAAGAAATGCAAAATTACCTCTCTAATAATTTAGTATTCCATATGACAAGGTTCCATTGTACTGCACCTTTCGCTTTACCCTAGCCTAAAGAAATTATGACAAATGCCTAGAAACAAATGATTAATACCTAGAAGGCAAACCATAATGTAACAATTTATGTAATCTTTTAACATCCTATGGACATGAATGTATTAAAGCTACATACCAAAGGCAGAAATGAAAGTCTATTATTCAAAATATGAAGACAGGATTTGCAGTAAAACTGCATTTCATTTCAAAGTAGTGTGGAATGATCATTACTTGCTGTAGTTTTCATTGATCAAGGCAATATTATCATGATCCTTTTTAGTAGCCATTGCATCAGGCCTCTACTCAACTAGTTATTGGTATTCACCACTAAAATATTAAGTGTTTTTCATCAAGCACTCTTGAAAGCATCATTATATGAAATATAAAATTGAAAGCAGTCCATTCTCTTCTACATGAACTACTGGTCCTGTCGAATGACCCACCTACTGCTGGGTGTATACAGTGTACCTGACCGGTATACACATTTATTGCACTTTTATGAACCTTTAAGAAAGAAAACAAAGCAGAATGCACATGCATACATGTTCATATTCTCATTCGTTAGGGAACATATATAAGTACATGTATAGAGAGTAACATTCTCCTCTGTAACACATGCACACAAAAAAGGGCTTAGACTACTGCTGCAACAGAGTCCTAAAACTCTAGTCTAAAGAATTCCTTTCCAATATTTACTGTGAAACAAGACACTTTAGCAACATGAAACTTGCGTGAATTGTCAAAAATTGCCATTTTTATAGCACTAAATTCTCTCAAATTACAAAATTTTAATGTAGGTGATTAACTGCATGAGACTTTTCTGACTTTGAGCCACTCGAAAACATTTCATGAACGCTTTTAAGATCCTGGTTTTATGGTACCTATGATGATGAACAATTGAAAATTATGAGTCATCACCATCAAATGGTGGACCTAAGTACAGCTTGCAGACCACTCCGCAGTTATGTGCTCTGAGTGCCTTTGGCATGGGTGCTCCCAATTTCCACTCATTGCTATCGGGGTTGTAGACTTCAGTGGATGAAAGAGACTGGTAGTTGTCCATCCCCCCTGTGACAACGATCTTTCCTTGGACGGACGACGCAGCGAATAAGTGTCTCTCTGAGTTGCACATTGGGACAGGGGGAAGCATGGTGTTGTGTTCCACATCATATACCTTAATACCCTGCTTTCCAAAGCCACTCATCAGATAGATCTTGTTCCCATTAGCAACTGCTGGAAAATGGCAACTGGGGATAGAGATGTGCTTGATGATGTGCCAATTGTTGCCAGCGGTGTTGAAGCACTGTATGTGCTCGTAAGCCATGTGCATCTCCGTGCTACCACCGACCACATAGATCTTTTCCTTGATAGAAACAACAGCAGGGTCGACCACTGCCTGCTGGAGCGATGTAATCACTGTCCACTTCTTCTGCAACTTGGTGTATTCCTCAACAGTCCAGTCCATGCCACTTTCATTCTCCCCCCCAACCACAAACATCTTTCCAGACACTGTTGCAGTTGAACCATGCTGCTGCCGGGCTCCGTTCAATTCCGAGCCCTTTGACCACGCATTTTTGGCCGGGTCTAGCACCCATGTTGAGCTGGTTATTGTTCGACTGACCTTGCCTCCTGTGACATAGATTTGACCTTGCAGCACTGCTACAGCAAAATTGCTGGTGCTGTGAGGCAGCTGGGCTAGAGTAGCCCATTTGTCATTGCCTGGATCGTAGTATACCACATCTCTAACGCTTGAATAGTTCTTACCATATCCACTGACCACTGCCATCACCTCAGCATATGTGGAAGGACGGGGTATGGGACTACAACTCTCAAGGTGGGTTTTGTTTTGGAGCTGCTGCTGCATAGATATAGCTGCAAGGATCTGCTTGCCATTCTGGCTGTGATCCTTGATGATGGGATCGGACAAGTATCCTAGAAGAACGGACGGCTTGATGTACACTAGGCGTACCTTCTCCAGCACCTCATGGAATGCTTTGGCCCTGTCATGACTGAACTCGCACCACTTCATGCAAACCTTGAGAATAATCTCTTCCTTCTCCACCTTCAATTCATTCGAGGATATATAATCTGCAAGCTCCTTAGCGGAGAGCTTCAGGAAATCCTCCTGCCGACTTACTACGATGAAGTTCTCTCTGCAGTACTTTGAAGCAGCTGCTAGTAAATCGGTGCAAGAGTAGGTCTCTGCAAGGTGCTTGATTCCCAGACATGTGGATGGATTCAGATGCTTCTTCAGGAAGAGACAACAGGCTTTGACGATGCTTTGGTATTGCAAGTGACTGGCTGCTTCAAGCAGCTCCTGCGCGTTGGATGTATTGATTGTCAGTTGCGAGGTGTAGGAAAACTCGATGATTTGGGCAACTATGACCGGATTCATCCCTTCGAGGGTCACGATGCCTTTGACCTTCTCCAGGAAGTCGTTGGTGAACATGGCCTGAAAGTAGGGACTGTTGCAAGCCAGGATGGCACGGTGGCACTGGAAGTGACTCTTCTTGACATGTATGGTGGTGTCCGTGAGAGAGCCGCTTTCTCTCATTTGGTTGAGCCCACAGAGGACATGGGCAGGATGGTGGGGCTCTCGAAACACATACTCTTGCTGCACTCCAGCATGATGATGCGAGGTGGAGGCCATGTCTGGGGGCCTTTTAGAAGAGCGTTTGAAGTTATGTCTCACCCATTGGGTTAAGGATGAATTTCAGGTTTCAAGCCGATTCATCAGTATATAGATCTAGAAAAGACAAAAAACAGAATGATGATGACTACATGTATTGTTTATAATTATACTAAGGGCAGTAATTGTGTTTCGAAGTTTGTAAGCTCAAGAAGCTACAGAGTATATATTTTTCCTCCCAAGGGTTGGATTATATAGGATTCAATTAAAAAAAAAAAACTTTACTGAATATTGCAAGGTCATCTGCAAGACGACTATAGCCCAAATACCTTTACTGGGATTTCATTATCTTGCATGGTAATTTACACCCGATATGAGGATTGCTTCTATTGCTTTTATCATGTATTTACACAAGATTTTAAAATCGTATTGGACCTTCTGCTCCCGAAGATCCTACACTTTCAGCGTATCTTCTTATAAATTGTCGTACGATGAATTTGATACCCGTTCTTGATATCCTTAACTGGATACACCCCTTAGTAGGTCCTTAGTGATAAAAAACACCCCTTTTATGTGTTTTCGTGTACGCAGATGATGATGTACGGGGCAGCATTTTATGAGACCGTCATAAATACAACTATACAAGGTCAAGTTCACTGACATCCGATTGAAATGTGTGTTAAACTGAATACACGCATTTCAATGAGATGTCGGTGAACTTGTACTTACGACGGTTTCGTGGGACGCTGCCCATGCAGACCTCACCCCAGCCCCACCCCCCCCCCCCCTCCGTAGTCTCATTGCTTGTCTTGACTTGTGTGAGTGAAACAAACACAATGACAAAACAGTAACACTAACAAAACATTGTTTTAAGTAACTCATAATGCTTATTGTTCCTCAATATCTCATAAGATCTCATCTACCACCATCTCACATTCGAACAATTAACCAACCAGTCTATACTCTGAAGTCTGAGGCCACTATATGTGCATGTACACGTACAACATATTATTCGAGCTCGAGGTCATCTCAGCCCGGCGAGGCCAAGACTCATGCAGTACTCAGTCAGTCAGTAGGCATCCAGCACAGCTCAGACATCACTGACAATGCAATTCAACACTAGTGTACACAATACAATCATTAAACACTATGACTGAACCAGCTCTCACTGTCTCAATCTCATCCTCCAGACTGTCCCAGTGATATGGTTACCAAAATTATATGTTACCGATTAATGGGCTCTTTTCATCAGTAAGTTACACCAATGAATGTAAACTAATAAAACAAAGGAAGAGCGATTACCTAGCTAAATGCTTTCGCCGTGCTCCACTGATTTCCTTGTTTACAGAAAAGAGACTATGAAAAGCCGTGAGAGGGTCAATATTCACTCCTGAATGATAAACGCCTATAAACCTAAACAACAACATGCAGGGTTGGTAGTCGGTACGTTAATTGGCATTTATAACCGAGATGTGATCATTATTTCAGTAAAGCAGCAAATCTTTTGAGAATGTGTTAGACATATTGTATAAGAGTTAAAATTTATAGACTCCTTCCATATACAACATATTCATTTCACTTCATTGCTTAATATTCACTTACATATTAATTTACTTCAATTACTCAATTTCTTCCTCAATAATAAATTCATCTTATCTAGGCCTACGTATTAAGTCTTCCATCTCACACGGTACTTCTCACTTCTCTTCATTTTTTTCCTTCATAGATCTTGTGTGAATGCATTAGGTTTTTCCACTTCTTACTTAATTATCATTGGTTCTCTTCAACCGTTTCCTTTTGAATATTCAGTCTTACTCTTAAAACCTATTTTGCTATTGGTTTATGATGTATTTCATTTGAATATACTTTGCTTAAAAATGTTCATAGCAGCCTACAATAAAAGACGGACAGACATGCACTGGGCAGGCTTCTGAGTTAGTATTGATTTATAGGTCTCTCTTCTACTTGGACATTTAGGAGAGAGGTCTATTTTAGTTTGGCAGTGGTTCATTTGGATGATTGGTGTTTTAGATATATATTGGTGAGAGGTTATTTTTGGATTACTTTACACATACAAGGCCTATAAAAGGCACTTCGTTTCCAGAGCATATATACTATAAGTTATTGACTCCCTAATTAACCTGCCACCAATCTACTATAGGGGGAGCCTTGCCTGATGTTAAGTTGGTTATTGATAAAAGTAGAAAATGAGGAAAAAAAATAGTGAAAGTTTTGAGCAATATCCGATTAATAGGAAAATTGTAAAATTTTAAAGTTTTTATCAGAGAAACATATCTTGCGAGCTCTAATTTGTTCTGTACAGAAATTTCATATACTTTCATTTTCTTAGTCATTGATGACGGAATTGATTTGGGTCATATATAGGACCCTACAAGCTAGTGTTTAATAAAACTTTTGCAATAATGTTATTTAGGGTGAATGTACGGTTGACAATACAGATTTTTTTTTGTACCGGGCAAATGGGAGGGGACCTCGCAAGATACGTCACAGAGTGGACAATTTGTGTTTGTTGATTACACATTCACTAATCCATAACTTTCTTTTTGCTAATCCGTTTTTGCTCCTTGAAACTTTAATGACCGGTTTCTATCATTTTTCTGCTTTTACTAAAGCATACTAAATGTCAGGTTGATTACTTCCCATTTAAACGTGTGATTGCATTTCCCACTGGTCGGAAATCTATTAGGAGTGGTATTTTAAAATACCATTGTCCCTCCACACCTCCTTAAAATGCACAAAGTGACCTTAATTGTCTATAAGAGTGAAGAGCGTGAAGGGGGTTCCCCGATATGCGGTTAATTTGTCTTTCTTTCCCCCTACATTTAGCGTTCCATATATACACAAGTGTGCACCACGATTCCTGATCCAATTCAGCTCAGACGAACACTAATAAATTTCATCCTTTTTCTTGTTAATAGACATCCGTATACGAGTCCGGTAAGTAACTTTTTTTGGTAACATTATTGTGTTTTTCATTGCCTCATCGTCATCACGTACCAATGCAGATTGTGGGCCAATATTAACTATCAAGTAAGTTAGAATCTCACCGGCCGCCAAGCCCCATGATTTTTGGCCAACTCGACGTTTTCATGTCGCCGCTTGCCTAGGGCCTTCGAGCACTGACGGGTCGTAGGTGACTAGCCGCTGGCCTGGGGCTCTGTCTTTGTCACACTCCTCAGCTCAGTGAGAGCATGGCATGGGCTGGCGTCTGGACTCTGGACTATCTCTCGATCCATTCTTGTTTTTATTTGATCCTCTGTATTTGCATGATGTATTGGTAGATCTATCTGACTGACTGACTGCTTAGTTATTAATATTATATAACAAAATGCATCATTGCAATTTGCATGTTCATATTTTTAAAAAAATTTCCCTTAATTTTGGGCTTAATTTTTTATAGACCTTATGCGTATGACGTCACGCACTCGTAGATACAAAAGGGCGCCCTCCCTCAGAGGACAAGCGGAACGTTACTAGCGATCGGCAGAGGCTATTGAACTATTGAACTACACGTATAAGCAAACACTTTCTCTTAGCTCAACCTTTTATCGTCGGATTTTTGCTTGTTTACTGTCAGAAAAGGATAGATTTATGTTGTGTCGTTGGTTGCTCGAATAGGAGCAACAGGAGCAAAGCTGTTTCATCCTATTGCATACCGGCTATTTTAGTAAATCAAGGAGAAAACACAGCCAAGTTATCCACGGAACGATCAACGACGTGAAACGTGACATCAAACGCAAGGGATGGGAACCGTCTAAAGTCATCTCGTCTATGTTCAGCGCATTTCATATTTACAAATTGCAGGTATAGACTCTATATGTTTTTGGCGAATTAGTAATTGGTGTTTTATTGTGTTTACTAGTATTAAGTCATTACACATTTTAATGGCCAACATTTGTTTTTGTGTCGACCTCAGGCTCAGCTCACTCACAAGTCACAGAGGTCAGAGCAGCTGAGGCTGAGCTGGATTCTGTGTTAATTTAGACTAGAGATGAGTTGCTCTACTCTACTCCAGACTATGACCAAACAAAAGTAAACTAAACTTATCCAACCAATACCACATTATGAGAGACGGAATATCACCAGAAGCTTAAATGAATGATGTAGACCTATTGATGCTTTTGTTAAAGTTGAGCCTTGAAAGTAAGGTTTTTTAAATTTCATTTATTGATTTAGATAATTTGTCCCTATTTTCACGAAGTGACGGTAGTGAGGAACTTTCGCATACAATTTGCGTGATGATTTTCCTCTCTACCGTCACTTCGTGAAAATAGGGACGAATTGTGTGGTTACAATTTGTAAATAATTTGTTCAAATAATAAAAGGATAATATAAATGGACTTACTTTACTTGAATCCATTGATTTTGATAGGACAGGGCCTGTTCAATTGATTGAGTTCCTTTTACATCAATATTTCAGTTTGTTGTGCCTTCTTCGAGTACAATACATACATTTCGATCTACATTGTAAATGCATGTTTTTGATTCACAATTGTGTTCAATCTTAAACTAAATATCAAAGTAGACCCCTATAGATCAGGTATTTTTTATTCTGATTGTGTTCATGCAGGAATCTGGATCGCAGCGATTTGCAAGATCAGAACAGCACAAGGGGAAAGCAGATGATATGGCAGCGACAACAGCACTCCTGGGCCTTCAAGTATCGACCCATCAAAGTGACAGTGATGAGTCATCAGCAGAAGACGTTACTCAAGGGAATGAAATACAGACATATCATCACTCGAGGCTACAATAAGTCAGCAATAGCAGGACAACGTGAATCTACGCGCAGAACTCCAAATGGCACAGAATCTTTTAAAAATTTATCGAGACTACAAGAAGAGAACTTTCGAGAGGATAATGTCAAGTTCATATTTAAAATAGACTCCCATCATGGGCAACATTTTTGTCACTGTTTCTCCTTTCATCCGCGATGCCTTCATGTAGGAAGCTAACAAAGTTTGACCAAGCGATGATGTTTCTCTTAAAACTGCGCCTAAACTTTTTACATTAAGATTTGGGTACAGATTTGGAGTGAGCCAAAAGGTTTAGGTTGATTAGAGTTTACACGCGTACGCATACATGTTGAGACTTGAGAGAATGATATGGTAAAACAGAAGTACACAATCCTTCAGAATAAGATACCAATCAATCTACTGAGAGACGGATTGTCACCAGAAGCCACTGTAAAGAAATTGTTAGGGTTGCTTGTGCATCTGTGTCCTGGTGTAATTCCTCTTGACTAAAGGTTTTGTGTAAAGCTTGGACTTAGTTTGAACCTTGATATTCACTCGACTCTGCATGATACCAAAAGACTGTAATTGTTTTATCAAAATTAAGAAGAAATTATGATGAGCTTCAAGCTTGATATAAAAAAAAAGAATACATAAGGCATGTTTGTTTCTTTTTTTGACTGTTTGTTTTGTTTGAGTGATGTGATTGAAGTGTTTTTTAAAGAGTTGTGGAAAGACAGATTTAGGGAAAGAGAGAGGGACAGGTAGAACATGAAGTGATTATAGTGAGTATCAAGGGAAGAGGGAAAGGGAGAGGTGAGAACAAAGAATATTAGAAGGGGAAAAATGTAGTGCCTAGTGGGACACAAAGTGACTACTGGTATAAGCTTGGATAATAAGTGGGGGTGGTGTGTAAATGAAAATATGATGCGTAATTCAAGTATTCATCTACATCGTAATTACCCATGTCAGACCAAGCTTGTGATGCGAAATAGAAATTCCCTTTTCAATTGGTGAATACTTGCAAATCTAACGTTAGCTTGATAGTATGGTAGCCTATATAGTAGGTTAATAGACCTTGAATAAAATCAAGAATACGAATGATTCATTTGGTTTTGAAGTACAAATAGTATATTTATTAAAAATTAAAAACTTACATAAGGAAGGCAAATATTCCAAAGTCCTTGATCAGTTATACAACATCAATGAAATAAGGATGTACAAGTTTCTCAATCTTTGACAGCTCCCACACAACATTAAAAAAACTTTTAAAATAGTACATTTATTAAATTATGAATATTTAAATGGGCAAGGCAAATATTACAAAGTCCCTGATGAATGAAAAGAATGTATGAGTTTCTCAATCTTTGACAAAATACGATACAATGTAATAAACTTCAGATTCAAGATTTATTTATTTCTTTCCACTGACATGGAAGCAATACATCCATGAACAGTTACATCAAGTTTATCGTCAACAAAAATAAATTCATGAAGAATAACAAGAAAGTTATAAAGACATTGAAAATTTGGAAAAAGGTGGTCTGTAAAAAAAAAGCACAGGTTGTTAACACAAATCACGTTTTAAAGGCTTTACAGGAGCAACAAAAAATATTTAAAAAGAAGTACCATTGATAAATAAAATAGAAAAGACAAGAAATAGAAGTAGAAATGGAAAAGGGGAAGGTAAATACATGTACAATACAGGGGGGGGGGGGGGAGCTAACAATACGAATATAATTACCTGAATTGATAAACAAATATCAGATCAATCACAAATTTGGTAGATTAAAAAAAAAAGGCAGAATAATTGTAATAGTAGACCAGGGATATGTTGAGTAGTATAGACCTTGTAAAGATTATAATAAATTCAGTAGTCTATTTATCTTCAAATACTTCTTTTGATAATCATTACAGAAGTGAGTATCATATAATTCCTCTTTCAAATCATTTATACAAATACTTAAATTTTTCCCATCAACTTTTTGGCACTCCAAAAAACTTTTTAAATAGTGGACGCCCGGTCCCCACTGATTTGTTTACGTATAGGGCTTGCGCTAGACGGCTGGAGGCGGCGGCGAGAAGCAGTAAAGCATCGTATACAACACGAGCAACACTCTCGCGCACGCCTGAGTGCGTCGTCAAGCTTTTGTTTGTCCTGTAAGATGGCGGCGTAATTGGTCGTTCGGCGAGCCGTGACGTCAATGCATAAGGTCTATTAACATGATCGATTTACATTTATTTATCTATTCTAGATTTTGTGATCGTGCACTAGCTGTGACTGGGCTTGGCTCATCATCCATAATCGGAAACAGAATGCCTGCAATAATTGCATTTCATACACTACATGATGCTAATGTCAGCATTTGTGAAGATGGGAAACTTCTCGCTGTCTTGGAACTTGAAAGTAAGACATTTTCTTCACGTTTTATCTAGTCCCAGAAATTAAAAAAGTTTTTACCTTATTGAAATGACTTTATGTTAATCATACTCATCACTACGTAAAAAAAGAGTGTCTATGATTTCTTTTTACCCACTGTTTTTTTAAAGATGAAGAGTGTTACGGGCCCTAATATTTGTTGTTGTTGTATTGTGCTAAATTGCTATCAATCCCTTTAAAATTCTGCAAGTCATACCTTCTCATAATTTTAAAGTGCCTATCGATGAACAAAAAAAGAAGATCTGTAATGTTTGGATAGTAAATGATTTCAGTTGAAAGTAGTGCGAATACATTTCAAGTGAGCTACATCAACATAAGTGTGTTTTTACAGATGCAAAATAGAAAGAAAGTCATGACTTGGTTAACAAAAAATTGTGACATGGTAAACATGATCCCTCTTTGACAAACCCTCAGTATCAAATGAAAATTACTCTTGGACACTTAACTGCATCTATGATGATTTTGTTATTTATGCTTTTGAAAAAGAAAAAAAAACAACAACAAATGAACTAATGAACAAAAAACCTCACCAGTTGTATCTAGCTCTTGAGTTCAATATTTTTGTACTATGCAGCAATAAATTTGTCTTTGTTGGATCTTCTACAAGTTTGATAAATGAAATACTGAGTGGATGTAGACAAAGTGATAGAGCTTCGATCTGTGTCCTGTGCGTAGAATGTAATTTTTTTTATCTAACTACAGATATACATTTTTCCTTTTTTTCTTCTTCTCCCGTTGTTACAGGGTTGTTTGCCAAGCGTTATTTCTGCAGCGGACAGTAAGTTTGTAACTGACTTGATTTGAGCAAGGAATACAATAACATTGCATGATGAAGACTATGATTTAGTCCCTCCCCAATACAGAAAATAAACATCACATATTAGTGTCCAAATTTGTATATTGTTACACCAAGAAGGTAAAATGTAAAGTGGATTTGAAGTATCTTAAAGGTTTTTGATTTTATCAATTGCTATACATGTATTTCCAATATATTTGGTCTCAATATTAAACAAAACAATTTCACCTTAGTCCTTTTAAATATTTCTGAGATGCCGTAATCTTCCTGACAAAACCTGTTTTGAGTGCATTGTCAGGCTTACATACTGTACCTGATTAAAGAGGTTTTGATTTCGATTTGATTTATTGGTTTCTGCATCTTTTTTTTTTTTCATCATACATTTTCATGAACATAATATGGTTTGATACAATATTTTAAGTGTATATAATTTTATACAGATAATAAACGAAATTAATCAAATATATTGAATGCATAATTAACATACATTAGATGCAGGAGGACTACAGAAATAAGCAAAGTAGCTTGACGTGCCCGCAGCCCTCAACTTAGATACAACAATAAAAAATAAAAAAGAGTGTGACTTGCAGAGAAGAAAAGGAAAGGGGAGAGAAGGAGCGTTGGTAATAATACAATAAATCTCATACATCTGCTGATTGAATGGTCACGTTGAAGTTTCTAAGATACCTAAAGAACAAAGCAGTACACTGCTACAGTATTATATATTTTATCTGAACTAGTTATGTATGAAGAAAATGAATGGTGAATTAGTTTAAGGAGTTACAATGTACAAACCATTCAGGCTTTCTTGGAAGATTTGTAGAAGCAGATCATTTAAATTTATCCCTGGGGGAGGGGGGGGAGGGGGGGGGGGGGAGGGGGGCACCAGGGGGAGGGAGTTAGTATTACTATTTTATACTGTTGTGGTTTGTTTTTTATCTTGATTTTCATCTATTTTATTTTCTCTTCAATGATTCTTACAGGAGGAAATCTGTTTTCACAGAACAGTGGCAGCAAGCTATAGACCTCATGATTAAATTCACTGGTTTATCTTCATTCGATGTAGCTGTCTGTAGTTGGTAAGAATATCCACAATATTGCTTCAGCTAATGGTCAGTTTATAAAAATAGGAGTAATTATCTATTATAATCTCAGTATAATTATGCAGAATGAAATAGATTAACTAAACATACTGCTCATTCATCTAGTAAACAAGTGATTTTTTGTATGCATGTTGATTCCAGACTTTCACCTTCACCGTATACAGAATATTGTAGCTAACCACTATGTATAAAATGAGAGAAAATGAGAGTTTCTGCTGACGTAACCCATTCTCTCGCTCTTGTTATACGTAAATAGGATATTTAGAATAGAATATACAATGTAGAGTCTTCTTCAAATGAATGTACTTTTTTTTACGGAACTTGAAAACTAGCCACGTAAAACTTTGTGGCACTGTGCTTGAGATGTGAAGTTTCAATTTTCAGTTCCGTTAGTTTGATAACTAGTGCAGAGATGTGCCTAAATACTCTACGGTTCTACATGTACTGACTAATCTAGACAATGTGTTTTTGTTTTCTTTTCAGGGTGCTTCCATCACAAAGGGAAATTTTGCAAACATTGGTGAATGCAAAAGAGTAAGCATTAATGAGAAATTGATTCCTCTTTTCCATACCGGTACTCATTTTCTAGCCATTTCGCATCTGTGGAATGAATGTGTGAAAATGTTGATTTCCTCATGAATGTATTTTATAAAACTATAATAATGACAGAGGATAGGGTAATTTTGTTTGGTACTTTTGTTTGGTACATGTGAAAGAGGTAATTTGGGTAATTGGAAACCTCATATTACAGTTGCATGGTAACTCTCGGCACCCTCGTATGATAAGGGTATGGGTTAAGGGTCATAAGGGGTTTACAACATGCCCAAGAAAAGGAAGCTATCTTTAGGAAATACAATTTGTAGAGACATAATTGCAGGATCTCTGATCTGTGTTCACAATACTCAGAATCATGCCAACTTTGAGCAGCTTTTGTAATAAAAGTGAGCAAAACAGAAATAAAATACATTTTAAATGGTGAGAGAAACCATCACTCTCGAACTGTACAAATGTCTTTGTCATATTAAACCTTAATGAAGTGTTGAATTGAACCTGTATGTACTTAGTTTAGCAACCATTGATTTTTTGCAGACAAGGATTCTTGATCGTATTTATTTATGGCCTTTTCTTCTACTTAATCTTTGTTTTAGATGGGTAACGGTTGACCATCACAAGTGCCATGCTGCTTTAGGCTTGTACGACTCACCCTTCTCTGATGCTCTCATTCTGTCCTACGACGGAGGTGGTAACGATGGGACCTTTAATGTTTATCAAGGAAACAGACGTGATGGAGTCGAACTTATTGAAAAGGTTAGCCATTGCGGTAATTGATAAGAGTCGTGTAGCAGTGAACTGAAATAGAGAAAATCAATGCTCTTGAATATTTCACAAAATCACATTAGTGCTTGATTTGATGTAGCTCAGATCAGTCATTGTCATTGATAAGGGGCTCTTGATTGAATAAGTTGTCAGGCGGTCAGGAAATGTCCCATAAAATAAGGTTGCTTGCCACAGCACTCAATATTACACATAGGTACTTATGCCAAATTTAGGGGAGATGCAAAATTGTAAAAATATCCCTACCTACCCTGTTTTATCATGAATAATCCTATGTATTTTTATCTCCCTTGTTTGATGCCAGTAATAACGTTGTATTTCACATTATATGTGGTAGTTTATCATGACAGATAATAATCATTGGCTCATTGTGAATGAGCAAAGTAAATGAGCAAAGTTTTCAATAATTAATACTGGTAGTCAGTAATACTTTATGTTTACTTGATTTTTGTTGGCAGGCCACGTCAATTTAATCTTGGAACTACACGTGGCCCATGGGCTGCTGTTTATAATATGTCATAGATAGTACATACATTTAATAAAAAGTTAACTATTTTAGCATGCATGTTGTGTAAGTATGTAACACATCTTCCACAGCCATATGCACCATGAGAATGAGAAAAGAGCCAGTTGAAGCAACACAAACAGTACAAATTATGATATTTTGTCAATCGCCTACATGTAGGTCTGTCTTAACCTGGGCACTCCATACCGTCAGATCGCCATGGCGATGCCAGAGGTTACGAGGCAGGAGTATGACCCAGAATCGATCACCACTTTCATGAGATTTGCACCTCTTGCAATGTCAGGGAAGGTGAGCATACAAAGAGTTTCTTTTTTGGTTACACACGGTTTACCCAAGGTTCATTTTTCTGAAGGTTTATTAATCTAAAGGTTTGTTATGCAGAGTGTTTGTAACAAAATCAAAAAAGAAATATGGTTCGTTATTCTGAAAATGAAATGGGGTTTACAATTCTAAAGATTTATTAAACTGAAAGAATGGAACAATTTTTCATTTTTTTAGAATGATGAATCTTTTGAATAATAATGAGAAGTTCTAAAATGAATCAATGGTACATTTTTCTCTTTACCTAAGAAAAACTTTCCCAATGCAGACATAGAAACAACAGCTAACCAATCATATTTTTCTTCCGAGATTGTCGTATGATGACATATATTTCGAAAGAAGTTGAGGCACCGTTTCATGTGAGAATTGGATAAATAAAACTTGGATGACTTGCTGTTTGAAAGTTGTATTATGTGAGGATTTTAAACAACTAAGCACTTTGTTTCCAATTGAGATGTTTGTCACGATTGCGTTCTTTTCTTATGTGTATACCCCTTGTACTATATGATAGTCAGATCTACAGTTATTTCTTTGAACAATATTTTCTATTGTATAAAAGAACCCCTGTAATGTGTACCTGCCTAAATTCATGTCGTATGGATACATCATGTAGAAATTCAACTTTTCTCTTGTGTGAAAGACCCTTTCAATACTGAACTCTGCTTAAATTGATGTTGTGTATGCATGGCAAATTTATTGTTGATATTCGAACCCCCCCCCCCCCCCCCCCCCCCCCCCCCCCCCCCCCCCCCTCTCTGCAGATTATGGGCTATGCAGCACTTGGAAACGTTAGAGAAGAGTGGTTACCCCATTTTAAAGAGTACTACAAAGAGTTCCTGACACCGCTCATATCCGTCTTCAACCTCGGAGAAAGGTTAGGAGTGGTGAGTCAAATATGAATGTATACAAATAATAATGATAATTATGATAGTAAAGATAGACATTTGTATGCCACTATATCTATCTACTACTTTTATACCAAAGTACACCAAAAAAAAAATAAAGTGAAACAATAGTCCAAAGGAGTGCCACATCCAATGTCAAGCATTGCGAGAAAAAAATTGCTAAAGTAGATCTTGTTTTTTTTGGAAAGAGTATATGTTCTTCTGAGTAGTTCCACAACCTGGAAGCACCAAACAATGTAAAAAGTGGTAGATTTTAAAAGTGATTTTTGTAGAACCAATGTTTTTCTGATCTCAAGCTTGCTGTAATTAAACCTTTTGTATCATTGCAACCCTGACCACTGATCTCATTTTGATCTCCCATTACTTTCAGGTAGAGTTAGCTGTTGCTTTGTTACTTGGACAACTATAATGATGTATAGACATGTTGCACCTAATTAGTGCACTGTGTCTTAGGACAATCAAATATCCTCCCTTTAAAATGTTTGTATGGTGTTGGGTCATATATGTTATGCTAGGTCTTCAAAATATCTTTTGGAGAAGCACTTTGTCAATTAAACAATATAGCCATAAACTCTCAATTGATTCTGTATTATGTAAGATCTGTCAATCATAAAAATAAAGTCCACTGGCAGTTAGTTGCGATTCTTATTTTATGAATCTCTGAATGGGTTGAATTCCCCTTGACAACCCATGCTTTTGTGTCTTTAACAGAGCCTGGAACCAAATGCCCTGGACAACTCCACAGCCAGGGATGTAGCAGCCACCAGCCAGCATGTCTTCACCCAACTCCTGTTGGACCAGATCTCAAAGTTCCTGGACCTGTATCGCAAGGCCAACAACTCAGAACCAGATGGGATTGTCCTGACGGGAGGTTGTGCTTTGGTAAGATAATCAGACTGATGATTGTTGTCGTGCAATTCTACTTTGCTTTGTATAAATGATTTCATAAATTTGAATATTTCTCCAAGGGAAAAAGGATTTTTTTTTTCTTTCTGGAAAGTTCTGAAAATATATACCGATAGTTGGCAGTATGTGTTCACACCCCGCCCTATTTGAAATGAAATAATGCACTTCTTTAATATTCACACAAGAATGGAAATATTTCAGAAGTGCCAATATGTGTAGAGATCTTCATGGTTGAACAACTTAAAGGGAGTGTAGCCTGACGAGACTTTGTGTCTTTCCCGTGGCCTGACTCAGGGGCCAATCGGGTATAATACGACTACGGATGATGCGACCACAGCAATCACGTGTGTGCAACATTCTTAGAGATTAGGTCACTGACTACCGTTAATCAAATCCATTCGTTTACGTGCAGTCGTCCAAAAGAAGATGGTGTTAAATGGCGTAAATGGCGTTAACCAGTATTTGCCAAGCTACACTCCCTTTAACAATTAAAACAATGTTCTTATTATCCTTCTGACTGCTCTCAAACTGACTGATTCTTCATTTCATGTATTCATCCGAGTAAGCATGATGTCAGGGACGACTTTCCTTTTAACACCACAAAGATTAGCATGCATTGGCATAATCTATGTAATTCATCAGTTTTTATGTTTTATGTCTATTTCAGAATGTGCATGCAAACCAGAGTGTAATAGAGGAGTTTGGTTACCCTGTCCACATCCCGTCTGCACCTAATGATTGCGGCATCTCTGTTGGAGCAGCATGGTGTGTTGAAAGGTAGGAAATATATATCTTAAAGGGATTGGGTAACTTTATCTCAGATTCTGAAAAAAAATCCTGGATTTAGCTCATGCTGCAATGATAATTATAAACCTTTAGGTCAGTCAGGAACCCCATGACTTATACAAGCCGATCACCTGTCTGATTATCAAGATATTTATGATTGGAAATCGAAATCAAATTTTGGTTTTTCCTAACGGTTTTCATTACACTACAGTCTATTGGGGAAAATGAGTATGGTAAACCGGTCACTCAAAGATTTTTTACTTTTTTGAGGCACTATATGGTCATTTTGAAGTGCAATTTTTTTAGGGCTTCAATATTACACCATATCACAGACACTGATAACATGTAGGGCCATGCATCTCAGATTTGACATTGTTAAACAGTGCTTTTTAATAAAGGGCAACTCTATCTCCAAAATTAGATGGTTATAGATGAATGCTCTATAATACTAATCAGCATTTCAAATTGGGTGGTATGGGATGAATTGGCAACAAACAGTAAAGTCAATAATTTCTATTTTAGTGAACAAACCAACAACTTTTTGTATCATTTTGTAATTTCCAATCACAATGGTTCATTTCATACATATTATGATTGGTCTTTAATGAATATACACTAAGAGTGAAAGAGGAGGAACAAATGTTACTAATTTCAAAATGCGAGACGATTAATGTGGACCTTTAGAAAATTACGACTCTCTATGGGTTAATATACAAATAATACACAGCAGTGAGCCTGAGGGCTTTAGTAAGAAGTACCTACACAAGGTACCTTTGAAACAGTCTAACGCGCGAGGTGTTTGGACTGTTTTGAAGGTACTGAGTGTCGGTAATTTTACTAATGCCCGAAGAAAATGATGTGTATTATTTGTTTTATAAGATGATGTTATATTTGTTTTATGAAATGATGTTTTATAATATGATTCAATGGTCTTTCATTAGTAAAATTATGTGTTGGGCAAAAATAAATGCCTGGGCACGTGTACGCTCTCAACCAATCATTTGATTAGGATCTGCTTCATCATTTTATAACTAACAACATTCTCTTCTTGTTTCCACCGAAAGCCCCAAAGAAAGATGCCCAACTCTCTATGCCGGTCTTCCCCTCTTTGATGTGAATTACCTGGATGCGGTTGCCATGGAGAGGGATGCTACCAAGGTGACTGTTGCCGAGGTGGCTGCGCTGCTGGTAGAGGGCGCTATCATTGGTATCGTGAGGGGCAGACAGGAGGTGAGACAAGGTCAAGGAGTGTGTGGGAGCGTGATCCAGCACCACAAAGCCAGAACAAGATTGCCAGATATAGAGGTGTCGTGGTCAAGTGGATATGTCACCGGACTGTCGATCACAAGGTCCGCAGTTCGAGTCCTGCCGCGGCACTAATGTCCTTTGGCAAGACATTGATCAACATTTGTCTCACTCAACCCAGGTGATGTAAATGGTTACCTGGCAGGAATTAATTCCTTGAAATGCTAGAGTGCCGTAATGGCAGCCATTCTAAAGCCAGGGTAATGATCGGGAGTGCCAGGAGTGTCAAGTCTGACAGACATGAGCGCTATACAAGAACCCACTATTATTATTATTATTATCTCCAGATATTGCCAGCCAGGTCTTATTCTAAACAAGGAGATTTTTCAGCTTAAAAATAATTTGTAACCGATAAGGGTGGGATGGTTGGCACACAATGACAGAAGAGAAGCAAAGGCCAAAGCCAACCATGAAGTATGTTTTAATACCTTTGAGGAAAGAACGATACAAGTTTGGAGTCTATTGAAGTACTCCGACTCAAAATGATTAGACATCGATATAAATTTGTTATGAATGGATTATCAGCTTATATCCTACAACCTAGCAGATAATTAAACACATCTTGTTCATTATTACGTCAGAGTTTCATTGCAAGTGCTTAGTCTATTTTAAGGAATAGGAGATCAAATTGAGACCAGTTGCCAGGGGCATAAAGAGATGGAAACCAATAAATGCGGGATCATGCGTTGTACCTCCAAATAGAAAAATGTTAAATATATAAAATAGATAAACAACAAAAGCAACAACCAAAAGGTCATGGAATGAAAATGAGATGTTTGTCTAGATTGGCAATTTTTTTTCTTCTTCAATATTCGTCATTAATGTATGGTGATTTGGATTGGTGTGAAGAGGTTGAATGTTGCCACTTTACAAATTAGTACACTAAATTCATGCACTAAGACAGGAATAAACTATTAGTTGGCTTTCTAACATGTGGGCCTGAGATTCTAGAGTGTACTAAGCCATTTCCTGTATGTCTTCTAGTTTGGTCCTAGAGCCTTGGGCCATCGCTCCCTGGTCTGTTACCCGAACCGTCTCGCCTTGAAGGAGGAGATCAACAAGCTCAAGTCACGAGAGTGGTTCCGCCCTCTATGTCCAGCCATCACAGAGCGGTCAGCTGCTCGCATGTTCCTAGGGAGGGAGTCTAGCAAGAAGAAGAGATGTGGAGGCAATGAAGGTAATTACCAGTCCTTATGGGTGGTCTGCAGGTAGATGGTAGTAGAAGCGTGCAAAAGGCAAGATATTCTTCCAACACTACTTTAGATTTTTGTAGATTGCCATCTGCTCCAGCTAAGTAAGCCTTCATCGAAAGATGGTGCAATTGAGAATACTTTACATCACTAGTCGCAATGTGGTTCAAATACCCTGTCTTCAAGAAAGACATTTTACACACCTTAGACAAATCATACAGATGGCTTGATATTTCAATTTTTACATAAGGTGAAGTCTCATGCCAAGATCTATTGTACAATAAAGGATATTTGTATTCTCTCATTTAAAGCCCCACTGCACTTCTTATAGCTACTTGCGCCCTCTATATAGCAAACAATGCCTAATCGGTGCCTGTTGGTCCCTTATGATCCCCTTTTTCTTATGTTAATTGAGAGCTGATTTGATGCCCAGAGATAACCACCCGTCAGTGACCTTGCAGGAAGTTCTAATCCCCCCAGGCATAACTAGTGCAGACCGGCTTTAAGGCTGACTATTTATGGATACATGTTGGTAAAAGTCTTGAAAAGTTGTTAAAAAAACAGGGGGAAGGGGTAACTACATGCATATTTATAGTCAAGATGTCCAAACAACAGATCCTCAATCAAACAGCATGTAAAATTGCATTACATTAAATTCAAGGCCAGTGAGTTCTATTCATTTTGCTGCTTATCCATACATTTGATTTGTAAATTTCAATCCCTTGTAGATCCATGTCTGTCTTCATCACCTAGTAAAGTTGATTCACCACTCTGCCTTCAAGCCGTCCCTGGGGAATCCCCCGCTGACTGGATGGGACTCTCCCCCTACATGTCATTTGCCCCACCCTTGAGGGAGGAGGCTCAGAAGTTATTCCCAGCCATAGCTCACTACGATGGCACAGCAAGGTAAAGAAAGTTGGTGCTCCGCGATAGCTCAGTAGGTAGAGCAGTGGTCTCGTATTCCGGCGACCCGGGTTCGAAACCAAGACTAGTGCCCTTTGGTAAGGCATTAATCCTCATTACCAGGGCTCTCAGAAATGACCTAAAGCCGTCGGTCCTCTGGTTGCTTACTAACAAGCATTTATGCTTGATGCACACACATGCTCTGGGTGACAGGCAGGGTGACCAGAATTTGAATTTTGAAACACGGACTTTTCTTGGCATTGGCGCCGGAGAACAGTGCAACTTAATTTGTACCAGCTAATAATGAGGTGGCATTTACTGGCATCAATCGCTCCAGGGTTATTCTGTCAAAAGTATAAGGAGAGGGTAATGATTGCAGACTTGTGGTTAGCTTTTAAGTTAAGTGTAGGGCTAGAATTGGGATTAGCTTTTGTGCTTATTCCGGAGTTGAAGGCAAGAATTGGGTAAAACAAGATTATTGACTGTAGGGAAATTGTCACCAGAGTGTGTAATGTAAAATAGTTTGTGATTTAGTTATTAGTATGTGGATAAACTTTTGGATTAAACAAAATATATTATTTTCCTTTAAAAGTAGTGTCATGTAGTATAGTATTAATGACTGCTTTGAGAGAAATAGTTGTTTTTATACGCTCAAGGGAAGGTTAGAATTGTGCTATTACCCCGAGGTGTGCCGAGGGCAATAGCCCAATTGTAACCTTCCCGAGAGCGTATAAAAACAACTATTTCTCGAATATTAAAGCAGTCATTAATACTTTTATATGCCAAAAAAAAAAAAAATAATAAAAAAAAAAAAAAAACTTTTGTCGAAGATGGGATTCGATCTCTTGCGTACAAAAGGTGATGAAACCAAAATCACCGCCTTAAACCGCTTGGCTATCGCGCTCTGTTACCATACATAGCAGTTTTTTCTTATATATACATTAAAATGGATTGAAAACGGCTTCGCGTGGTGGATGCTTCGCGGCTGCTCCATTAAACAGGCCCTTCTTTTACTTTTGCAATGCATATTGGCACGAATTTAGATCAAGATCTATTGGCAGATGTTGTTTTTTTGTTTTTGGAAGTTTATTTTCATCTTCATGTCAACAATGCAAGATAAAATTGTCGGTAAGATCGATCGAGATTCAATTGTATTGAAATTACCGACCAATTCTTCGCACACGTACTGTATCCTCGATCGCTCAGACCACTTTTTAACATGTAAACCTATGGGGTAACCATGGAGACTGAACTATTTTCCCAATAACCATGGTTACTGTGATTATAGAACTGTTTTAACCATGGTTACTGGGAATTTTACAGAAATAGTTGAAGTTTATGAATGCAATTTCGACCAATCAGATGGCTGGATTTCTTAAGTGAGGTATATAATTGACTTTAAAAGTGAAGTCATAATAAAACGTTTGTTCTGATTTTTTTTCTTTCTTAGTTAATGAATATGACATTGATTTATGACAGGAATGTCAAGGATGTTAATGGGAAAATATGTCTGTTTTGCATTTTCACTTATCTGTAATTGCTTCCAGATTATGCTCGTTCCAGAGCATATGATTGTCATATTGCTGAGAGTTAAAGATAAACTTGAGTTCTGGTAATGCGATTGCATTGTGAAAGAAAAGGTGCGGAATGGATCAGAAAAGTTGATCATATAGCATGTAAGTAATGATGTGTAATGCAAGGTTCTGGAGTCATCAAAATCATCATAAATTTGGCAGAGTCTCGGTAAAGTAACAATCACTTACACAGAAAGATGAATATGGGACAACACACATGGTGTCGGGGCTAGTACTACCCTGATTTCCTTATCTTTCTATGCTTATTACTCAGCCAGTATACATTTTCTTCCAAAATTGTTTGGCACATGACATTTATTTGTAATCTTGAACATTCAGTGTAAGTTTCGTTAGATCCTATATGACGTCATCTCTGTATTTTCTTTGCAGACTTCAGACGGTATCTCCCAGCAGTGAGCCCTGGTTCCATTCCTTGTTAGAAGAAGTAGGCAGGCAAGCTGATGATGGGGGCTATGAGATACTCCTCAATACATCATTCAATGTCAAGGTATGTCATCATTCATTTCTCATCAGTTAAAAGAAAAGTTCACCCTGGTATTAAACAAATTCCAAGTAAAAATAAGAATATTTTTGAAGTTGGTAACTCTATGACATATCTTGCGAGGTCTTCTCCCATTTGCTCTGTATCCCCAAAATTAGATTTTTTTAAATCACACATGCACCCTAAATATCGTAATTACAAATATGTTTCTATTCAATCTCTGTATGGAGTAAATCTATTCCGTCATCATTAACAAACGAAGTGACAGTTTATGACATTTTATGAACGGAGCAAATTGGAGAGGACCTTGCAAGAATCGTTAGTGTTGCCAATTCGCATTTGATTGATCGCAACTTCAAAAATTCAAAACTTTCTTGTTTTTAATCAGAATTTGCTCAAATTTGCACTGACCTGTTCCTCTTATTTTTCTACTTCTATTGAAAACAACTTAGTATCAGGGTGGACTTCCCCTATAACCTATTGACTTCTAAATTCTTGCATGGCCCTGGGTTTAATTATTACTAGTATTATGTCGAGGCCACCTGTGCCAGAAGCGGTAGGGAGGGGGGGAATTAATCACTAAAGTCTTTGGGTCTCTCTGCCCGGTATAACCAATAAGGATCTCCAGGTGGGTTAAGATACCAAGCACTATGAATATGACTGACAAAGAAAGCGGACTAAATATACAGTTCCTCAGGTAGACAAAGGAACATCCCTTCACTGCTATTACCGGTATGTAAAAATGTGTAGAACAGGTGCCACATGCGTATTCAACCGTTCTACACATTTTTACATGATAGCAGTGAAGGGATGTTCCTTTGTCTACCTGAGGAACTGTATATTTTGTCCGCTTTCTTTGTCAGTCATGTTCATAGTGAAGGTCTCCCCTTTCTGTTGAGGAATCACTATGAACATGATTGACAAAGAAAGCGGACAAAATATACAGTTCCTCAAATAGACAAAGGAAAATCCCTTCACTGCTATTATGTAAAAATTTGTAGAACAGGTGTCACACGCATATTCACCTTGTTACATAATAGCAGTGAAGGGATGTTCCTTTGTCTACCTGAGGAACTGTATATTTTGTCCGCTTTCTTTGTCTGTCATGTTCATAGTGAATAGTGCAGTGGATGTCAAGGTGCAACTTTCCTAGGCATGGGTCTTCCACCTAAACTACTATCCAACTTTGATACATTGCAAAGATCCAGGCAAGATCCTCTTTTGTATTTGGGTTGTCCGTACGTCCCGTTCTCGTGATCGCGTTATCTCAAGAACCAATTGATGGATTCCTGCCAAACTTAGGTCATGTATGTATCTTGCAGAGCCAATGAACTGTTCAGATTTTGGGGTCACGAGATCCAAGGTCAAAGGTCACAGGACTCTTTATGTATGCAAAAATAGCTTGTGATCGCGTTATCTCAAGAACCAATTGATGGATTCCAGCCAAACTTGGGTCATGTATGTATCTTGCAGAGCCAATGAACCGATTAGATTTTGGGTCACGAGATCCAAGGTCAAAGGTCACAGGAATCATTATGTATTCATAAATAGCTCGTGATTGCTTTATCTCAAGAACCCATTGATGGATTTCCACCAAACTTAGGTCATGTATTTATCTTGCAGAGCCAATGAACTAATTAAATTTGGGGGTAACAAGGTCAAATGTCAAAGGTCACAGGGCTCATTATGTATGCAAAAATAGTTCGCTTCTGTTTTGGTTTGTAAAATTGCTCCATGGCGGATGCATCATTTTTGACTTCGCGCGGTCGAAGGTCCATCTAGTTTTTTTTTTATGTCCAAACCATTTTGCAAGTGCATAGAGATGTTATATCAAACTGTAATGTGCATGCAGAGTATAACATTTTTTTTTTCTGGATCCTTTTGTATGAGAGAGTATTCTCAAACAGTAAAATCCCAAGAGGAATATTCATTCTTTGACTTCTGCGTTTACAAGCTTGCGGATGTGCTTAAAATAACACTGTAGACAGTTCTTTATTTTTGTATTAATTTATTTATTTGTTCATATTTCATCAGGATAACAAGATCAGAAAGGACTGGTTTACGTCCTGGTCCTGAATATTAAAAGCTTACACTAAAACCTCAAAATAAAGTCATAATAAGATATTTAGCGACCACAATGTTGAGTAAAAACCAAATAAAATTACATGATATTTTATTAAATATATAAAAAAACACAATAGTGGAATCAAATAATCAATTAATATATTTAAAATCAAATTCTGTAACACTACAAAATAATCATATATCATTATTAAAAAAAGCCCAGCTGAATGCTTCAGTAACAAATATGACAAATCTGCTACAAAATATGAGAAATACACTACATGTATGAGTACAATGATATGACACAAACAGAGGAAACACATACAAAGTTCTATTTTAATCTTTGCTGTAACACAAAACAAATGTTTAAACTGTAATGATCGGTTTGAGAGGCCTCACTACCAATGCATCAATGAATATTATTGATAACCGAGTCGATAATGCAAGCAACAATACTAGAGTATACAAGGCTACCAAAGAGATGGAATCTGAATGGATGTTGCTGATTTTTAAAACTATATTTTTATCTTTTTTTTCCTAGGGTAAACCCATCTTAAACCACCTCAGCACAGCTCTGGAGATCTTAGACTCATCCCCAGAAGGCACAATGACACATGTTCTCATAGAAGATTGGCTCTTTACACCCCAGAGGCAGAAAACACCTGTAGTCGATGAGTCTAGGTGACAGGCTCTGTGAACTTAGAATAATGTGATTGCTTCCTGGGAGACAGTTGTTTGTGCAATCTTATGGTAAGGCTATGTGCTGTAAATGACCATACTAACGATGCTATCCTGGTGGGCCTAAGTTACTCTCCTCAGATGCACAGATTTAATTCCCAGTCTTCATGTTTTGTAAAAATTAACTTGTTTAAATGATGTTTATAGGTAGGGCTCAACACTTACCGGTGTCCATTACACATGGTCACCCAAATTTCTACTCTGGCTCGCCAAACTTTCAATTATTTTACAAGGGGCCCCTGCAAGCATATTGCCAGGGGGTCCAAAATCTATAAAGTAACCCCTCAGATAAAAAAATGTGAAGTAGGGAAAAAATTACTGCTTCTCGCCTGTCAGGATACTAAGAGCAGTATCAGGGCCCGTGGCATGAAACTTACCATTAATGGTAACTTTCCCATCGATGGCAGCTACCATGGTAACAGGGCTCAACAGCTAATCAGAATCAAGGTTTCCATGGTAGTTACCATTGATAGCAAAGTTACCATAAATGATAAGTTTTGTGCAACGGGGCACAGATGGAAATTTATTCACTGATGTATGAACCATACATCAACTCGAGTCACTTGTGGTTGTATTCCTGTCACCGGTCCTTTCACCAAACTAACTAAAAATGTCCTGATACGAAGCACAAACATCATTATTATTACAATCGTACCTCATTCTAATTTCAGATCTAGTTAAGTGGCTGTAGCAATCGAGACACCAAAGCAGCTATGTGGCATTATTAGTAGCTTATTATTCTTCACTGAAAATGAAACTATTCCAAGAGGATTTGAAAATAAAAACAATGTTGGACAATTTTCATTCATTCTATTTGAATGTACAATTACATTACCAGTATTGGCAACTTCTTGTGGAGATGTTATTTTGAAGGAATTCTTTACCATTGTCACTATTTATATACGGTATATATATATATATATATATATGTACACTTGCTTCTTGTAACATTTTTGACTGATTTTTTTTTAGTTTGTATTTACAAAGTTGAAATTAAATGAAAAGAATAATTGTTACGCTATCAATTATAAAAAATCCTTTCCTACAAGCTATATCCCATTGCATTAGCACTGGCATGGGAAACAGTTGACCTTAAGAGTAAAGAGAAATGAAAGCAGTAGGTCTCATATCCGTGTCATTAGTGCAAATCACTTGAAAATGTATTGAAAACTTGCCAAGAGCATGACCACAGTCAAACCAAATCAGACTGATGTGGGTGTGACCACAAAAATATTTCCAGTATTATCTTCAAGTTTGTAGATGAAAGTTATGTCCTTGTTATAGTGGAAGCTTGTTTTGAAGGGCTCTGATATCAAAAGATACCTGAAAATAATAATTTTCATGGTCCCAATGTCCTTGATGTAATAAGGATTCCACTGTAATCCTGAGTATTTGTACAGATAGAAAATGTCCTCTCACTATTAAATGCTAGAACCAATGGTGATTTTTTAACTTAAAAAATACTTAAATTTACTGTTACATAAATTAGACCACATAGACCAAACAAATAAACCAGAAGGATGATACTCGTAGGTATGCCACTATTTTTTTCTTTATTTTTCTGTTCTGTCTCATTTATTTTTTGTTATATTCTTCCTCAGTTTACTTATTCAGTGTGTTTTTTAAAACCTCTTTGTAATCCTTTGTTTTTAGATTGATCAAGGTCAAACATTTGAACAGGAAAACAAAACAAAATCATGAGTAGAATTACAATTTTTATGATAAAGATAGACATCTAATGTGCATGAATTACGATATCACACATGTATATTTTAGCAAATAAGTTTCTTTTCTTTAACATATAAAAAGATTGAAAATCTTTTTACCACTGAAATTGGTTGAACATTGGAAAATAAAATGATTTGATTTGATTTGATTTGTTTTATTGTCCACATTAATGGAAATTCTTTTTTTCACGTGGTAACAAGGTATATACAGTACATAAAGCATACCGGTAGGCAAATGCAATTAATTCATCAAATTCATATAGGCATAATCAATATCAGGTGATTCTGTTGTCATTCCATGCTGAATTTGGTGTCACTACACACACACACGATTAATTGTTATTTATATGTTTTTCACATCATTTTTATCAATAACTTTGAATAGTTACACTAAACCATTGCCTAACATAATATTTACTTGTCTTTGTGACCATTATTTTCTGTCCTTTGTTTTGTTTTACTTTTACCTGTTATGATGTGTTGAATGTTGATGTGCTGATTGTGATTTTAAGGGTTTACTTCTTCATGCGGACATCATGCAAAGATATGTTTTTCTAGTATTCAAAAGAATCATAATTATCTACTTTTAATATTGTTTGGGAGAGGGCAAATCTAAGCTATATTATCCCACATGTTACGGACCACTTCTCAGCTCAGATTTGAGTATTACATGCCTCTGATCATTGTATTTAGTGAATAGTACTGGTTGAGCTTGATAGATCAGACCAAAATATGAAATTTAGTGACATATTTTTTTAGATCAATTTATGTTTACAACTCCACAGCACTGATTGCTAACTTACAATGCACATGCTTTCTTAGCAGTCAAGTAAAACCAACCAACAAATCTAATTTCATTATGTTTTTCTTCTCACTTTTACTTCATAGCTTGGACACCAAGTGACCAAATACTTTAGACTCGTTTCAATTAGTAGGAATAATTTTGAAACGAACGGCTCTCAACGTGACCTGGGAAATGTATCTTGATGTAGGAAGAGATGTAGATTTATACGTCTTGAGAGACTAAGTGTAGGGGATGTGTGGTAGGCAGAGGGAGAGAGAGAGAGAGAGAGACTAACTGTTCTTGGGATGGAGCTTGTAAACCCGGTAAGGTTCGGGGATATCGAACTGGGTCTTCTCACGAATCTCTTCGATGTCCGGGAGTTTGTTGAGGGCGGTACGAAGACGTGTCTTCCAGACCGCCGGCTCCGGCTCCATGATACCCTCCTTGTATTTGCCGGTATTACGCGACCACAGCTATGAAGCAAAAGAGAGAAGAAAAACATAACAAAATTAGATTTGTTGGTTGGTTTTACTTGACTGCTAAGAAAGCATGTGTATTGTAGCAATCGGGGGACCGACGGCTTTGGGTCATCTCCGAGGGACTTTGTAGTGACGACTAATGCCTTACCAAAGGGCACTGGCGCATCGAATGAGCACTTTTTTTTTGTATTCGACCCCCCCCCCCCCCCAACCCTTGAGCAAAAAAAAAATAGGGTAAAATTGTGGCTGCCATCTTCCTTTTTTTTGCCGGGGGGGGGGGGGGGCCCATGCCCCCTCGGCGTTAAAGGTCGGCCCACCCTACGTAAATAATCATTTCTGATTGATACACCTCTAAAAAAAAACAATTACACACAACTTACTTCTTAAGTTGTTTGTTCTCACACTATACCATTTGATTCAAGGGGTTCTATAGCTTGTCTTTGACCCTCTATGAACATGTAAAAAGTCATTATATCGTTGCGATTTTCATGTGTTACCAATATTTATCTTTGCATGATCATTTTTTTTAACTCTATGTATCATTCATGAGATAAAGTACTCGTTCCCTGGCTTCATAATGAGTTTTTACTGGTTTTCTTTTCAATATATTTTTTCCATTTATTGTCCCATTTATATGATGCTAGTCTCCTTCCCAGACGTTTATATTTTTCCAGCTATTCAGCCCAGATATATGCAATGTTTACACTTCTCCCACATACATAAAATTGTTTACATGTCTATAACTTCACTCTTTCTCTATATAGTAAATATTCAATTATATTTATGCTGGAAATATTGAATGCATCGTTCTCCATTGCATCTCTGTCTCCCCCCTCTCTCTTCTTCTCTTGCTCTGTCTCCCTCTGTCTCTGCCTCTCTCTTTTTCTACTATCCTCTCCCTTTCCCGCTTCTGGCTCTTGTTCTCCCTTTTTTAAATCTTCAAATGTTCCATAATTTTCTCTAGCTCTTCCCTTTGTACCGGTATTCTTATTTCACCACTACCATGTTTCCTGACTATCCTGTCTCCTTCCAAATGCATGCATTCTGATTCCTCATTCATCCCTCTGTCCAGCTCATGTATTTTTTACATGACTATACTCCGTCTTCTCTACATCTATCTACTGCCATACTTTCTCTCTCTCTCTCTCTCTCTCTCTCTCTCTCTCTCATCTCTCCATATGAGATCCTTTTTAAAAAAACTCCAGACCACCTCATTCATATTCAGTGACAAATTCATATCTTGTTCTTTAGAAATTCTTAAGTTTGGGCTTGCAAAAGGACCTACCATGAATATCTTAGCGTCCTCCTGAGGGTCATAGTCGTGTTGGCCAGCTAGTTTTGAGGGAATCTTGAAGAGCGTCTTCTCCTTGTCAAGCCACTGCAGACCCTTGACCTTGCCACTGTCGATGCAGCCGATTAGGAACAGCCGTAGTAGTTGCATCTTGCGCGCTGGCGACTGGTTCTCTACAAGGTCACTATAGGTGGGTGGGTGAGAGAAAGAACGAAGACGAGAGTGAGTGAGAGATAGAAAGAGAATAAAGAAGTGTGTGAGAGAGAGAGAGAGAGGGGGGGGGGGGAAGAGACAGAATAGGTAACATATATATGGATAGATATGTATAAATAATTTTATCGTGTAAGCCCCACTGGCCAGAATTCACAAAGGAGGTTTGTCGACAAACCTAGGTTTATGTGCGTCATATGACACGTTTCGATGCGTTTCAGACCAAGGTTCAGACAAACCTTGGTCTGAAACGTGTCAAAACGTGTCATGTGATGCACATAAACCTAGGTTTGTCTCTGCCTACATGTATGACAGCTTTCTGAATAAACATTACTGATAGCCTGTAACAAAAAAAATATCTCTGTTTTTAATGGGGCAGATAGCCAGATATCTATACTGAGTTTGATTTTAATCTTTTTCTTCATCATGGGGTGTACCACTCACCATGGCCTTTCAGATAACCACAATGATCCACACCTGTGCGCTACATATTAAAACAAACATTGGAACATGTTGAATCTATGTAGGTTGTGTTTGAGACCAAGAGACAACTAAATCCTTTTTTTTTTAAATCTCTTTTCCACGCCACACTCCAAAAAATATTGGGCAGAAACTTGCCCAATTTTTACCCAACATGAGGGCAATTATGTGTCCAACCAACTGTTGGGTAATTAAAGATTTTGCATGACTTAATTACCCAGTGTTGGATAAAAAGAAAATACTCAACTTTTAACTAACAAAAATTCACCCAATTCTCACCATAATGTGTAGCATATTAGACACTAGTTGGTCAAATAAGTTGGATGAAATATTATATGTTTGTTTGTTTGTTTATTTATTTTTATTTCTGCATTTTCAAAATGAAACATAATCATATACATAAAGTAACAAATATTTCTTCATTTTACATGATTATACATTTTTAAGTACATTGAATAAGATGCATACAAACACAAATATAATTTCAATGAAAAAAAAGGGAAAAAAGAAAGATAAATTACAGAAAATGCAGGAGACCGCCATCATGAGCGGTAAGCTTGAAATCGATGGCGGCCTCGAGAGAATAGCGGCAAACTCTTAAAAAATATAGTTGTACACACGAAATTGATCAAGTGGGTGCAGTGAAAGTGCATGTGCAAGTGCGAATAGGGTTCTGGTATATAATGTTTATAATACAATACTATTGTATTTTAAGAATTAATAAATTAAAAATATATTCGAATTAAGAGACGAAGTTTAATGAATAACGATTTTGTATGAGGATATAATGTGACGTTTTAGTGTCGCTTTAAAAGAATAAAGGGTCGAGCATGATTTAATTAGTTGAGATAAATTGTTCCATAAATCGGGGCCATGGTGTCTGATTGATTTATGTGTAATCAACAATCTGGGGTTAGTTAAATGAAAATTCTCAGAAATACGAGTTGGATAAGAATGAATTGTATTATTATGAACAAAAAAATTATCGAATGAAGGTGGCAGTTGCTTATTCATGTATTTGAACATAAAAATTGCAACTTGGAGAGTATGTAAGTCAGTGACTTTTAAGGTTTTTAACTTAAGAAATAATGGGTCTGTATGGGCTAAAAAAAGAGATCCAGTACAAATACGCAATGCCCTTTTTTGTAATAAAAGAATTGAATTAAGTTTGGTTACACCACAATTTGCCCAAACAATATTACAATATGTTATATATGGAAGTACTAGTGTGTTATACAATAAAAATAACGTAGTATGGGGCAAAAGAAATTTTAACTTATTTATTATTCCAACACTTCTCGATATACACATAGATACATAATGTAAGTGATCATTCCATGTTAAATTTTCGTCAATAAAAACTCCTAAAAACTTTAATGTCCTTTTTTGTTCGATTGCCATATTATCAATTTTAAAATTAATACGGAAATTAGTCAAATGAGAATTATTGTGTTTAAAGTGCATAAAATGTGTTTTTCTTATGTTTAATGAGAGCTTATTACACTTAAACCAGTTCGAAACTTTGTGTAATTCACAATTTAAAATATTCACTAATGATTCTAATTTCTTATGAGAGCAAAACATATTTGTGTCATCTGCAAAAAGAATAAATGACAATAAAGAAGATGTGTTGGATAAATCATTTATGTATAAAAGAAATAACAGTGGGCCTAAAATGGAGCCTTGGGGAACGCCACAATTAACGGAAAGTAAATCCGAATTAAGACAGTTAAAATTAACATATTGTTTTCTATTTGTTAAATAATCCTTAAGATATGAGAGGACTTGGCCCCGAATACCATAAAAAGAGAGTTTTTTTAGTAAAATATTATGATCGAGCGTATCAAACGCTTTACTGAGATCTAAAAAAATACCAATTACGTGTTCTTTATTTGCTATGGCATTAGTAATCTTATAAATTTGTACTAAGGCCAAGTCAGTGGAGTGATTTTTCCTAAAACCATATTGATTTAAATTTAATATTTGGTGAGTATTTAAAAAATTGATTAACCTATTATAGACAATTTTCTCTAAAACTTTAGATATGCTAGGAAGAATAGATATTGGACGATAATTACTAATTTCATGCGAATCATCTTTTTTAAAGATCGGAATTACCTTCGCTATCTTAAGTAAATCTGGAAAAACACCTTGCAAAAAAGACTGATTAATAATATGGCTAAGTGGACTTGCAATAACATGTATTATTTGTTTTAAAAGTGATGTACTAATTCTATCACAACCTTGAGCTTTGGACATGTAAAAGGACATAAGGGCTGCGGCGGGACTCGAACCACGAACCTTGTGATCCATAGTCCTGTGACATATCCACTCGACCACAATACCTCTCATACAAGAAAATAACCATATTGTTGAATAACAATATTGCCCGACTTACGTTTGCCCAGTTACATCTGCCCAACTTATATCTGCCCAACTTATTTTGAACATTTAATTGGGTAAATATGTTGTAGTAAATGGTTGCGAGAAAATAACCCAAATGTTAGACAAAAATGGCCCAACTTTAAAATGCCCAATAACATTACCCAATTATTTCATCAGTTACTACATAGTTGGTAGGAAATAAACCAATTGTTGGACGATATTTGTCCAACATCGATTTGTCAAGTAACACCTACCCAACCTATATTTTACATTTCATGAGGTAACTTCATATAGTAAATGGTTGGGAGAAAATAACCCAATTATTGGACAAAATTTGCCCAACTTTTTTTTACAGTGCATCCGTTACAAAAACAATGGCCAGCTCAATTTCACAGGATAGTTTCGCATTACTAACCCGAAAAAGGCTCATCATCTAATAAATTGAATGGCACCTGTACATTCGACCTAATACATGTAAGAGCATTGGACTTGGAGGCTAGCTATTACGAAAGCAGTATTATTCTATTCTCGTCAGACTCTCACTATACTACCGTCTACAGGCCACTCTGGTTTTAATATTCTCTGCAGTCTGTGGCATATCTAATACACGTGTTTTGTTATTTTGTATGTTAAAGGCAATGTGTACAAATCTCTATATGAAATAGAAGCTGGAAAAAAATAGAGAAATTCTGGGTATATACTCAGTGCTGAAGACTGGATTTTCACTCATTAAGGAATAAGGTTGCAGATGAAAGTCAGAACATGCCAAGGTGAGGTCGTGGTAGTTCATCTGTGAGGAGTCGATGTCACGGTTGTCGTTGCACTGGTGCATTGCTTTTTCAGAAAAGAGAAAAAAAAGAAAAAAAAAGAAAAAAGCACATGAACAAGAAAGTCTTCCAGATGCAATGGCTGGTTGGACGGGAATGATGATCTCCACTTCAGGGGCGGATCAAGGGTAGCAAGGGAGGGGCCATAGATTGGACCCACTACGTGAGAAAATTTGTAAATCGCACCGGCCAATATTTCGCTCGGGAGTGGGCTGGGGGGGGGGGGGGTGGGGGGGGGGGGGGTAGTGGGTTTTTGTTTTTGTTTTTGTTTTTGCCCCCCGAAAATTTGAAAATCGCGCTGCCGATATTTTGCTCAGTGGGGAGGGAAGGGGGGGGGGGGGGAATAGTGCCCACTATTTTAAAAAAGGTAAAATTTACGTGTTTTAATCTGTTTTTTGGCCAGGGGAGCCCCCCCCCTCCCCATCCCCCCTCGATCCGCCACTGCTCCACTGTGAGGTCCCGGTTTTCCCTGTGTCTTCCGGCAAGACATGCAGTCACCAAGTATCTCAAATACGACTTACGTGTAGGTTCACTTTGATTGCCTTACTGATAAGGTCACTCATAGAAAACACACAAGGTCGCTGTGGCACAGGGACATGTGCCTTCCTAGAAAGATTATTTGGACGAACAAATTTCTTCTTAAAGCCACACTGTACTACTTGTTGCCTCTATATAGAAAACAATACCTAATCAGTGACCATTGGTTCCCATGTTCCTCTTTTTCTTATGTTATCCAAGAGCTGAGTTGATGAGATAACCACCTTTCCAGTGACCTTGCAGGGTGGTCTAATCCCTCCTTTAAACTAGTTCAGATAAGCTTTAAAGTAGCTGTGCGAAGAAATATCACAAAATGGGCAAATTATACATTTAATGAAATCTTATATCATTGAGAACATTAGTCAATTGCTTTAGAATTGTGTAAATATCAATTAAACCCTTCAATAATCATTTTCCACGACACTTCTCAGAACTTCAAATCCTGGTTTGAAATTGAAATATACCGGTACTGAATCATGACGTCACACTTGGGACAGGGAACCGAAGCGCTAGTTTACACGTGCAAGGTTGCATAGTGAAAGTGGACAATTTCTCGAATTCATTTGCATAATGTAAGAATGACTAATGCATTTTGATTATTCCGCATATCTTGCTATTTTTTTTGGTTTGTTGAGACGCATCGTATGAAGGTGGATGATGATTATGATGATGATTTTCAATGCACAGCTACAATCGCTATTCTGTTATCAATCCTGCATGAGACTGAAAATCATTATAATGCAGTGCAGCTCTATTCACGATGTAGATTTGAAGGTTTGGGTCCCGGATTAATTCGTCTATGATTTAATCTGCTTGAAATTTGCGAAGAATGATCCCCCAAATCCAAGTTGTCTGCACCCCTCAAACCAGCAACTCCGCCATCAACAGGCAAATCGAGGCCGTCTCCCGCCCGTTCGTGCAGATAGGCCATGACTTGCCCTGCAGCTGCACCGTAGACGCCGTCTTCTCCTCCAATTTCATCTATCCTACCTCCCCTTCATCACTATCACTGTCACTTGCTGTGAAGCTGTTTTTATCAATTTTGATGTCTAAATCAAGTAGGACTTCCTCCTCAAGATCGGACTTAATACCTGGATTACATTTCGCCTGCGATTAGTCTACGGGGCCCGTATCCTGCCCGTATCCCCTTTTCCGTGCGGCCTCAGTGGGGAGGCAGGAGGCGGCCGTGAGATTTTCGTACGGATTCACGGGCTCTGCGGTGACTACGATTTTGTTTCGCGGGGAGTTAAACAAATTTGAAAAATCGTAAGCCCGTAGACATGTCGTAGGTGGCATTGCACAATCCCCGCACGGGCATTGCGTGGAGGCCTCACGCTGATCGTGCAGCAAACACAAGATTTTAGTGAACATGGGGGCAACAGACGCCGAAAAAACGGCACGGAGGCTGCACGGTCACCGCGCCTTCCACGCGCAACCTCTGTACGGAAGCTGCACGAGCTGCGTACGATTTCCGTGTGGAGGTTGCAGAGACTGCACGGGTGTTGCAATAAAATTGCACGATTTCCGTACAATCACCGAGCAGCCTCTGTACGGATGTGTCCCGGTCTGCCCCCGAGGGCCAATACAAGAAATGGCACGATGCTCATAGATAATGTAAACACAAACATCGTAGCCTCCTACGATGCCCCCCAAATCGCACGAAAAATCGAAGACCAATTTATCGTGCGGCGCCCAGGCCGAATGTAATCCAGGCATTATGATGATTGAAATTTGTATGTTTTGCAACGTCTATATGGTTGTACATACAGCTGTGCGAAGCCTAGCCGGCGACCAATTGTGACGTCACGTTTCTTGGCAGTACATGGAAGGTTGTTTAAGGACGAACAAATGGTAGCACTTTGATCAGTTTAGTTTAGCCTCCCCTTTACCAATTATACACAAATGATTGACTTTAGATACAGTTTTAATCCCTCGCACAGCTACTTTAAGGGGATTATACAGGCACCTATTTATAGACTGGTGAACTTTATGGAGTGATGGCTATAGTTAAGGTTCCCTGATTTCTTGGCAGGAAAGTGGAATAATCTACAATAGGATCTACGAAATGTGCACAACGAACTACAGTACAGAGGCTAATGTATGCCTGAAAACATGACTGCATTTGATTCCATCTTAGTCTGAGTCTGCATGTCCACGTCCATCTTGTCCACTTGATGTTGGTGTAGTGATGTCCCTGGTGGTCGTTCATGTTGCCTGGTACTTAGATCTTCGTTGATTACGGCTCACACCAGGCGCGTACGCAGGGGGGGGGGGGGGGGGGTTAACCCCTCCCTTGAGTTTTTTGTGTGTATATTTTGTGTATGTTTTTTGTGAACCCCCCCCCCCCCCCTTTTGAGTTTTTTTTTTTTTTTTTATTAAAAAAAAAAAATTATGCCAATGGCTGATATGACCTTACCCCCCCCCCAACGGAACAAAATGTCAAATTTTCAATTTTCGAGACCAAAAAAGAAGAAAAAAGGGTCCTCTTACCCCCTCCCCCCGTCGTTGCGAGTCGTTGCGATTTTTTTTTGGACTCCAAAAAAAAAAAAAAAAGTGTCTGCTTACCCAAAAGTCAACCAAGTAGCCATTTCTTTGTAAGTTCAGAACAAATTCTGCTCACTCGAAACGAAATACAGAATAATGCCCTACTCATTAATTACTCAAAGAGGCCTGCACACGTACGTGTGACGTGTGCGAACGGAAGTCTCCCCTCCCACAAGGTGTGTACGAATGGGGTTTTCCCCTTGCCACTCTCCGGAGAAATCTGAATGGTTGGTGAATCCGACCACCTGATTGGTCGAGCCATTCCGCGCCTAGCAACACGGCCGGCGTCCGCGACTCTGATTGGATGAGCTGTTCCTCGGCTCATGTTAACTCTGATTGTTTTTAAGTTCCACCATCTCAGCGCAGCCGCAAAGGAATAAGTATGCAAATTTATGACGTAATCCAAACGGCACAAGCCCGAAATCCCAATTTCCCACCATGTCCAAACAGGCCCCGCATGCAAAATGACAAACATTGTACACATGAAACCAAATTACACACAGAAAAAGTAGTACGAATAGGCACAAAAACATCGGTAATTCTACAGATTCTGGCTAGATTAGTAAAAAAAAAATTCCAAAACATTCTAAATGAGCCTAAAATGACTAAAACGCGGACGACTCACGGCTAGCTAGCTAGCCGCGTAGGCTTCCGTCGCCAAAGCATAGGCACACTATTTTTTTGTCTCGTGAACCAGCGCCGCCATTAACACAGTCAGAAAAAGGATAGTGTTGTCCTGAAAAAAACGCCTAAAATTCCCCTTGAACTAGTTATTCTGCATCAAGAAGGTTTGTTGGATTATTTTAGTGTCTATTTAAGAGCAATTTCCTTTTAGCACATTATTTCTGGAAGTTTTTACTAATCTGGCCAGAACCTGTAGAATTACCAAAACATCAAAAGCACCCACCCCTAGAAAAAGACCGAATTTCACAGCAGCATTTCGGACGCAGTCCTACCCAGCCCCCTCCGAACCCGTCAGCACTTTCTGCTGAGTGGCGCAAATAAAACAACCTCACAACGAATGCCGGGCGGGACTACGCGCGAGTTAGCCCGTTGCCTTCACCCGTGAATTTTTTTCCCCTTGTGGAGCTTGGAGCCAAGTATTGAAACACTTTACTTTTCATAATGTGAGTGAAACCTTAAAGAGCTAAACATTAGAATGAAGGACCTTGACTTAATGTGCTTAGAAAGGAACTATCTATTTCTACAACTCCTAGTCTTGATTTTGCACATAGGCCTACAGTCTAAACTGTGCTTACGTGATACCAATGGATTACAGATTTACTACAATATTTACTTGTACATTTTGAACGCCCTTGTGCGAGGGAGCGTAGCGACCGAGCGAGAAGATTTTTGAATGTTTATTTTTCTTAACGCTGCACTCTTGGCCCCTCCAGAGCCTAAACATGTTGCAGTCTTTAGTCAGTATTTGCTATACATTTGTTCTTTGCACTTTAAAAAAAAAAAATCCGGGGGGACGTGTTCCTCCCTCGTCCCCCCCCCCCCCTCCAGGATCGCCGCCCCTGGACGTACGCAAATGAAGTAGATTTGGGATATCTAGTTGAATACCTTGCTGTTCATACTCACCGGAATTGCTATAATTATGTTATTTTTCTCCAGTATCACACGTCTGTTCAGTTCACAGATTCCTGGCCTGTCTGGGGGGTCACGTTCTTGCAGCGCATTAAATAGACTGTGATCATTTAGACTGTTAATGGCTGACATATTTGTTTTCATTAACGGAGGATCTAGGACATATTATTATGTATGATCTTTGTACATTTCCATTTCATATCGCGGGCGCGGGAAGCAAACAATTCATGGAAAGGGTGTTGGGTATAAAACGAACTGTGACCAATGAGATGTCAGATATGAAATACGAAACGTATAGGCCCGAATTCACGAAGGAGGTTTCAATAATTAACCCATGGTTAAAATCTTCATTTACATTTATGACTCGCAAAGATAATACTAAAGTAGACTGTGACGGATGTCTACTTCGGACACAGTAGGGGCTTTCCGTTTTTAGTCGATGACGTAATGGCCCCCCGCGTGCGTTTATTCAATTTCTCCTTTTTTCACTACTTATGTTATTCTTTGTTTATTATTCTATCATTGTTATAATCTTTCATTTTCTCTTTCTGTTCTTCGTTTGTTATTCTTCATTTTTCCATCTTTCATCTTCTCTTCTATGTGATGTGATGGTTATTTTACCTGACTGCTAAGGAAGCATAAATGCTTGTAAGTAAGCAACCAGACGGCCGACGGCTTTAGGTCCTCTCCGAGGGACCTGGTAGTGAGGATTAATGCCTTACCAAAGGGCACTAGCGCATCGTCTTGGTTTCGAACCCTGGTCACCGGATTACGAGACCACTGCTCTACCGACAGAGCTATCGCGCCTCCTTTTATTTCCATTATTTATTCTTTATCGTTTTCTCTTTCTTTCTTTCCTGATGTTATTCTTTGTTTCTTCCTTCCCTTCTTATGTTATTCTTTGTTTGTATTTTTCTTGGTTTCTTCCTTCTATCACCATTTCTTATTTAATGCCTTGTTTTTATCATTCTATCACTTTCTCTTTCTGTCTTTCCTTTCTGATTTACGCGGCGATGTAGCAAGCTGACGTCCTTTTGACGACGGGGTACGAGTTTTCTGAACCTCAAATCGTGGATGAACGCGTTCTCAAATTTGGCCTGATGACGTTAGACGACCCTACGCATGCGGAAATCGCCGAAATGATGTCCCATCTTTGACGTCGTCGATATGGACGTGACAACGAAAAGGCCCTAGTATCTGAGAATCACTCACCGGAGGTATTTGAGGGTAGTTCATCCTTTGGTAAGCCTTTCAATAAGTTGTATTAGGTTCAGCGCAGTGCAAGAAGAGAGCTCTGCTTGGCAGTACAGTCCATCCTTAGCCTTAGAAGTGGAATGCCGCCCTCTAAAGGCGAGGGCAGCATTTAGCGTCTGCCACAGTATCTTGCCTTGTGCTCGTCTAAAATACTGGACTTCTGATTGTATACGCTAATTTTAGACCATGGGTTATCATGACGTAAATGAGGATTTAAACCATGCCCGGATCAAATGTAAACCTCGATCCTTCGTGAATTCGGGCCAGTCTACGTCATGTTAAACATATAATTCCCCCCCCCGTACGTTGACAGTCAATGTAACGTCCAAAATGGGTGAGATTTTACACTATTTTTTACATCATTTTTGTTATTTCTTCATATTTTATTGAAGTTATAAATCTTGGTAACAATAATAGAAATAATTCTTCCGATGATTCTACTTGTCTCTATGACCATTATTTCTGTCCTTTGTTTTGTTTTACTTTTACCTGTTATAATGTGTTGAATGTTGAAATGTTGAATGTCAAAATGATTTTTGTAAGGGTTCACTTCTTGGTGACCTAGTGCAAAGATGCGCTTTGATTATTTACTATTCATCTTTAAAAGCTTGATAAGGGCAAATCCAACCATGTAGGAATTTATTCCTTGAAATGCTAGAGCGCCGTATGGCAGCCATGCTAAAGCCAGGGTAGAAATCGGGAGCGCCAAGAGGGTCAAATCTGACTGACATGAGCGCTATACAAGAACCCATCATTATTATTTTTATTATTATATTATCCCACTTGTTATTGACCACATCTTAGCTCAGATTTTTGTATCACATGCATCTGAATATTATATTTTGAGTCATTAGTCCTGCTTGAATTTAATGGATCAGACCAACATATACAATTTTGTAACATATTTTATATCAATTTATGTCATTACAACTCCACAGCACATGGTTGCGTATGGGACATCAAGTGACCAAATACTTTAGACCCGTTTTTATTAGTAGTAATAATTTTTAAAAGAACGGGTTTAACATGACCTGGGAAATATCTATTGATGTAGGTAGAGATCTAGATTTATCCGTCTTGAGATACTAAGTGTAGGGGATGTGTGGCAGGCACAGAGAGAGAGAGAGAGAGAGAGAATTTGTTTTATAAATTTGTTGTAAAAAGAAATTAAAGAAAAGGGTAGCACTAGAGCTCCAAGTAGTGGGCATACACTACTAAGGAACTTTGCGAAACAAAATCTGGTTATAACGGTAAACTTTTTGATAACAGTTTTAATTTTCCCTTCTTGTTGTTTATTTGTTTTCATTTTGTAAGGGCTCGGGTCGCCCCAGGGACCCAGCTCAATGAACTTGATAAAACCAGGTTCCAATATAACACATGTGCATCATAACTTCTCTTTTTAGGCTCTCCCTCTTCCTTCCATCCTGCATCTTCATCTTCAAGGATCTCCGCCAACCTGACATTTTCGCTCCCTCTTGTCTCATCTCCCTTTTCCTCATCTCTGTCTGTCCCCCTCTCTCTCCCTCCCTCCGCCTCGCACACACACACACGCACTCGCAAACACACACTCATTTCATTCAAAAGTGCACAAACAGTATTTTCACAATTGCACAACGCCTCACTAAAGAAACTAGTCTTTGACTCAAATAGAGTAATGCTTTCCTTTTTTAATGTGTACTTCCAAATTAAACGCACATTGACATAAAACATTACGACTACCGTAAAAAGGTACGCAAGACAACCACAGTTTTGTCAAATTCGCATCATGTCTGGCCACGTAGCACCATTAAAACCATGAACATAAAATAAAAACTGTATTGGAATAATATGGAAAGACTAAAAATTGTGCACAAACATTCATCCTATACTATTTTCGTCACTGAACAATTTACCAAGACAAACTTCGCGGGAACCTGCCCTGCGATGACATGTTGGATGTTAAAAATGTGTCCCGTTTTGAATTAGAATGTGCCGAAAGTGAAATTTGCAGTTTCTGCTCGAAATTAGTATCTATAACGTGTGGGAATTACATAACCTACTCCGTATGGCTAAAAGTGGCAAGCTTTAAGCATTTCAAATTTCATGGCATGATTAACTAGAAATTATATTTTGTCTTTGTAGACTTTCTATACGTTTTGAGTAAACTGTACAGAACTACACATTTTTTGGCAATATCCACGACATCACAAATTTATGTCGGCTTATATGTTTTTAGTTTTATGGCAAGATTGTGGAGCTGTTGTATAATGAGGGCGATAAAATACAGTTACTTTTCCCCCAATACGAAAGTCGTTTGAGTAAGATTCTGCTGTGGGTGCGTGAATGTAGAAATAAATTCGATGCAGGAATATTTTGAGCATTTTTGGGGGGAGTGCAATCACAAACGAAACATGTCCCTTGATGAATAAAAGAATGTCTTGTGAAAACAATGTTTTTTTCTTGTTCAAATATTTACAAGCAGAGTAGTTGTATTTGGTACATTCTATTGCGAAACTGTCATGTGCAACAAGAGAAAAGAGATTTGATTTTGACAAAAATCTAAATCCAACGTTTTATTTTCTTATCAGAAGTCTCTATAAATTCGCTTGCCTACTTTCATCGGATTGATTGTAACCTACCACGATACAAGATAGAAAAATAATCAGCAGAATGAATATGTACAGTATTTACAGACACATCATTATTTACATCATATAATCACGTTAACTAGATTTTGCTCAGATTTGAAGGCACTTCTTGCAGAAAAATCACGCGGCAAACATACTAAATAAGAAAAGAGTCTTCAAAGTAATATTATTTTTCAGCTGTCTACGGGAATTATAAAAAATAAGTTTGATGTGATTGGAAGAAAAAATGAGAGGTCAACAGGCAAAAAAAGAAGATATTTGATTATACTCATAAATTAAAAAAATGAACAAGATTGAACTATATACAAACAAACTTACAAAATAAATTACATCATTTACAATCCTGATACGGAAGCAACGAGTTAGAAATATACATCACAGGCAAGAAATTGAATATACAACATGCATTTAGAAAGAGCTTTTGATAATCACATCTACATGGAACAAAAATCGATTGAACTACAACGTCAGCAAAGAATTAATGTACACATATTTTCTACAAGAGCCTTCATGTATTACGTCGCCTAGTAATACGAATTAACTACCACTTACAAGCGAAGAACACACGTGCTGTTACAAAAATATCTTCAAAAATATTGGAACATGACACTAATATCCTTACATATATGCCTAACATAGGGCACATAAATATTCTATTCCAGTAGTCCAGTAACTGGCATTATGGTCTTGTAGGACTCATTTGTAAGGGGGGGGGGGGGGTGCAGGTTTAATTTGGCACCTAAGTTTTTATATAGGAATGTGCTCTCTCTATATATATTTTTAAGTGAAGGGATGGTTTTGTCAACAGTCGGTAGTGTCAAGAAATCATTATGAAAATTCATAACATGATTATTTATCCATTCCCTACAGTTAATCTATGTTTCCGTCCCTTTTTAAAGGATATTATTGAGATTCTTTCGAAGCTACTGTTTGGTCAAGATATGGTGAATTCTAGTGAGTAGGAAGATAAGATTGCTGATAGCGTAGCCATAGCACCTCAGGAACTGAAAGGTGCATTCACAAGAAGGATGGTCTAACACCATATTTTCACATGAGATGTGGACTCGTCATGCTCATACATAAGCCTATGATGTGACAATAGAACTCGGGAAAACAAGTTAAAACTGGGGAAGTTTCAAGATCTACAGAAGACGCAGTGCAATCGAAATTTGTCTTAGACCACTCTGTCATCATATGTGCTACATCTGCTCTCCACCCACAGTGCTGTCTCAGTGTTGGACTTGCGTAAGTGCAGGCTGGGGTACCATGGGGCACGACGCGGCGTAAGGGCTCATGTCACCCCAAGGACCCAGCCCAGCAGCTGCCTGCGCCAGAAGAGGCGACACACTGGTGGTGGCGAAGACATCATTGTGCATCTCTGGACCTGAGAACTTGAGCAGTCCGCTGTGGCTGCTGTGCGGTAGCGACCTGGCGTCATTGTTGAGTGTCCGCAGCTCTTCCACAGCTCGCAATGGTCGCACTACGAACGAGATGAAGCAGGCCTTCAGCTCAAAGGCATCACAGAGCTTCTGTGCGATGCTGAAGTTGATCTCAGGGATTACGGGTGATGGGATCGAGCCCTCGTAGTATTGCCGCAGATGTTGACGGAAGCGATCAAGATCAAAGATCTTTGTCTCAACGTCACGCTCCAGCTTCTCACATCGTGTGCCGTCTTCCGAAGTGCTCCAGAAGAGAACACTGCGGCAGTGACGCTTCACATAGATACAACCATCACGGCATGTCAAGGACAATCTGAAGACAAAAAGAATGTTTCATGTCAATCTCACTTTTGAAAAGCCATCAGAGAATAACTTCCAGTAACCTCCTTTTCGTTCTTTTATGACTTGAAGATACAACATTATTTGTGTGACGCATTATATTAGAGAGACTTGAGATAGGATCTGAAGTGTCAACAAAGGAGTTCACAAGATCATCAATTTTTCTGTGGATATGATTATAAGTTGCAGTCATGGAAGGAACGTTTTTCCATAATAGCCCAAATCAAGGCAGGAATTGATCCGTTGTCTCATAAAGGTGTACACACCTTTTATTTTCGTTTTACATTTCATTCAATAGTTCTAAATTCTGCAGCAACACTTTCACTTTTAACATCTCAGACAAAGTAAACGTAGTCAAAGATCGTCCAATGCTTTGGAGTTTGGAATGCGTTTTTCTCGTCGTTTTTGTACATCTACTGCTTATCCATTCCAATCGTATCCTGCTGCCAGGCACACGACAATGTCATTGTCACTTCTTAGAATCTCGAGAGAGGATCAAGGGTTTCAGGATACCACAATCACTTACCCTTTATCGCAACAATCCAGGATCTTGCCGATGTACTCGCGGGGTTTTCCCTTGACCTCGGTCTCGGGTATGTCCTTGATGTCTGGCATCTGGATCAACTGCATGTTGCGGCGGATCTCGGCATCGTTAGGCTCTCGGAAGTAGACCATGCAGCCGCCATCAGCCTGGACGTGGTGCAAGCCGACGTTGGTGGAACGGTAATACATCTGGATGCTCATTTCATGTTCTGGTTAGGTAGGATTGAGAGAATAAAGCAGATTTACTTTAGAAGTATGAAAATATTGTATTGGTTTCTTTTAAAGAAGAAAGTTAATAGGATGGGAATAAGTAGCTTAGTGGCTTACTGCGACAGTTTGGTCGCAAATTATTCGTTTTCATAAGTGTGGGATACTGTATCAGTCATTTAGTGTCTTCGTTGATAATTTGATATGGAGACATGATAATTTTTCGTTTGCATTTCAAGTGCCCCACCCCCTCGATGTGTGATAACTTCCTAAGGGTAGGTGTCTCAAGACATTGTTAATATAAAAAAAAAGACAATCAACTCACCACTTGGTAAACAATGTGAGTCTTCATCCTTGATCGATCGCCGGCTATGTGCGTGCATGCCTACCGATGCCGCCGTGCAGGCCTCCAAACCCTCACCCTCACCGGACAGGATGTTCGAAGCTATGGTGATGGCGTTGATAGCGGTTGGCGGCGAAGCTTGCTGATCGTAGTCAGAACGCGCCGAACAGCGTTGCGGGACTTGCGCCCTGTTGGACACGCTGTTGTAAGGGACGGTCATTCCGGATGATGTCACAGAGGTGGGGTCGTGGTAGTTCATCTGTGAGGGGTCGTTGTTGTTGATGTACTGGTGCATTGCTGTTCAAGGAGACAGAAAAACGAAAATTAAGAAATAAGTTCAGAACCAACAAAGTCTTCCAGGTGCAATGGCTTGTCGGATGGGAAGGATGATCGTTATTGTGAGGTCCCGGCTAACAGTTTTGTATATCCACTTTGATTGCCTACTGATTCACCGTCAGACCTGTCTACGAAGGTCACTGATAGGAAACAAAAAGGGCCGCTGTGGCAAAGGGACATGTGGCCTTCCTAGACAGATTATTTGGACAAAGAAATTACTTCTCAATGGGATATAATACAGGCACCTATTTTAGACTGGTGAACTTTTTATAGGGGTGGCTATAATTAAGGATCCTTGATTTCTTGGCAGGAAAGTGGAATAATCTACAATACGAAATATCCACAACGAACAGAATAGACTACTTAGACTAATGGCGGCCTGAAAACACAATTTTGACATACCTGCATTTGATTCCATCTTCATCCGAGTCTGGATGTCCACGTCCATGTTGTCCATGTTGGTGTAGTGATGTGCCTGGTGGTCGTTCATGTTGCCTGTACTCAGGTCTTCGTTGATCACCTCGGTGATCTCATTGAGCTCGGCCACGGAGCTGCCCGACGAGCCCGTCGAGTTGTGGTGCAGTCGGTGACCCGGTGTGTGGTAAGGGTGGTGGCGGTTGCTGGAAGACGTCATGACGCTCTGCTGATGGGGAGGGTAGTAACCGAAACCTGATAGGCCTATGAAATGAATTATGGATAAAAGAGCGATACATCAATGGAACTAGTAAATAAAATGCATTGTTTTATATTACAAATCTTTTGTATGTGCATGTGTCTCTTTCCACTTTGAACAGCTAGAATTTTAATTAACATGAACTAGGATTAAAACACCTTGCAGTGTCTTCGTAGAAATATGTTTGAAGTACAGACAATTCAGTTTAATTTTTAATTGATCCCCCCACTACATCAAAATTTCACGTCTCACATAAGAGCATTTAGAATCATTAGTTTAAATTGATTACTGATAATTGATTACTGAATGTGCATAATCACCATGTCATAAAGGTGTACAATGGGAATATCCAGGACTTTGTGTAAGGAAAACAAATGGACAAAAAGGGGGACCATCTCGAAAAATTCAACAATCAATGGGGCATTCGATGTCTCTAGAGTTTAAGAGGCACACCCTTTGAATTTCAAAAGGTGATATGGTTTTGCTCAAAAATACACACATAAAAAAAAAACAAGGGGGGGGTTAACTCCCCCCCCCCCCCCCACCCCTGCGTACGCGCCTGTGGTGGATGTGCCACCAATCCGTCACTGATGAATATCATCTACACTACACTCTGAAAGCAATACTTACTTCCACCAGTCGGCGAAAGGCTGTATGCACCCATGCCGACATCACACATCTGTCAGGGAGAAATAAAGAACACAAAATGATTTTCAAAGATTTAAAAAAATCTTGATTTTTCTTCGAAACACCATAATTTAGTGCTAAGCTTTATTTCAAGTAAAGAATTATTAAATTGAATTAAGGAGATGATTGATAGTGTACTACAAAATCAAGGAATAGCATTTCAGAGAAACACGCTTGAGTTTTTCGCCTTACACTCATAAATCGATGGAAAGAGCAGAATGCCGAATTGGACAATAGACATATACATGTAAATGGAACATTAGAGAACAAAATGCACGAAAAATTAAAAAAAAATCTAGTTGGGAATGGCAGAGAATATAAGTTGCTATTCTTGTTTGATAAAAAGTATTTTTAGAAATAGACAAAATAAATCAAAACAAAAACGCGGGAATGAGCTTGAAACAGAATTTAAAAAAAAAAAAACGCTCGAACGTCACTTTAAGATGCAGTGAATATCTACAAGTCGAAATCCTAGATATTTGACGAGCTTTGACGACTGACAAACAATAATCCTCGTGTTCTCTTTTAACTGACGGAGGCATTGTTTTCAGTAACATCATACCCATGAGAAAACACTAGTTCACTACGTGCGCTCCCGGAATGATATTCGGAATATACAGTTTACAATATTCTAGAAATTCAGTTCATCCATGCCATTTGGAGTGTTGCGATTGAGGAATTGTTGAATGGATGGAATCAAAGAGTTTTTGTTGTTGTTGGTGTTGTTAAATTTGTTAAAGATATCTGTCAGTTGTATCTTATTTTTTTAGCTATATTGACATATCTTTGATGCGTGTAAGTGTTTAGTGTGTACCTTGTTGAACTTATTCCTCTGGAATTGCATTTATGTAGGATTGGTACAGTTTTGTAAAATTCTTCAAAGGGCTGTTTTCATGACTTTTTACAAAAATGCATTTTGGGGATATTCCGTTACTTACTCAACGATAAGTTTTCATAATCGCTTTCCGATTATCATTTTCATTGTCTACAACAGGCGTTAATGTTATGTGTAATACTATTGACTGTAACTCCATAATTTCCATTCCTTTTACACAAACTCTTCCACTAATATTTCAATTGCTTGTTGAAATATGAACCTTTGTTCGTAATAGTATTTAATGTTAGAAGTTAGCATGTTCTAATCGTTCTACTTATATCAAAAACTTGTTATAGGAGCTCACAACCTTTTAAATCTTGATATTCATGTGCATGAAATATAATACAATGGGAATTCAGTATTAAAAAAAAAATCTAAATGATGTACTTACCGGGTTTGGGTAAGAGTAGTCATAGATAGATTGGTAGTGGGAGGGGTAGCTAGGGTGTGGCATATCAGGGCATTCTGTAGGAGGGGAGAAAAAAAACATGAATCCATTAGGAACGTGTAACTACTAGTACGTAATATGATGGATAGGATAGGTGGAAATGGGTTGATAAGAGACAGATAGATAGAAGGAAAAAAAGTGGAGAGAAAGAGAGAGAGAGGGGGGTAGAACGATGACAAATATATACGGTGTGTAATAGAACGTACACAATTGCATCACTTTGTTTTTTTCACCACATTTTACAAGATATAAATGAAATATGAAACACATTTCGGTGAAAAAAGATATTAAGGCTAACGTACGTAAGAGATACGGACTTCAATCACTTTTTAAACTTGTGGTCATTTTTCTTCACCAATTACTTTATAGGAACGCGGCCAAATCAGCCATGTTTAACCGCATATATCCCGATCTAAGCCAGCCCTTCTTTCAAACAAAACATATGAGCTTTCATGGATACTTGGCTGTATGGATAATCTCACTATTGTAATTGCAAAGTAATTCTCGGGGATAAAAAAATGTCTCGACAATCTTGCCAAAAGCTTGTCTTTTTGGATAAAAATCCACGGAATGAAGCTAAGCCGAAGAGGATGTTTGTTAGCACTCATGAGACACGCATGGGGTTGATGAGTGAAACAAACTCCCCTTTCACATCTAAAAGATAATCCTTATCGTAGTGCAGTCGCAGGTGCATCATTGAAGACAGAACTCGCGAGAGACTGTCGTGCACGTGTGGTACGGAGATAACTACTGAAAAATAAATTGTAGTTTCCCTTGCATGTAGCGTAAATTGACGCGCGTTCACACTTTTCCATGGCTCATGCTAAATGATACAAGATCAATAACTCCTTTATCTTTGAAAATAAAAAAATAACCTTGTATCTAACCGAAGTACTTATGCCAACTTGTGCAACATGCGATTCTTAAATTCCAAATGTAAATGGTCTGGATACACAACCAGTTAATTACGGTGTGGATGAGAAATTGTTCATGGGATAAAAATGATAAAGAGATTCGGAAAAGGAGGGGGAAGCTTACCTATCCCAGTGGGGTAGGACCCCGTAGAGTGATAGCCTCGAATGTTGCCCCCTGTCGAACGTGGCTAGAAAGGAATTGAACAAGGGGAAAGGGGTCACGCATGAGTAAGATAATGATGTTGGATGTCACATTGATAAAAGATATGTAATTAGTACACGAAAGAGAAACTGATATTAATCATCCCTCCTACTCCTTGCTAAGGTGGCATTAATCAAAAATTAGTTTTGTTTTTAGAATGATTTTTAATGTGATTAACCGATATAAATAATGTATAGCAAAAGGCCATTACAGCGTAACGATCACCATTTGTGCAAAAGAGCAAGAAAAGAATATAACAAAATAAGATACTTTAGAGGTTATTGTGGTACATGTGTACTGCTATAAGTCGGTAAAATAAGGACAGTGGGAAATGGTTAGGGTAGATAAAACATCACTTAAACAAAAATGGATAAAGCAATAACAAAAAAACGTACTGTAACAAAATAAACAAAAACTTTGATTTTTTTAAATCAATTTCAATAAAAAGTAAAAACTTTTATCAGAAAATGTATTGAAAGTTGGACGCGGGCAAGACGATTAAACAACTGGGAGAGAGAGAGAGAGAGAGAGAGAGAGAGAGAGAAGGGTCAAAAGGAGTAGGTGAGAGAAAAAAAAATAGAACAGGGAATGGATTTGAGGAAGGGGGGGGGGGCTGAACTATGAATATTATTATGAATGTATAAAGACTGCTTACCTGTCGACCTGTAGCGGGTTGGTACTCGTGACACACTGGATGAGGTGCCTTATTATTCGCATTAGATCCACCAGCTGTCACGAGAAAAAAAGAAAAAGAAACAAAAAGACAATTAAAATTGGTGCAGATCATTCGCATTCTTTCTCTTAAACGTTACGTTAGAATATCGTAGCTGGGGAAAAAATTCCTATTTAGAGAAGAAGTATCCTCTCCACCCCAAAGTAAAATGAAAAAGAAAAAGAAAAATAAAAACAAATGACATTCGTTTTGCTTTGTATATTATTATGAAGATACATGCATGACATGAAAAAAAAGGACATAACAAAATTATCATGGAGCTGGTAAATTAATATTAATAACAGGAATAATTGTTTGAAATATATAAATTCACAGAATGATAAAGGGGCATTCACATGATTTTGATAAAAGTTCTAAACACCAAATAGTAAATGTAATTTAAATGTCACCTTTAAACATTACCACTAAAGAAGCACAGCACAAAATTCTACGCTGTAATAAAAATTATATCCAACAAAAATTATCAAGAGGTGAGGCATTATCCATTATTTCTCTTTTGCAGTTAGCACATTTTGTTGCAATATTATTATCATTACTAAACCAGTCACTTTTTTTCTCTCTAAGTCGGTGTTACAAAGCTTGATTTGCGTGTTGCCAATTCCGCTGGGAGACGGCTCTAAAGTGCATCGGGGGTGCAGGAAAACAGTATGAAAAGATGAGATAATAATACAAATCGCCCCAAGATATGAATCGACGGGGGTTGCTTGCTCGCTCGCTTTCTCTAGTACCCTATCTCATCAAACCCGTCTACGCTCTCGCGATAGTGACGTTGGAAACTTGGAAAAGGGGCAAAAACCGAGAAAAGTTGATTCTAGGGTTGGATTGAGAAGTAGAGAGAGAGACACACACACACAGAGAGAGAGAGAGAGAGAGAGAGAGAGAGAGAGAGAGAGAGAGGGGGGAGTGGAGAGAGACAGAGAAAGAGAAGGGGGCAACAAATATTCATTGTGGGTGGAAGGGGGGGGCGTCAGGACCTGCTAAGTATCGGTCACAGGCAATTGTAGGTCAATTTACTAAGGGCAATGTCAGTCTGCCTGTGATCATGCAACCCCGATATAGACGTAACTCGATTTGCCAACTTCCCATTTCGAAGCCGTTCTAGAAAGCGCAAATTTCTGTAGCAAGTAGTTATTAGACTCCAGCTTTATAATCCCATGGCTATAAATGGCGGCAATATCCCCCAAATTTATCCATCAAAACCCAATATGCAAGGACGATGAGCGAAACAGGTGGAATTTGACAGAAACTCAATAATGGTCATACAAAGCGGGCTAAAGTCTAGGTGTAAGTCTATCGCTGTCTATGTTTCTAAAATAAGAACAGAGCATTATTATGCGAGAAAAGGTTCGTGGGGAGGTGGGGGGGGGGGGGGGTATACTTGGTGTGGGAGGTATAGAGGTGGAAGAAGAAGGGGAGGTGATTGCACCTCGAGGGACTTGAACCCGGGATCACTTCTGTGACCCTGCGTCCGCCATTTGAACATGACCCGAAGGTGACCTATAAGGACCCGACCCTGGATGCGGTCCTACAGGCGAGCGCACGGCGTGAAATCTGACCCCTGCTGCATTCCAATGCCATGCCGTCATCTTCCCCAAAATACGTCCCGTATCCCCGCACAAACTTAAAAACTTTTGTATGGATGTCCACAGAGTGGGGGGGGGGGGGGGGGATTCTGTCTGTATCTGTCGGAGGTCTGTCTGTCTGGCTGTCTTCTTGTCTGTCGCTCTCTCATCCTCGCCTTATCTTTGTCCTTCCCAAGTTGTACATAAATTAGAAAATCCCCACTAGTATCAGTGTTATGTCGCCAACTCGGGCTACCCGGTTCGAATGCCATATTCCCTCCCTTCATAGTTTGTGCATTATCTTTGGCTACACACGAATTTTTGTCCCCCAAAAATACATTAAATAAGAAAATTTTAAAAAAACATGGGCCTATGTTGGCTTCATCTACTGCATTTGAACTCTACTGCGTTTTATGTTAATCCCTCCCAAAATTTCGTCACTCTCTCGAGTATTGAGCAACTCAGCAAGTCTATATCAGAAGCACAGGTAACAAATCTACCATCGCAAATAAATCATACCAAACATGTACACATTTCACCTTTATTCTATTATTGCCTTTATCTATATCACAATCCTCAGCCATTCCATTAGTCACTCGACACAACAAAGCAAAGAGAATCATTATCTCTCTCCAATTTTTTGACGACCGTGTCTGTTTTGTGTCATTCTACCACCCGGGGCTCGGCCGGGTAGGGCGCTGTTGACATGGGCTGCCTACGCACGAACCGACGGTGGTCGCCGCGGACACAGCGAGGAGCTCTCCCCCCGCTAGCATGCCCGTCAAACCCTAGCCAGCCAAGACAAGCCCTATGAGCTCCGACCAATCTACGACTGGAGCAATAACATACCAACAGAGGTGAAAAGACCAGGGCTTAGCGGCTGGTGATGACTCATAGCATCGGAATACTCTGCCAGGGTTTCCCGAGGATTTATGACATACAGACCGTGAGACGATTTACAAGACCAACTAGTGCGTTCACATTAATACACCTTTATATTTCGTCCTTTTCCCTTTTACCTTCTTCGTTTTCTCCTTAGGCTTTGGCCGTTCCAAATTTTACACCTGGACTACTTTCGCAATGCCACAAGGTTCTTTATTATCAACATATTTGAATTCTTAGAAATTCGGGACAATTAGTTACTACAAATTATTGCTAGAGTCGTGTACTATAACGCTAATAACTTATTTAGAGATCTGATTTCTAGAACATTTAATAGATTTGCAAAGAGATGTTTGATTGCTCGAGTACAGAATGAAATGTTTACCCTAAAGGTGAAAATGATAACATTTCCAACCAGGAAACATACACGGCACGAAGCGTGTACAATGATATTTGTGAGAAATGGTAATTGGATAGTAACATGGTCATTGCACTTTAAAACCAGCCGACATTTTTCCAAGACAATCATGGACATTTTTCCAAGACAAAGAAATCAACAAATTACCATGTAATGTGCTCAGAATGTCTCTTTCTTTCAATTACCCAAAATGTTACAACATTCTGATTTTGCAGTCGTAATAATATAGGAGACGTAAATTAATCTGGTACAGAACTTCCTCAGTATATCATTACATATTATCATGAAAACATGTGTGCTCTTAATTCAAGTACATTGGTAAGTGAAAGTAGAGATTTGTTTTCCTTCTTCAAAGTCTAAATAATGACAGACGAAGATCGGCTTGTCTGAACAGAGTAATTCCTCAAAATATGCGACTTCAAATGGGTCTTGGATTCAAATACCATCAGTCTTCGAGACGCGTGTGTTGTATACAACCACGTTTCTAACTTGTTCCTTGGTTTCCCCTCCTTCGTGTGGCAGAGGAAATTTATGATGATGATAAGGATATTGTTTCAAAGTAAACAAAATTTTGGGAGATGGGAGTAACAATTATTCAATTGTTAGTCCTCTTTTCATGGACATTCCGCGAAGGAGTAGGGGATGGGGCGAGGGGGGGGGGGGGGCGTGGACTCTGGACTGGACAAACGGCAAAAAACTATGTCAAGTCACGTCGTTATTGTGACGTGAAAAATGAATGTAAACATTATACAGTGGAGGCCATTTTCTGCTCAACCTCCTCCTTCTTCTCCTCTCTCTCTCTCTCTCTCTCTCTCTCTCTCTCTCTCCCTATCTCTCTTTCTCCTCAACTCCTCGTCATCCCCTCTGTCACTTCCCACCTCTCTCTCTCTCTCTCTCTCTCTCTCTCCGTTTTCATCTAATTCTCTCTCCTCCTCCCCACGCTCTCCCTCTCTGCGCTTGTCTCTAAAAACAGGTATCTTTATTTCTGGGAGAAAAGGAAAAAAAATCCCAAATACAAAAATATTGTTCCACGTCATAATTACAAAAGTCATACTTTCAGGAAGCATTTGCGACTAATTCTCCCTAATTAACCATGATTAATTATCAACGAACTTCCACTTTTATGGATTTGTCACTTCTATTTTTACATGCAATGTTTTTTTTGAAAAAAATATTTCCTGACTAACCAAACTCGATCCTAATGCTTACTGTTAATGGTCGGAGAGTGAGTTGTTTTCTATTTTTTGCTATGGTGAAATTGACGAAAAAGTCGAAGCATATCGTGGCGTTGCTTCGTTTCAAAAATGAATTCTATGCTATTTTTGTTATATCCCCATAACAGAATGAGTGGTTTATTGACTAAATATACATTTTAACTTCAGACACCAGATAAGAGAAAATAAATCTCATAGAAATTGCATAACAAAGGCATACAACTGTGTAGTATACTTAAAATGATAAAGTTTACCTACATTTTATAGGATAACCATATTCATTGTAGAGGGAAGTTGTCATATTGAACTGGAAATGTGGGATTGCAAGCATATCAACAGTTCGTTGTGCTGAGCAAAATATGGAAAGCTAACCCGTCCTTCTCTGTGTCTCTCTCGCTCTCTCTTTCTCTCTCTCTCTCTCTCTCTCTCTCTCTCTCTGATTCGGAAAGGATTTTGATATACTGTACAAAAGGAATTAACAAGTTCAAGAACAGAATAACCTCTGTGAACTTTTCTTTTTTTTCTGGAGTGGCAAACACAATACCATAACATTCCGATATAATGTTTCATTCTCGCTGGGGGCTACTTGTAAATTTTTCATTCAGTTTTCCCGTCGCGAGAAAAGTACGCGTCACTTTTCGTAATTTTGGAAATTGGGACCCGCAACTTTCCTTAACACTGGTAGTGTATTCGTGAATATAGTATATAATATATGAATACAGCAAAGTATAGTCTTCACGAAACAAAACAAAGAAAAGAACGGTAAATGATTTAAATACAAATACATTTATTATTAGATAACTAAATGATATTGGAACCTGAATAGAGGGCTCCATTTAAACTTAATGTAGATGTTCAGTAATAAAAATCTATGATAAAACTATTATCTTGACAAACAAGTTTCTAACACACGGGCTCTACCGATTCCGAATCACCAAAATCCCTCGAAATTTTAGAACGCCAATAGGCAATAGGCAGATACGTACGGGGCGGCGGAAAGCAGTAGATACCCATTGACCTATTTTGTGAAAAGGTTCAAACTCTTTGTCATTAATATTTCTTGATGAATTTATAAAAGGGTAGATCATTACAACCAAATCACTTTCCCCGTTGACCTGCATTTTGGTCGATGAAATTATGACCAACAAAATTTGAGAAGAACAACTTGAAAAAGATCGTTATAGCGATAAGACAAAATTACTTTCAATACTGCTTTTTCGAATACGAACATTGCACTTAATTATAATTAGATTTATAACAACCCAATTTGTTCTTGTAATTGTTCGAAGCACAAAGCTTCATAAAACGGACACCGTATATAGCCCAAAACATATAAAAAGAAATCCATATTTTTGTTTGCAATATTTGGGTGGTATGTACCCCTGTTCTGATTACCCCCAAATTGATTTTATATGCCAGGCAAATTGCCACGAGCAGCTGGCTCCAAGAAAGTGGCCCCGAAGGTTTTGATGAGAATTTGTTTGAACCTCTGCAAATATTTATGTTGGTATTTGAATTATATGGGTCTCGCGACTGACTGGGTTATTGGTCATCGCTTGGGAAATAAACCTAAGCAAACTATGGATAAATAATTTTGATTAAGACGTAAATCTTCGTTTTTGGATGGTTGTCTTTCCGAATGCATCTCACTTTTTTTCTTTCCCAACAAGAAAAATAACGACCATTTTAAGTATCTCCTCTGATAATTCAGCAGTCACATCAAATTATCCAAATGAACGGGTTAATTGATGTCAAACTCACTTCAAATTTGTTTATAATGAAGTTCGCGTGGTGCAATCTCCTTTAAGGAATTGCCTTTGTTAACATCTATCAACAGCATCATGACACTGGCCCCGGAAACCGTAAAATGATGTTTGTTAAAACCCACCAAGCAATATCTTCATAGTATTCTTTAGAGCAAATTTGACAACAGTTAAAGTTTAATAGACTTTAAGCGATGATTTCCTCTGCAATATATAGGTAAATGAAAGATTACACTAGGGAGTTGTGTTTTACTGTCATTCTTTGACAAAGTAAAACTTTATGAATCGGGTCGATGAAGTCACGACCAAATCCAAACGGAGTAAATATTGATTTATTATTTGAAGAAGGGTATAGGATTTCAACCAACCTAGATCTTTTGACAATGTCAACAAATTTTCTTGTTTTCAATGAAGAATAAGACAAAGCTTGAATCCCGGGCAGACCTAACAACGGAAATGAATGTTGACAGTACTGTTGTGACTATAGCTTTTTGGGGGGGGACTCATTCCGTTCAACATTTTCCAGCGTCGGAAAGGGTATAGCTACAACAAAGCTCAGTATACACACACAAAAACCAAAGAAAACAAAGCTAAGGGAAAAAAATAAAACGATATATAAATAGAAAATGTACGGCAAATATAACAAAATACAACAAAACGAAGGGTTTGGACTCTTTATAGAGATGTAATACAAATGCATACATTGCACATTTCATAATACGCATGGAATACGCATATATTGTAACTATGTCAAGGGATTTTCACAGAGCGGATCACTCCTTGATCATTTTTTTTTAAAGTGAACATGATAAGCATGATGAGATACGAGAAGTCTACTGTACCTGATTGATTAATACAAAATGGGATACGAGAAGAATGGAAATACAAATCTAAGGGGTGCCGGATCGGGGTGTACCTCTTGCAAGCCCACACACACATAAAATAGTAAAGCGAGCTGAATAAATAAAAAAAATCCATATGAGACTTACTCTTCTTGGGATGGAGCTTGTAAACCCGGTAAGGTTCGGGGATATCGAGCTGTGTCTTCTCATGAATCTCTTCGATGTCGGGGAGTTTGTTGAGGGCGGTACGAAGACGTGTCTTCCAGACCGCCGGCTCCGGCTCCATGATACCCTCCTTGTATTTGCCGGTATTACGCGACCATAGCTATGAAGCAAAGGAGAGAGAAACGAAATTAGATTGGTTGGTTGGTTGGTTGGTTGGTTTTTACTTGACTGCTAAGAAAGCGTGTGTATTGTAAGAAAGCAATCGGGGGACCGACGGCTTTGGGTCATCTCCGAGGGACTTGGTAATGACGATTAATACCTTACCAAAGGGCACTAGCTCATCGAATTGCTATCGAACCCGGGACCTCTGCTAGCAAAACCACCGAGCCATTGCGCTTCCTTAGAGCATTCGCTACAATGACTTTCTGACTTTCATGGTGGAAATGAAATGGTTTTGAGGCAGGGACATGTCTCTGGTTTAGGTTGGTTACAGAAGATTTGATTTGGCACCTTGGTGCCGAACTTGGTCTAGTGGTAGTTCACCTGGTCCGCTCTCTGTCTTCGCCTACACACTGTCCCGGGCGACCCCGGTTCAAAACTGAGTCACGTCTTTCGGATGGTGACGTTAAATTAAAGGTCGGTCCCCATACGTAAATAATATTTCTGATTGATACACGTCTGAAAAATGTTTGTTCTCACACTCTACCATTAGATCTAAGAAGTCTTATAGCTTTTCTTCGACCCTCTATGAACGTGTAAAAAGTCTTTCAAAAAAGCTATTCCATTATCACCATATTTATCTTTGCATGATCATTCTTTTTAACTTTATTTATCATCCATGAGATGTAATACTCATTCCTTGGCTGCATACATGAGTTTTTACTTGTTTTCTTTATAATTTTCTTTTTTATTGGCTGAAAGATCTATTGTCTTCCAAAAGTGACTCCAAATTTGGGGTTTCAACTTGGATTAGCTTTACTTGTTTATTTATATATTTATTGTATTCTTTTCTTGAAACTTTTTGGATGTTTCACTGAACACATCATGAATATCTTCGAGTCTTCCTGATGGTCAAAGTCTTGTTATATAACCAGCATATTTTCAGGGCATCATCAACAGCTATTCTTATTTCTTGATTTCCCGAAAATGTATTACTGTGGGCTAATAATTTGTTGTTCAACTTGATTCAACTTCATCGATTTCTAGAAACTTCTGAAATATGGGCTTGCAAAAGGACCTACCATGAATATCTTGGAGTCTTCTTGAGGGTCGTAGTCTTGTTTGCCAGCATGTTTCCAGGGAATCTTGAAGAGCGTCTTCTCCTTGTCGAGCCACTGCAGGCCCTTGACCTTGCCGCTGTCGATGAGGCTGATGAGGAACGGCCGAAGTCGTTGACGACCGTTGTGCATCTGGCTCGCTGGCGGCTGGTTCTCTACAATGCCACTACAGGTGGGTGGGTGGGTGAGAGAAAGAACAAAGACGAGAGTGAGTGAGAGACAGAAAGAGAATAACGAAGAGAGTAAGAGAGGAAAAAGGAGAATAGGTAACAGATATATAGATAGACATGTATTTGTAATTTAGTGTGTATGCCCCAATATGTTTATTAGATATTATCACCTATACAAGCTAGCTGAGAGATTAGCCTGTAACAAAGAAAAATGTCTCTGTTTTTAATGGGGCAGATATCTATACTGAGTTTGATACTAATCGTTGTCTTAATTATGGGGTGTAACGGCCACTCACCATAACCTTTCAGATATCCACAATGATCATCCACACCCGTGCGCTACATATTAAAACAAACACTGGAACATGCTGAATCATGTAGGTTGTGCTTGAGAACAAGAGACACTTACTGAATCGTTAAAAAAAGATCCTATTTTCGACGCCATCCGTTACAACAACAATGGCCAGCTCGATTTCACAGGATACTTTAGCATTACCATCCCAAATCAGGCTCATCGTCTAATAATAATTATATGGCACCTGTACATTCGACCTAATACGGCGGAAGGATGTACTTTGCCTTTTTTTGAAGAGCAGTGAACTTGGTTGGGGGCTATGGTATTATGAAAGCAGTATTATTTTATACTCGTCCGACTCTCACCATACTTCCGTCTATACAGGGCATTCTGGTATTATATTCTCTGCGTTCTATGCTTATGGCAAATCTAATATACACGTGTTTTCTTCTTCATTTCGTAGGTTATTGGCAATGTGTAACAAGCTCTATGATGGTGTATAGAAGCTGGGAAAATAATGGAGCAAATTCTGCGTATAGATCTACTCAGTGCAGAAGACTGGATTTCCCCCTCGTTCAGGAATTATGTCAGGGGTCACTTTGGTGTACACGTGAATCAACCTCAAATTAGAATGATTGCACTCCAAAGTACGGGCTTGAATTACTATTTTAAGAGTGTATTAGTATGTATTTCCACTCCAAAATCAAGTGTTTTCTAATAGGACTGAAAAAGAAGCTTTAAATCCTTATATTGGCAATATTTTGCCAACTTTTTTAACAATGTTCCTACACATAATTATAGGTATTGTTTTTAAAGACATTGATTTTATCAGAGCAATGTAGCAGTAAAAGAAAAATAAGACTGTTGCCAATTTGAAGAACAACATGTGATGAATTGACCCCTTAAAATAAATCGGGATTATAATACGTGCAGGTAGTGGCTTTGAGTTTGTATCCGTAGGTGATACACTTTAATATTGGCATAAAATAAGTTATTAGGAAAGGGTAAGGCGTTGCTATATGAACTCTGAATGTTAAAATCTTTGCATTTTTGTATACAAACACTGACAAAGTAAATCACCATGCCGATTTTGGTCAAGAAACAGAGGTGAAGAGCAGGGAAGGAAACTGGCATGCAGGTACAGGTAATTATCAATCTGGATCAGACATGACTTGTATGAATTCCTGTCTCGATAATAGATATAGATTTCGCAGTAAACGGTTACATATCTGTTTCATGGAATAACGACTGGCTGTCCCACACGCAACTGGAGGTCTCCTGAAAATTATCATTCAAAAAGTTCCCTTGCATAGAAAACACAAAAACTGCGCATAAGGTTGCAGAATTAATCTAATTAATCTAAAACTGCAGACTGAACACAGACGGTTACATTTCCTTTGTTATCATCCCATCTATTTCTTATGAACATGGGATGATATTGTGTATGGGGTGTGCCTTCTGTAGGGGCAATAACCTGTGATTTTGTGGCTTTCATCATTTTTTTTGTATATCTCATGATCTTTTCCTAATGAATAGTGATGATGGTGTGTTGTTCAACACTGGTTGGTGGGTGGGTGTGGGTTATGGGGTGCGGCTTGCGCTTTTTGGGGGTAATGAACTTGAGATTTAGTTGCTCTTATCCTTCACAATCTGTCAATGATCCACCCCCCAACAACAAATGAGCATGGGATGAAAGTGTATTGTTTAAAACACGGATTTGTGTGTGTGTGCGTGTGGGGGGGGGGGGGGAGGGGGGGGGGGGGTTTGGCTTGTCCTTTCTCGGAGTAATAACTTGGATATCGATTGCACTATCTCCCAATGATCTTTTCCTCGTGAACATTGGATGATAGTGTGTTGTTTAACACTGCTTAGCGGATGCGATAAACTTTATCACACCAGTGACATCGTTGTCCCTCGTTTCCAGATCAGATTAGGAATCCATCCGCTTGCCCGATAGCCAACGTTTGCTCTCAAGGGGAGTACATAGAAACGTGGAGTTGGAGAGAGAGAGAGAGAGAGAGAGAGAGAGAGAAGAGAGAGAGAGAGAGAGAAAGAGAGAGGGAGAGAGAGGCAGAGAAAAGGGAGAGTGAGGTAAAGAGTTAGACAGACAGATTAAACATGAAGAGACAGACGATACAAACAAACCTTCTGTCTGTATGTTGAAACATACAAAGATAAAATAATAAATGAATGGAAAGAAACAAAAATAAAGAGCGCGAGAGAGGGAAAGGGAGAATGAATAGTGAATATGGAGATGGAGAGACAGAAAGGGAGAGGGAGTGAAAAACAGAGGGGGAGCGAGGGGATAGAGAAAGAAAGAGACAGGCACAGACACAAATATGAAACTCGGAGCCACGCGCTTCTCTATTATTCGGAACGTGCCGAAAAAGTGGGCCGAAATTAGCCTACGAAAATGATTACGCTTTCTATATCTACCGTACGCAAGCAACCCGCTTGTCATGCTCCTGACGAAGAAAAAGGAGAAAAAAGGGGTGTCTAGTCCCCAATGTAAACATGATAAATACGTCATGTTTATTTGCCTTCATAAACCGCAAATCAAAAACTCATTTGAACACAAGACTTCGATGATCTTATTTACTTTCCAAATCAAAACCACGATGTACGAGCGTTAAATGGACGTCAGCGGGTTGACTGACTGCGTTTCCAAAATAATGACATTGCGGTGAAAAAGAATTCTCTTTTGTAGGCCTTTTATCCTAACACAATATTTCATGCCAAACCCAATAGATCTATTGATTTAAGGAAGGTGCGAAATTTGTCAAAGTAAATCAAATTATGCGACCGATAAACCAACAACGACCCATTTTATTAAAACAAATCTATACGCTGCCTAACTAAATCTGGGTCGACCTCGAAACAAATGATAAAAAGAACATGCAAAGGGAAAGAACGCTTTGTCAATGTGATACCCGGTTTTACTCGTGTTTAAAATCTGGTTATCAAATTTCTAATATGATAATTAATGCCCTATTTGGGGAAGAATATTTTACACATGAACAATTGAGGATTATTATGTATTCTAATAGATATACTATGTTCTGCTTTACTTCGAAGAAAAGAAAAACCATCTACATTTCCTTTCATTTAAAATTGGGACTTAGACTGTTATATTTTGTTATAACATATTCTAAATAGATATGAAGAGATTTTTGAATAAAAAATAAGAAAATGTAGTAAAAGAAAATCTACTTTTTGAATTATCAGTATACATTCAAACGGTTATTTTTGTCTTCTTCTAAAATCGAGTCTGAAATGCTAAATTACATATGATTAATATATAGCAATTAATATGTAAAATATAAAGGTACAAAAACCTCATCTGTCGATGTTTCGTCCAATACAATCTTGCATTTTCCAACATGAAATTATGCCTTTCAAATATCAAATTGGCATAAATGTGGTGAAATAGTAACGATAAGTAATTCGTCTTAACAACCTCGCTTTTGTTTTGCGAGGTAAAATTAATGTGCTAGATTCCTCGATAAATTTCTATCTGGTGTAAAAGATCATGAGAGAAAGTGTGTGGTTCATCGACTTCTTGTACGTTGACTACGTGCCTTCAAACTTATAACAAATTAATTCGCTAGTCTTTCACTCTCCCTATCTCTCTCTTCCAAAAAATTCAAGAGCACGGGGTAAGGTATGGTTTGGAAGGTTAGCCTGCACCGGGACAGCAACCGCAGCAGGAACGGGCAGCTTCCTCCTCGAGTACTCGCTCTAGCCCCACAAGAGGATGCAATTAATCGGGTAGTTTACGGTCTATAATACCGATTAATATTTCCTCGAGAAAATAATTGGTGAAGGGTCGTTGAAATTGAGCAGACTAAAAAGTGCATGCTGAGGATCTTTCTTAAATCAATAAAGTCACTGAGTTCACAATCGGTCTGATTGACATCTACATGGGTACTGTGTTTATGAAAAGCTTGAACATTTCAAAATTCAAATGTAATTGATCGATTTAAATTGGTCCTGTTACATTTACAAGTACTTAATTATTAAACGCCACATGGATGTAATACATAACAAGATTAAAACATGATAGTGACCTTTTTTCCTGATACTAAGCTATTTATTTTGTCGGAAGGCCAATATATTTACTTAGGCCTATATCAAACCGGAGGTTTGTCTAAATTAACCAGGGCATAATTACTATCACCATGATAACACAGAAATGGATACAATATACACTCGATTTTCAAACATTTACAAATTAACTCTTTGCTTTTGATAACCTTGTTATATGATATGAAAAATCCCCAAACATAACATAATAATCAAATTTGCGCGAAGGCTGCAATTGACAACAACAAAAAACACAAGGTTTTAGCCAGAGATCGATCTGTTCTGCCAACTGTTCAACATCACTGTTAACCACATTACACAATGATTTCAATCAAGGCAAGAAGGTGATCATACATCAATCGGTCAACGCAAATTCATTCTTGAAAGTTGAAACAAAGTCAAAAGGGTTCATCACAGCCCCCAAACAGAGAAATTATTTAGAGAGAGAGAGAGAGAGAGGGGGGGGGGGAGGGGGGGGGGGAGAGCTTTTGAGCTCTCAAGCAGGAGAAAGAGAGGAAATAATCGAGGCATAGATAAGAAGTCATGGTAGTTTTGATGGATGAGTAACGCTTTCAGGGCTTTTATTTGCAAAATTATGAAGTATCGGAGCAAAATATTGTCCAGAATATAATACCCTTGACTCTGTCCCAGTTAGGGTTTTTTCCATGAGCGAATGAATTCGAAACTTTCATTATCTGTTTCCTTAGGAACCGTTAATTTAAAAAAATAAGACATCGAAGTGAAGAATATGGCAACATATCCTATCAAAAATTGAAAAGAGGAACATCTTCACGTATTTATATAGGATTAAATATTAAAATGCGGTTTACAAATTACCTCATTTTCTCAATTTCTGAAATTAGTACATAAATAGATATTTTACAGTTCTTGTTTGAGTGGGAAAACAACTAGAACTTACAAATTTAAATTCGAATGTTGGTAAATGATTTTCATTTTAAGTTATTGCACTACTAGAAAACACAAGAATATATGTATTTAAAAAGCTAACTTAAGTTAAATCATGGTGTTTATTTCTAATGTAAAATTGAATTTGGCATAACAATCATATAAAACTCTGTATGCATATAAATCTCTTGTATCGTGTCTCCATCTTAATTCTTTTCACTATTTTCTCTTTGTATTTTGCCGGCAGGCTCTCATTATAACTCTCTGGTTTTTACAGATCATTCGATTGAGAAATATCGAAAGAATACATTGTAAACGAGAAAACGAAATGATACAAACATGGCTACATTACATGATTTAGGTAAACTATCGTGTTTTCTTTTAAATATCTATGAATAAAAATACATTATGAAGGTTAGGTACAAACTCTGCTTTAAACGTCACCATTTATGCAAGATGTAGATGAACATAATCAATAACATCTACATGATGTAATATACTGTAAATACTTTACTTCATTTACCATTTAAATTATTTGAGATTCTTTTATTGAATGAACACATCACTTTCAAACAATAATTCCTCACAATTAAATAAAGATGAGATGTAGAAATTGGCAAAAGACTTACATTTTAGCACTATGCATCATCACGATTTAGGCACCACTGCTACTTCGGGAAGGTTGTCCAATTAATTAGGTAGGGAGCTATCCTCAGCTGAGCACAACTTCACGATAGGCACAAGGAGCTAGCTAGAGCGAGACCTAGATTGTCGGATTCTCGAAACACCACCGTAGATTTCTAAACCAGAGAGTTTTGACTAGTTTGGGGGAAGCCCACTGTACTATGAATGATTCATGCGCTCGCAACTGGTAGATATACAAACCATTCACGTCCAGCCGCACACACGAGTAACTTACCAACAACTATGTAATCAACACACGAGAAAAATGCGTGTGTTACAAATACAGAGCAGCGAACTGGTAGTAGATTTCATGGACCAATCAGCGTAGAGAGACTTCATGACGTCACGTGCACAACTGGTGGAAGAGAGAAGGGGTGGGGCATATGACAATCGCTCTGTCTCGCTCTCTTTTTCTCTTCCTCTTTCTTTCCATTTGCTTTCAGGCAAAGTTCCAAAGGGCAACGGCATGACTGAAAACAGTACAATACAATGACGTGTATGATATTTTACTGTATAATTCACAGTTTTTTGCTACTCAAAACTTGGAGTACAGATCGAGGGGAACTCCTCGCACTGAGCTTCATTCGTTCACGCATAGTTGGATGCGAGCATTTCCGTTTTGTCGAGTCGAAGCTCGCAGAGCAAAGTTTTGGTATCTCACAATTTAGGAGCGGCTTATATATTCTCGGGTGCTCTACGAAACAAAAACGACATAATACTACTTTGATTTAGAAGGTCTGCCATATTTTGAAACATTATTATTTGATAAAATCCATCTTAATAACGAATGACACCGATATTGACGATAATTCGTCAGATCAAGAGAATATTTGTTCCTTCCGTTGAAAATGGTGTCTACTCGCATTTAGAGAACGATCATCCTTTGCTTCATTTGACTGAAATTATTTATGTATTTGCAAATTGAATTACTATATGGCTTATATATATTTACCTTATTACCTATATATCAAAATGTCATTATTTGTTTATATGCATTTAGGTCTATGGTATTATGATCATACACATTTCAACTGTCTTTTTTGGTAATTCTGAATAGCCGTTTGTCTCAAATCTCTTAAAGTATTGCCTTAAACTGATAAAGTCACCGGCTTTTTAAAACGATTTTGCAAATATGGTTTATTCTTGATAGATCAAGTTTAAATATTTTCAGAAATCTTATCTCACCGCGACTGCCTTTCAATAGAAAAAAGAAGAAAAAAAGAATTGTAATAGGTGTTAAAAACCTTATTTAAAAGGTTTTCAGTATAGCTTTGATTCATTAATTACTGGTAGATTTTTCTGTACTTCTTCTTCATTTCTTTCTTCTTCTTCTTCCCTTCTTCTTCTTCTTCTTCTCGTCTTCTCTTTCTTCTTTTTATTCATCATCGAAACATGCCCCCCTTTTCTCCAACAACTATTGCGTCTTTGTCTTCAGATATTTCATTCCTCATTCTCATCCGGATTTCATAAATCCTTCCTCAAAACTTGGCGTTGGCGTTTTCATTCATTTTCTAAAATGCTGATCTTCTTTTTCATTAAATGCGTTTTATGTTTATTCAATTTCCCATTCTACTTATTACTCCCTTCCTGATCACTTATATTCATTTAGACTTATTATAGATATGCAATATACCTATTATCAAATCATGCGAAGGATCGTTATCACAGCCGGGAATAACGCGTAGTATTCTCATTCTCGTTCAGTGTGAGCCAGAGAGAGTTCAAAACTGTGCGTAAAAAAGTGATGAAGACAATAAATTGCGGAAAGACAGAAATGTAATAAGCTTCCAATACGTAAACCAAGCGTCGATTGACGTAGGGTAAAGGATATAGTCTTCATGCTTAACCTAAATGTCCATGGAAGATCACTAGAAAAGAGAAGAAATCTAATATTATTAGCAAAACATTTCTTGTGTTTTAGGTGTGTATGCATGTCCGTCATAACCTTCGCCTCACCCACAGAACACACCCGCAAGTTTCGTCCTCTATAATTAATACGCCAGCGGTTGCGACAAGCATGTAAATCTCAAGAAACAATCCTTCTCACCCTCTCATTCTCTCTCTCCCTCAATCCCCCTTTCTCTCTCTCTCTCTTTCTATTTATCTTTCTCCCCTCTCTCTATTTCCCCCTTGTTTTCTTATTGAACATCAATGTGACTCAATACGTACACCGGAAAAAGTATAATGATAGACGATGATAAAATTACTAGATTAAACAAAAATCAACGATTACCTACTGTCTATGGCGAATATGTGCAACGTTATTTTGATGCAATTATTTTCGTTCTGTTCATTATACTTCTGTTCCCAGTTTCCAGCAGAAGCGATTCCAGAGGGAGTCTTTTTCGGGGAGAGAGCTCAAGTCTATCAACATTTCTTCAAGCCCCCCCCCCCCCAAAAAAAAATAAATAGCAAGGCACATTTAGAAACTGAATTCAAGAACCCAAAGTTCCTCCACCCCTCCCCGAACAAACCCTCCTTGTTTACTGAATAAGAATTATATATTATTTTAGAGGAAATGGTGACTTTGCATAGAAATCACCTTGAACTAGATATAAGTCATTCTTTAGGTGACAGGGTGAGCGTCTAGTGTCCTATAGGTGTCCCAGAAAGTTGTAATTTAAGAATCTCTCTCAAATTAAGCAGCTAATGGTGGGGGAAACAACGTCTCATGACAACTAACCGCACATTACCGTCTGTTTATCCACGGACCTATCTGTGCAATGTTAAATCCTAGAGATTAGTGATTCCACGATTTAGGAAACACACACAAATATGGATTAGAGATACGATGACTTTCAGAATTTATCTGGGTCTTCTTTCATTCCTAATGTATGGCTAAAGATTACTGGTAAAGTACAATATATAGTATGGACACTTAAGGCTATGACCCGGGAATCAATTTCCTACCTTTTAAATCTTGAAAATCATGTAAGTGTGAATTGAATTTATGTTGGTATTGTCTTAGTTTTCATGACCTATCAACATTTTGGGGGTATTGAATGGCCGTCAGCAAATGTCGATAATTATTATTTTTTATTTTGATTGCTCTGATTTTTTTGATTTTTTTTTCTCAGTAGAATTTCATAAAGGCAGTTTTAAAAAACTCGATAAAAGTGAATTTTCATGCATCCAGTGTGTCAATCAAATATCGAGGAGGAAAAAAATGTGAATCAAAGTTATGAAGACGTTTTTGCTTTTCCAAATAATTTGAATAGTTGTTCGTTAGCAAAATATATTGGCGCATTCTCTTGATAAATCCTGTAATGTTTCACTAGCTTCTCAAAGTTATTCTATGACAAATGGCTTAATTCTCTAAGTCGTTTCTACACGAGAATTTGAATTCTCTTGTTTTTTTACAATTCATTCACGTTATTCCTGGCATAATATAGTTTATGGATAAGCCTATTGCCTTTAATAAACAAACGGAATACGAGAATAGATGTTCAATGCTGATGTCTAGACTGTGACTAGTAATGTGATTATAATTGCCCCGGGATCTCAAAATCAAGCAATAAATCACAAAATTCAGTCGCACTCATAGAATCGCAACAAAAACACAAAGAAAAGAAGGGTACAATAAATAGGGGAAAGCGCTGCAGCAATGACAAATGTGAAATGTGATCGCTTCGGTATTACCATCGGCAGCCTCCCCAAAGAATTCAATTTGCTCAGAAACTAACGCTTTTTTTCGAAACCACGTTGTATTTCCATTCAACACGCATTGACCATGATAGGATATGATGGATATAGCCGTAAGGGATTCTTGAATATGGTATTGTTGGGATGATTTTTTTTCGGAAGATTTGTGGATGTTCCGCTATTTTTTTTTGGGGGGGGGGGCTGAGGGGCCGACCAACACGAACAAGATGGAACAAAGGACAATGTTGAACTTGATAAAAAAAATTATCATATGAGAAATTCGTCCTCTCCTTATCATCTTTTTAACTGAAAAAAGAAATGGAAAAGCTTATATCAAAGGTAATAGAAAAATTACAGATAAATGAATACATCGATATATGAATAAATGCACACACAAATAAATCGTTGGATAAAGAAGTAAATAAACAAATTAATAACTAGAACATACCATACATACTGTACAAAGCTGAATCACCTTCTTTACAAAGCCTGAGTGTTCATTTTTTTTTATATCATATTGTAACTTTTCATTAAGCCTTGATATATGAAATATTTAAACATCGCTATCATTTTCCTACGTGGCTCCTCCGCATAAGTTATCATAAATGTATTACCCAATACTACAGCCGCAACAAGTCGTCATTCAAAATTATAACAAGTGGTGAAATGCTTTCACCGAAAAGTGTATTATAAGAGATGAAAACAGGGATTTCTTTGACAATGAGATACAATACCACAATAGTCCTGTAACATGATGTTATCAACAATAACTTAGAAAAAAAAGCGCATCACGCGTTTCAAACTAAATGCGTTTTCCGTGTTTTCGTGGAAATCCGTCTATGTTATAAAGGGGTTTCTATTCCACGGAAAATAAATATATTATATATTATATTAATATAATGCAAAATCAACCTTGAAGTATATTATTAAATATTGTATTTGATTATACTATAATATCAAATATACGAAATTTAATACTTTTTTATATTCTATATTTATGAATAAAAAGTAAATGTAAAAATAATGCTAAATGTCTCGTATTTTCAACACATCTCGCGCTTCAGCGGAAACAAATCCCTCAGCTGAGTTTTTCGTTACTCGTAACTTAAAGTTCAATCATGTCCAAATTAACAGAAAATCAATTTCCTGGTATGCTTCTCTTATCCATATTTGGTGCTATATCGTCCCGTGGTCATAAAGAACTTCTCTTTCAAGTTTAAAATATTCCCGAAACTGAAACACAAGGCTCTGCTTTTCCCAGCGATGTGATGCTTACAGCGCGCAATATTTTGCGTTCGAACAATTAAACGACGACGTCGAAAGTAAAGTTAGTATGGTTATTGGGACGAAAACTACATGCAGGCTGTGTTATGGTTCTATATGAAAATGCACTCGGTTAAAGTTGACTTAGATATTACAAGTAATTAAACAATGCCAATATAAGGGTCCATTCTTATGATATTATCTTTATCAAGAGATATTGTCAACATAAAAGCGTTATAATCTTAGTCAAACATTCTTGCATGTTCGAATAATATTTTTGCAGGTGGATGTCTCTGAAACCAGATTTTATCTAGCATTGAGGCACGTTTTCCTAATGAATTTAGTATGGTTCTTCGGCATGGATGCATGACTGAACGTATTTGTGTTATGTTTGTCTCGTTTGACGATCATTGTTGATAGTAATAATAATAATGAAAATAGGCATTTATTTAGCGCCGTCTATCTAGACAATAGTATTCAGAGGCCCACAAATTAATTTTTATACCCCGGCTTTTGCCCAACTGCCATTACAGCGCTCTAGCAATTCAAGAAATTAGTTCCTGCCATGTACCCATCTACCTCACCTGGGTCGAGTGTGGCAAATGTAGATCGATGTCTTGCCAAAGGACACTAGTGCCGTGTCGGGGATCGACCCATGACCTTCGAATTTCAAGTCAATTTCAAGTGCTTAAACCACTCGACTACGACACTTCTACACTGTTCACATTTTTTAGCTGACCAAGTGAATTTGGAATGATGTCAGATCACTGTGATACCGATTCCTTTACGACGCTACATAATCAGTACTTTGTTAGAAGCGAATTATACTAGGTGTTTTCCCTACGTTATCAATTTTCCTTTCGGGGGGGGGGGGGGGGGGGTCAAATAGATAAAGTCGATTAATTTATTTCTATTTAATTTTTTTGAGTCACTTATAATTCATGGTTGTCACTTTATTCACAAGAAGGTTTACTTCAGTAGAGCTAATTTGATTATTACAAATGTTTTCCATTAAAAAAGTTATAACTGTGAATCCATGAATATATAACGACTATCGCATGTTTATTTTTAATTGTTACTCTTTTCATGAACTATTTTTTCAATTTACCGAGCACTGATAACAGTGGATAATGGTTGTTACATTTAAAGCATGAATACATCTCAAAGCTTTTCTTGGAAGGAGACAATATGCAAAAACGATTCTTTATACAAAATTTAAAAAAAACATCTTTATCATTTCTATCATTTATTTGTCCAGTAATCGACATAATTAGTCAATGTTAAATTGCCTACTTTTTTAAGGAGGAAGTACAATGACTGATGAAACGTTTAAGCCTATTTAATACCTGCTAATTGACTTTTGCATGTTTTCTCTGAAGAGTAGGCCTATAAGAATTTCATGCCAGCAAACGTCTTTTTTGAGGGAAGAATCGTTTGCTGTTTCAGACGTGAAAACATGGGAATGGCATTTGAATAATTGAACATACGTGGGTCAAATATGATTATACTCATTGTGAGCTCGTACAAGAGAAGACTGGAGAAAGCGGTAATGAGAGAGAGAGAGAGAGAGAGAGAGAGAGAGAGAGAGAGAGAGAGATAAGGCTTTATACGGGTTTATCACAACTCCACCGACGCCCTTTCCCCAAGAGCCATCCCCCTCCATTGCAAACTCAACGTCAAGTACATTGAATTAAATGCTTGATCTTGCATGCAGTGTATATACCTCCTTGAGAATCTATTGTTCCTGCGCGAATTTCATAACTTCCAGCGTAGCGCGGAGTTATCAAAGCGCCCTTCTAGCCGCCTGCCAATTAGACCCATCCGTAATACGCCGTTACCTGCTACTGTGCTTACCCGCTCAGAATTTTAAAAAAGAGGAAAGATTCGAGATCACACTTGTCTAATTAATTTGTCAAAATCTAGAAAATGCTCCCATCGCTTTTGATGAAGAGCCTGTAGATGCGTTTATTATTGGAAACGATTATGATTAATGTGTGGAAATTGATAAGTGAAGTTGCGATATAAATTATCTGAGATACCGGTAAGGCACCTGTGCTCTTCGGTTGGCATATTTTTGAACTAGAAAATTTGGCATTAGTTGACAAACCTTCCTCTGCAAACAGAAATTTTCAAGTGTAGGGATCCTCGTGGAAAATCTTGATGACTGACAATTTTGATTTGGCATGCATCTATGATTAATTACATCTGCAATTTGTTAAACTAAAGCTTTTGTCGCTTTTCTTCTCTAAAGCAATTTTGCAGTGATTTTTTTAAAGTGTAATTTTCCTCCTTGGTAGTTGTAATATCGTACGAAAAGCGCTAAATCTATCAACCATCGACTTTTCATTGTAACTCGAAGTTTAACGTTTTAAGGGCTGTTATACCCTATCATGGTTTTTATAAATTACTTTTTTTAGAAACTCTGTAACTGTACAAAGAAGAGAGGAATAAAGAAAAAGGAAGACTGTGAACCATGAAGTATGAGAAAGCTAAGCATGCAATTAAAGGCAAGGATAGATAATAGGTTATATGGAGTAAAAAGACAGAGAAAATTAAGGAACAGTTATGACAGTTAAATGGAATAGATTAAACAAAAGCTAATTTACATCGATGTACCGACAAGTCTTGTTATCGTCAATAATGTGGCTCTTTTTCATTCTCTTGCGTTCCTTTTACCTTCTAACTCTTTTCTACAATGCAGTGTTTCTATTGAACATTAATGTACCATTGTTTTTCATTGTTTTTGTATGGAGGAGCATCCTTTTTACTTCTCTCCTCTCTACAACTTTCTTTTTGTCTTTAGGTTACAAATTTATGGAAATAAATTTTGAAGAATAGAAATAACGATCATGCCATTTATAGATAACAGATACTTTAAAGGTAAAGACCAGTATTGGAAACGCCCCAATTTTAAAAAATGAAATGGAAGCTCTCATTACCATCATGTGAAAGAATACGTTTTGACTAATACATGATGATAAAAAAAATTGCCGGGAAACCGCCTACTAATTCATATATTTGGTAAATTTGTTTCTCTCATGGTTTGTGAGAGATATAGGGTAGTCCCATATTCATCTTTCTGTGTATAGTGCTTGTAACTTTACGAAGACTGGGCCAAATTTGTTATCATTTTGATGATTCCAGAACCTTGCAGATGCTAGATGCTAGATGATCAACCTTTTCTGATCGATTCCACAACGTTTCTTTCACAATGCAATTGCATGACCATAACTGGTCTTTACCTTTAACTATATTTTTTAAATTGTTAACCCACACTCAACTACCACTGCAACGTAATTATATGACGAGGTTAGGGGTGGCAAACACGTGCATTAATAAGTTAGGAAAAGGTTGCAAAATTATATACATTCAAACCTGCTTCAGTGACCACCTGTATAGAAAGACCACTTGACTTTAAACACAACAGTTTTTGTTTCCCTTGAAAATGGTTTCATATTGAAACATAACCTAAAGGAGCCTGTATTTAAAGACCTCATGCCTAAAAAAACATGACAAAGGGCATATAATATATGTCTCCGTTGAGTGGTCTTTATTTGTAGGTTTCTCTGTATATTGTAAACAGTTTTAATTATCAGAACATCGCGCTCGATCTATAATTATTCTGACTAATTTCCATCTTCACTGCATCATCGTCTCTCATTATTCCTCGACTGAGTGTATACGGGCTGGGCACGGTCATTTTCACTGACTCAGATTTCATAAATCTTAGAATAACCAATAAATTTCCGATATTTCTATAGCATGATTATAATCTAGCTCTTTAAACCTCATCCAATAATAATAGATAGCACTTTCGCGTCGATATGTATGCGATTCGAAAAGAACAATGACAAATATCATAGCAACGTATTAAAAAAAAGGTTGTAGAAAGTAGTGAGTTTCGTCAGACGTTATATAGGTTATATGCTCAACTTATTTAGCTAATGATCAAATGCTATATCTCAATCAAGAAGATTTTTATTTCATATTATATGCATGAGCTTTCACATTTGCAATTAGTTGTATATATATATATATATATATATATATATATATATATAAATTATATTTATGATTATACTAAAATCCTTCTCTTGTATTATTGATAATGCAACATCATTCTATGCGATAATAAAAGAGACGGTTTAACAACTAAACGATAACCGATACTGAGGCGAGATTTATATTTTGGTTATTGAGGCTGCTAAACATTGTACTGCTTTGTGTGTGTATTGGGGAAGGGGAGGGGTGAGCTAGGGAATCGATTAATTGTTTCCCAGCATATTTGACGCAAATCATTTCCTGATGTATACATTCAAAATGGTTGTATCAATGCATTGTCTGTGTATGAATGATTCAGATGAGCTAGCTCAGTCGGTATAGAGCAGTGGTCTCGTAATTCGGCGACCCGGGTTCGAATCTGTATGCGCTAGTGCCCTTTGGTAAGGCATTAATCCCCATTACCAGGTCCCTCAGAGAGGACCTAAAGCCGTCGGTCTTCTGGTTGCTTACTAACAAGCATTTATGTTTTCGTAGAAGTCAGGTAAAATAACCACCACTGTTTATATTTATAATCTGTTATGGCTCACGTGCCACCGCTACGCAGTTTATTGATCCGCCACTGTTGTTTTTGCTCTTGTTTTAGTTTGTTTGTTTGGGTTTATACCGACCTCGTGGAATCAGCAAATCAACTATCGAAGCATCAGCAGCACTTACAACCAGATCAACAGCAGTAGCAGCAACAAAAACAACAACCACTACTACCACTACAGTCACCACCATCACCACCACCACCACAACATCAATAGCTGCAGCAGAAAAAGCTGCAGTGAACGACAGTGGACTGCCCAGCAGAAATAATGTGTAAGATTAGCTTTAGAAGAGCTGACAGATATTTAATGCTCTAGCCCTTTTATGGTTACCTCATAATTTTACCATTATTTCTATTAGGCTAATTAATGATAATTCAAACGGAGTCTAATTGTGTCAATCAATTACCTATTTGTTTGTTTGATTTTATTTCTGCAAACTAGGTACATAATATCTTATTAACAAAAGTACACAAATACATATATAACATAATCATATCATGATATAAATTGAAGAACTAATACTTCAACAAGCTCTGCTTTAAGTTAGTTCCTCTTTTCTCGTGCTATTTCCATTATATTTATAGTTTCATTGCATATTTGTTGTGATATAATTATTCTTGTATTATGTTTTGCTAAACCCTTTGCATGAGAAATAAAATCATTTGAATCAAAAAAATAAAATCAAATATATTATTATACGTTTAAAAAAAAACATAGTTTACGAATCATATCAACAATTATTGTATTGCTTATAACATCTGTTATTTTAACTTTGAAATGAAAATGTTAAAATAAGAAAGAGAACGCGGAATTACATTATCACAGGTTGAACTTTTATTGCAACCCAATCCGAGGGATAGTAAGTATTTCCTGAAAACGGAAAAGCATCTACCAACACCACCACCGCTTAGCGTAGTTTGGGGATTATCTGGACAGTAACACCTGTTGCCATGGAAACGATCTAATCCGAATATGCGCATGATTCATCTTAATCAATATGCGTGGGTAGTGGCTGATTGTGCAAAATGTTTTAAAAAAAACACCCGATGAATTGATATATCGATGACTCTCTTTTATCATGAGGACGTCATAAAAACGCCTCTATATCCCCCTTTTTGTTAATACCAATGATGAGTCATGCCTTGCGAGGCTGGAAAAAGTCAACCTAATATGTTATTTTGACGTCATCATTTTTGAAACTATAAACACATGGTTGCCGGTTGGAATAAGCACTTTTGTGAACCTGGAAATGTTATTCTCATCGGTTATTTTGACGTCATGCTTTTCAAACTATAAACATAAGAGGGGTTGATGGTGTTATTGTCTTTCTATGTCATTGTCTACCAAAATTGGTCTAGTCCGCAAATTACTGGTTAGAGGTTGACAGCCAACGATGAGTTTCACTTATTTTTGACATTTATTATTCCATTGTTATATTTGTCAGCAAGGTCATGTAATCGAGGTAGTTTTTGTCTTAATGAGAGGATATGTTACATGCGTGCATACGATGCATTATTTTCGAACCAAATAATTTTGTTATCAATACATTTTTCACTAAGTATATAATGAGTGGTATATAAAAATGAAATATGTACTTCTAGACATGACGTAACAGCACCATGATGATTATACAAAGAGATTCTATGTACTCACGAAAAATATTGGTGGCATAATCGGTCATTACCTGTAACGATTGACCGATTTTTAATTTTTTTTCCAGACGGTTTAACATGTCATGTGATAGTGCAGTATCCCTGCATGCAATCTTATCTAACCACTGACCTTCCATATCTGCATATTGTCATAATTACTCACACGTAATTAACAGTATAAAACGAATGAACACAGTGATTAAAGTCCACGAAACCCCCCCCCCCCCGGAGCGCGGGATTAGATTTCTGACTGAATATTCTACCCTCTAACCGTTTATTTTTGGTTCCTAATGCCAATAATTTGTTCGTGTGTTTTCAATACCTTTTTTAGGTGATTTTAACATAATGTCACTTCTGATGAGGTACCTTTCTTATTCCTTTATTTATGCCTGGGGCATGTTTCTTCCTTCCTTCGCTTCATCATATTTTGTTGTTATTGGAAAGTGGTTGTTCCATCATGACACTGACATTTTGTTTTGGTTTGTTTATATTATTTTTGTGAAACATTGACGTCATTCTTTCAAGTTCAGACAGACTTGTTCTGTCATCAATGATCTATTGATTATTTCGGATGTCAAGTTTTTTGTTAGCCTAGTACAGATGTCCGGACTATTCTTTTCATAGTAGGTGAAATTAAAAACAAAAAACTCTTCTCTATCCATTCGGTATCATAGTCATAGTCATAGATATTGATATAATGCAAATGTAATAACAGTCGACCATGGTGGGATAGGTTTTTGGCGGTGCTGTTCCATTCATGCATGTACGCAATTAAAGTAAATGTTAGGGATACTACTGTGTTTTTTTGTTATTAAAAAAAAACATATAGAGTGAATATAAGATAACAAAATATACGTTGGGTTTTTCCCTAATATCAATCGGAAATCAAAATCTATCATATGGCCTTTCCCCACACCTTCCATGATGAGCGATTAGTCACTTTTCAAAAGTCATTGCGGTCTCTTAATGTCACAAAAACACTGATAAATATAGGCCTACTTAGGGAGCCTGTCATACCTTTCATTCTCATACTTCAAACCGATCTAAATAATTTTACTTAAAGCCCTACTGCACTACGTTTAGCTACTTGTGCCCTCTATACAGTGCGTCCCAGAAAAAACGAAACCGAGAAGTATCGATGTTCTATCATAACTTAATCACAACTATATTTAATGAATGATACATATTTGGAAAGCTTAGAGTCTCCTCTTTCATGTGATGCTACTCAGATAATGCATATTTCACGCACGAGTGATTAAAAGCAATTTGAAGGAAGGAAACCAAAAAGACATTTGGCGGGCGGTATCTGAATTTCGAAGACAAATTCACATTTCTAGAAAGTTGAGTTTCTGCCCTTTCATATGACACCTCAATCAGGAAAAATGAGCGAGGAATGACAAAGTTCTGTTTGTTTAAAGTAGTGCTTGCATTCCCATCATTTTATTAAACGAATTCGTTTTCACTAGCTGACTGCCGTATCAATAAACGAAATTAACAAAAGACTTAACTCCGTTTCGTTGACAATCAGCCGTAGACGAGAGTCATCATGCATGGCTAATTGTCAACGAAACGGAGTTAAGTATTTTGTCAAATCTGCTATTTGCTACGGCAGGCACCCAGTGAAAACGAATTCGTTTGTTAAAATTTTGAAAATGTAAGGGCTACTTTAATCAAAGAGAACTTTGTTATTCCTGGCTCATTTTTCTGGATTGAGGTATCATATGAAAGAGCAGAAAGTGAACTTTCAAGATCAAGAGGTATAATCTCCCTGGCTAAACTAATGCAGACGGGCTGTAAGGTTAAATAGTCTTGCACAGGAGAACAAGCGCGTGCATTTCGTTTGGCACCCGAAACGGTACATGTACTAGTCACTCCTTTGTGACAGGGGTGGTGAACACAAGTGCTTTCGGGGCGAAACCTTTTTTCGCGATAATCATTCCAAATTATGCTGTGGCTCAATACATTTTAATTCAGAGCCCTGAACAAATATACTAGATGCGTGTGTAGAAGGGGAAAGTTATCTTAACAGACTGCATCCTTGGTATTCACTATTAATGCTTCTGATGCCAGGAATGCACTTGTATGAACGTTCCGTAAAAGTATGTCGGAGGCCACACCGCCACAGTATATATATATATATATTAGTAAAAACTATCTTTGTGGCCTTGTTTGTTGCCTAATCTTACAAAGATAGAAAATAATTTCAGCATCGTCTTCCTGTTAATGCCAAAATTAAGAATTTTATGCAACCTTCTGTCATCTATTAAATTGTATGTCTCTTTAAAATAGTCTAAAAGTGGCGAAGTTATTTTCATATCGAGGAGTTAGTATGCTTAATCCTATTGATTACTCCTTTGTTTGATACAATAATTTTTTTCAACTGAAGCTGTAAATCAAATGTGATATTGAGTACATTACAAATCCCATATTAGTCTTTTGTATCGATGCGGGGTTACCGATGAAAGCTCACTCAATTTCGACAAAAATAGAAGCGCAATATATAACTGTCATACATTTACACATAAAAATGATGCCACCAAGGTCATGGACACAGGGTGACATTAATTGACAAGAGTACACCAGTACTGTTATAGAGTAGCCTGCTTTCTTATTTCAGGTGAAAAAGAAAACAAAAAAAATCCGCTCATAACGTCGTGCCGTATGTGAATACTCGAGTTTATAATGAAGATGATCAAGCAGTATCGACCAGTTTGTCATGATTGTAGAGCCTAATGAAACATTTGTATCTCCTATACCATATATATTTTATAGTTATTATGTCACATCACATCGATTGATATTGTGACTATTTATTATAGGTATTCAAGTTTTATCAAATCTCATGCAAGGCAGGTTTTTTTCCATCAACTTATATTAACCTGTCGCTAAGCTCCATCCAGGGGACCTACGGCTCTTAAAATTATAAGAAATAGGTACGCGGGATTGTCTTAGTACGTTCTGTACCATGTTGAGGATAGACTCCACCTTGTTTTTCCTTTTCAAGACACTTGTCCTTGTGACTTCTCCCGATCTCATTTGCAGACTTGTCTGAATATTATTTCTTTAATATATGATGCATTACTTTCTTCGGGAATACTTTGTGATTTTTTAAATTTTGTATGATTTTGTATTATATACATGTTGTATCCGGAGCTAAAGAAATATGAATATGACAGAGTTCAAATGGGTGTAAATGTTAAAGTTGTGGGGAAAAACCCCATCCTAGATTTTATCAACGGTTGTTGAGGGACTGATATTATTTACATTAGTTTCAGATTCATAACCTTGTTCGTTTCCAGGATTTAAATAGCTCTGAACGGTTTGTTTATAGCACGCAGAGCTCTTCAAATGTGATTCATCATAATTTCCAGTCATCCATCACTAACGAGTTATGAAACAGTTAAAGAAATGTATCAATCATTTTGCCAGATTTTCGTCTGAGGCATAAAAACACGGCGTGATAACTGATAACGTATGTACTGCAAATGTCGTCTTTTTTTTAGCTGTTCATATAGAACAATGATGTGCTTCTTTTTTTGAAGTTTGAAGTTTGAAGTTTATTAACAACTACAAAATGTATGTACATCATAAAACAAAGTATGCAAGGCAAAACAATAAAATACAAACTGTACATAATGTACAAAACAATGCATTACTGCAAAAGCTTAATTAATGCTTACATAAAACACATTTATACAAAAGTTCAAGTTGTTGCTAGAAAAAACACCAAAAGTTAGCACAAGTGTAAATGTAAATGTTTCCTTGGTCGTTATTGATTTGAACATTATAGTGATTGAATGCTATTTCATATGAAAGGTTAGGGGAAAACAAAAAAACCTAAAACACCCAATCCAAGTTTTCTACAGTCTGGTACACCATAATGGTATCCATTATGGAAGTATGACGGAAACAATCATCATCCTTGG